CCAATCTTACAGTTAGTTTTGGCCATTATTGATTCGAGATTCTTCCAAATGGAAATTGATTTCTGTCAAGAAGAAACACTAAATTTATCTCGTAAAAGAATACTTTCAATCTGACAAAAGCAAACGATCTTTTCTGCCATCCAAAACTCATCCTTTTTTTCATTTTCCACTTTTTAACATCAAAAATTCTTCTAAACAGATGCTTTATTGCTTCCACAGCAATAAACCACAGTTGCAATAGTTGCTTTATTGCAGTAAAGCTTTATTGCTTTATTGCAGTAAAGCTTTATTACTTTATTGCAGTAAAGCAATAAAGTAATAGCTTTATTGCAGTAAAGCAATAAAGCTTCCACAGTTAACCTTTCAAATCCTCATCAGCTTATTAAGAGTTTAACTAATAAACTTTTTTTGACTTCATTGTGTTTAACGATCAACCTTCTGAACTAATCTTTCAGAATCTTGTTGTTTTTGCTTCACTTGTCGCATAGCAATGTGAGCTTTGACACTAGACGACGAGTAAAATACAAATTCATCCAAACATCAGACGAATCTAAGTGATCTCTGAGCTCTGACCCATAAATGTAACCCCCATCCAATCCGATCTTTGGTTTCCCAAGAGCTTCAATTTAGGCCCCCTTTTCTCCTTTAAAGGGCTCACTTACGTACTTGTAAAAGTTTTCTTTCGCAAAATTCCGTAGAGTTTACCACTCTTGAAGACCAATCTAAAAACAGAAAGGAAATTGGTTTTTTACTTTCTTTTCTTTAATCAGATCTTCTTCAGTGTCAGAGGCTTGCAAAAAGTGAGCTCTCGAAATTCTATTTGAAGTGATCTACTGTGGTTATTTAAAAGATTATAAACTTGATAGGGTATTTGATGATTTATGAATAAATAATTGTTTTACTGATTGCTTTACTAGATCTATTGTTTTACTGATAGCTTTACTAGAGATTGAGAAAGCAAAAATAAATGGTTGAATGATGAAAGGGAGCTGATCTTGAAGCCTCACGTTTCTCATGTTAGTTTCTCATGTTTTCTCATCAAACTCACGTTTCTCATTTCTCTGATTCAGCCAAAAAAAAGTCCGTTTGTAATATGTAAAGATCCTGGTTTTTAGAAATGAAACTGAGAATGCAAAAATAAATGGCTGAATGATGAAAGGGAGCTGATCTTGAAACCTCACGTTTCTTAGATGTTATCTGATTCAGCCAAAAAAAAGTCCATTTGTAATATGTAAAGATTAAATTCTAATAAGAAGACGGTAGCTTTACTAATAAATAATTCTTTTACTAGATCTAGTAAAGCAATCATTTATTATTAATTAATACAAAGCTTGCTTCTATTCAACTTTTTTCCTTTCTCAGAAATCTTTATTTGACGCTTTACCGTCTTTTTATTAGAATTTAATCTTTACATATTACAAACGGACTTTTTTTTGGCTGAATCAGAGAAATGAGAAACGTGAGGTTGATGAGAAAACATGAGAAACTAACATGAGAAACGTGAGGCTTCAAGATCAGCTCCCTTTCATCATTCAACCATTTATTTTTGCTTTCTCAGTCTCATTTCTAAAAACCCAAATTTTAGTTCTTCTCCTGCACAAAGCCAACCCAATTTTCAGCCCACAATTTTTGCTTTTTTTGAAATTCTTTCTTCTCTCAAAAATTTCTCATTTTTAACTGAAGAAAGAAAAGTTTTTCTATTAGATAATTCTCTTTTTTTGACTGCTTCCGTTTTTCTTTTGAATTTCAAAATTGAATTACTTTGAGTTCAAGTTGAGCTTTGACGTGAATCGAGAAAAAACGAGTCTCTAGCTTGATTTCTGTTAAGTTTTCTCTAGTTTCAGCAAATTCTCCGTTTCCTTGATGATTCTGAATCAAATGAGAATGAATCATTCAGTCTTTTCTCATTCATCTTACTGTCTTCAAGATTTCCAAAGGGTTTTTGATTTGAATTTTTTCGTTATCCTCCAACTTCAACCCTTGTATAGCTTCACTCATGGATCACTGGTGATTCATTATTTATAAACACTTTTTTTCTTCTTCAAGAAACCTATCTTTAATTAAACTAAGGCTGTAGAGTTCTAGAAATGCTTTGTCCTCTTCACTTTTTGTCGGTTCTGAGTGGGAGAAGTACCCGGAAGAATGGAAAGAAAGAATGGAAGGAGTTTCCATTTCTGACATTTCTTCGTCCAAGAATTTCAATGAGCAGATCCAACGGGAGAAGTCCGATCAACAATTGGGGAAAGGGAGAAGAGGTGAAGGAAGATTACGCTTAGAATTGAATTTATTTTGTGACTCTAGAATGAATCTGTCTAGGAGAAGGGATTCAAGAGATCCCAAAAGGACAACACTGACTACCTCTCTACAGAGTGGCGCACAATTATAGAAACCAATTATTCAATTCTCCTAATTTCATATTTATATGAATTTCCAAGTTAATTTCTACAGTCAATTTCAATTTTCCCATAATACTCTGTATAATGGACCTCTGAAAATGAGTTGAGTGCACCAGAGAGGGTGTATTTATCATTTGAACTCAACCCTAACTTTGAGCTTCACTTGCAATCTTTGAAGGAACACCTCTTTTCCTTATTGAGGAGAAAGATGGGGAGGAAATCCGATCCCGTCCATTTCCCTTATGGAATCACAAAGTTGCTTGGGTAAAAGGAAAAAAATGAAGAAAAGCTGATGTAATCTATCAATTTTCTAAACAAATATTCTAAAGACACGGGTTTTCCTTTTGAAAATCGTTCTTTTTCGATGACGGTAAAGGAGAAAAAAGATTGGCTTTTATTTAGAGAATGGTAGATAAAGATCAGAAGAATCTAGAGATTTTCGGACAATATCTTTACATCTTGTATTCAAATAGACATCTTTCGGGCATTTTTTTTTTAAATTAAGCGATTTTTAAAAGGAAAACCCGTGTCTTTAGAATATGCACAAAGTAAACAAAGTCAGATAGCACAAAGTAGACGAAGTCAGATAGCACAAAGTAGACGAAGTCGGATAGCACAAAGTAGACGAAGTCGGATAGCACAAAGTACACGAAGAACAAGTCAATCAACTGGCTTCAGGATTGAAGTCCATGAAAGAAGACAATGCACAAAATATTTAAAAAATAGCTTTACGAAAATCCTACCATTATCATGTTGCAGTATTTAATCTTAAATTTGCAACTTCAAAGTTAAAACAGAAGTTTTCATTCTCAGAAATGGATTCCACAAAAAATAAATGACTGACTGAAATCGAGTTTCGAGAAAGTTTCAAGGAAAATATTCAAAATTCTTTTTTTTTTTCAATTTGTATTTTAAACCGTTTAGTTTTTGTGCTTTAGTCTCCCATTTTTTGATTGATTTTCCCCCAGAAACTTTGCAACTTCAGTTTTCTGAAATCAAAGCCCTCTTTAACCTTGAATCTTTAAAATCCATGAACTGTTGCTCTCTTTGAAGCACTCTCAAATGAACACTCCCCTTCCACCCCAAAATTCTTCCCACTTCTCCCTCAGTCAAATAGACATCTTTCGGGCATTAATGCGCTAATTTTTGTGCTTTAGTCTTCCATTTTTGATTGATTTTCCCCCAGAAACTTTGCAACTTCAGTTTTCTGAAATCAAAGCCCTCTTTAACCTTGAATCTTTAAAATCCATGAACTGTTGCTCTCTTTGAAGCACTCTCAAATGAACACTCCCCTTCCACCCCAAAATTCTCCCCATTTCTCCCTCATTTGAATCTCCGATTTCATTCAATTCTCTAGACAAAAAGAAAAGAGAAACTTTTATCGCCATTGTTTTTTTCTGATGATTATTGGCTTTTCGAAGGAACGCCTACTGAATTTATGGGAATTTGTGGAAAATTTTGAACAAAACAAGGCTTTGCCTATCCAGAATTGCTAACTTTAACTTTTATTAGATAAAGCCTACTTCAATGCCTTGTTAACTGAGATCAGACCTCGACAACTCGTCTAGAAAATTCCAGAAATGAGCCTTTACCCATCTCTTCTCCATTCAGCTCAACCCACATAATTTCCATATGAATTGGTGGATCGGATTTCGCGTAGGCACTGGGTCGTTTAATCTTCAGAAAATCTCTCTCAAAATAAGTTCTCAATTCCGCCTCAATAAGGAACGACCCGTTTTTTCATCGATGACATCAAAGTTCTCAGTCTTCAATTACTTGCTTATGCAAAAAAATAATAATATAAAGGCCCATTCAGTGCTTTGAACTTAACCAGTCCACCAGAAAAGCCGTGTTTTCAAGCTGGTCACTTAAAAGTGACCTTTTTTTGATCTCCTTGGTTACTAATGATTTTCATTTTGATATATGTTGGCTTAAACCTTATCATTTTGATATATATTGGCTTAAACCTTATCCTGAAAATAAAGGATTCAGTGTTTCCATTTTCAACCGAAAGTTCAACCCAAACTTCAGCTCAAAGTACACTCATTCATTCCAATTTTTCCCTAAAATATAGTCTTCGTTTCACAATGAAATGTGAAACTTTTTGAAAGGTAAAGAAATGACCAAAATTTTGACCTGACGATCAAAAGCATTATAGCCTACATCAATCTGAACAATTTTAAATGAACTTTTAGATTTTTAGATGAACATCTCTTGTCAAGAGAACTTTCAAAATCTTATTTTTAAGTTCAAAAAACATCCAAATTAGCTTAAAACCCTAAAGAAAGCATGTACATTTATTTCTAAATATCTCTTTTCTTCCTTTCATATATCTTTCTCCTCAAATGGATATTTCTTTGATTTTTGATTGTCATAGTATTTTCAAAATTCACCCCAAAAATGTTCTATTCTATTCTATTCTATTCTTTAATTCTATTCTGTTCTATTGTAACAATTCTTCTATTCTATTCTTATAAAATTCTGAAGCTATTGTTGAAAGATATTTTCTAATTTTTAAAGGTATTAAGTCTAAGTAATTGTTTATTTTCAGAAACACAAATAGAGGCATCGTTGAATGCAAATTTCGAGTACTCATAGTAAGAGATGGACGAGTATGAAAAAACAGGACATAAAGAAGAGATATTTGTGGGGAACAGCCTTGGATGGTGCGAATGTTTACATGAAGCAGCTGAACCTGGACCCTCAAGAACGGCTAATATTATCATGATTATTGGTGAGATATTTTCGATTTAGTTAAAACACTTCTTTCTCACACTCCAATAAACCAAATCGAAAGTTTTATATGTCGTAGCCGATGCAGGATTTCAGCCGAAGAAGTCTCAGACTTCTTCAGCTAGCCGATTAAGTCTCAGACATCTTCGGCTAGCCGATTAAGTCTCAGACTTCTTCGGCTAGCCGATTAAGTCTCAGACTTCTTCAGCTAGCCGATTAAGTCTCAAAAATGAAATCTTGAGTTATGTATTGACTCAGTCAATACCACAAACTCAAGCTCTCTAAAAGGCGCTTAAAAGCTAAAAAAGCATTCTAGTTGCAGTTGCATTTTTCGACCAAACTAAACAACAAAAATAAACAATTCACAAGTTCTTTGACCTAAAAGCAAACAAAATTCTTCGGCTGAAATCCTTCATCGGCTACGACATATATAAAAAGTTCTTTGCATTCTTGGCTAACAGATGAGAAACAGTTTTTAAAGTTAATATTTCTATTTCAGGCGTTCTTCCAGTGATGTCAATAGTCGGCGTTTTCTTTAATGTGATCAACGTGATTGTCTTTCGAACACAACGAAATGTAGCTGCGAGATATCTTGCAGCGCTCAGTTGTAGTGATATTGGTAGATAAAGGTTCTTGATTCAGTAAACTTTTCATTTGAGGTGTTTGCGTGGCAGGCGTTCTTGTGATCTGTGCTGATTCCCTGCGTGCCTACAATTTCTTTATCGATCAACTTTTCGTTTTCCTTTTGCCAAAATTGATTCCAATAGGTGAATCTATTGAAATTAGAGATATTTTAGAGAAAATTATAGAATTGTACGTAAAATGAAAGTGAAAGTTCAGGCTTATTCTTTCAAATGCTTTCCGTTTACATCACAGTCCTTGCCGCGATGGATTGTTTCTATTCAGTGTATAGGTAAGTAAAATGAATGTAAAATGGTTAATGAACAAATTAAATAAAAGATTATTACCCTAAAGTCGCGAGTATAAGTTCTGTTTGGTTTTCGGCTGTTGACGGCTGTCTCCGGTGATTGACGACTGTCTCCGGTGCGGTGTGTCGAGGGTTCGAACCCCGCTGCAGCATAACTTTTTTGCTTTTTAAGAACAATAATAGAAGTAAATTTATTGAGGGTTATAGCAATTGTATGCTGTTATTTGTTGCTCCGAGCGTGGCTCAGCGCGTCCGCCCTGCTCCTCTCCGGTGCTCAGTCTTAAGGATCCCTGGCCTCTTCATCCGGCCAAAGTCCACGTCGACGGTCGAAAGAGATGCTTTCCAGCGTCTTCTTCAACACTATCGTCTGGATGTATCTATGCACATAACAAATAGCAATGGCTGCCACCCTGTAGTATCCCGCGCTCCAAGAACAATAATAAAAGTTTATATAACAATAAAAATGTATAAAAATCCAACAAAAAGAAATTCAAAGCAATTAAAGCGAATGTAAATTAAGGCAGAACTTATATTCGGATGAATTTATACTCGAGACTTTAAGGTATATGATTATTTAAAGATAAAATTATTAAAAACAAAATTTCAGAGGCACTTACGCTGATCGAAAACGTGAGAGATTAGCGCCAAGAGTTTTGATGATGTGTGTCTTCTTTGTAGCAATGTATAACGCGATTCAAGTATAAATAATTGAATACTTTATAATAAAGATAAGATTTCTCTATTTTCATCTAAATTCTTTTCAGTTTCTTGATCTTGAAGCTCGAGAATGTGTCCATCCAACTCTCAACTTTTCCCTTTATGAACTCTGCCCAACCGAGCTCCGAATCTCTGATGCTTATGTGGAAATTTACAAGTAAATTATTAATAAATCTAATTTTAAACGTTTTAAACGTTTAGGGGCTATATGTATGCGGCTTCGATGGCTTTTATCCCTTTCATTTTATTGAGTTTTCTCACAATTGGCATTATCTCGATGTTAAAGCGAAAAGAATCGACTAATGCGATTATTGGTGAGCGAATTTCTTCTTTCCTTTCATTTTTTTCCTTCATTATTCTTTTTCCCCTTTCAGTTTTCAATTTGGAATCCGAACATGGTCTATTAATTCCAGCACCTGGTTACGTTAAAGAGGAAGGATCACCAACCGTCCTCCTTCTCGTCATTCTCCTTTTTCTTCTTTGCAATGTTACTTCACTACTCGTCAATATTTTTGATATGTTTAAAATGTGAGTCGATAAATGGATAATAGTTGTAGAAAACAAAGGATTAAGCTGCTCAGAAGGTATATTAATCTGTTCAAAAGCTATATTAAGCTGTTCAGAAGGTATATTAAGCTGTTCAGAAGGTATATTAAGCTGTTCAGAAGCTATATTAAGCTGTTCAGAAGCTATATTAAGCTGTTCAAAAGCTATATTAAGCTGTTCAAAAGCTACACTACTGGACAATGAAATATGATATTTGAAAAAAGATCGTCACTTTCGCGCGTCTGTAACTCCCTTGTCTTTACCGTATTTCTAAATATTAATATTACCATCGTGTAGCCCTTGAAAAGAGCTTTCAGAAAATGTATAACACTAATATTTTAAACTCAAAGACAATGGAGTTACAGACGCACGAAAGTGACGATCGTTTTTCAAATATCATATTTCAATGTCCAGTACTGTATATTAAGCTGTTCAGAAGGTATATTAAGCCGTCCAGAAGCTATATTAAGCATTAAGCTGTTCAGAAAGTCTTTTCATTTCTTTCCATTCAATGGCTTGGTGGTTTTGAAGGAAAGAACGAAAAGAAACGAAAAGACTTTCTGGACAGTCCAATACAGCGATCAGTATTCATTTTCAGCGATTTGGGCAATTTCTTCCAAAACGTGATGATCGATATTGGCAATTTGTTGGTGGTTTTCAATGCGACTGCGAATTTCGTTGTCTATTATTTCTCTTCTAGAGAATATCAGGAAATGGCTGACGGTTTGCTTGGTTCATTCGTGAAAAATTCGACTCCACATCGAAAGAAATGTCCACTCGATTATGGAACAACCGGGCCATCAAAAGAGAATGAATTTCTTTAAGATAAGAAGCGAGGATTTGTTTTTTCAGCTTTTTGGTATAAGATCTACAGTCGTTTAAAGATTTAAAGATTAGAATCTTTTTTTAAAAAGCTGTTTATTTTATAGAATCTAAAGATCTAAAGATATCGAGCTATCCAAATCGAATTCTCATATCCAATCCCTTTTGCAATTCCCATATACAATCGAATTCTCATATCCAATCCCTTTTGCAATTCCCATATACAATCGAATTCCCATATCCAATCCCTTTTGCAATTCCCATATCTAATCCCTTTTTTGCCCTTGTATCCTTTTCATGTATTCTAATTTCTGGTCAAATAATTATTCATTTAACGGGTTTAAGAGTGTGTCCTTTTTTTGCTATGCCAAAGATTTTCATGTAAGAATTGATGTTGATTATGATTTCTGTGTATAAAATAAATTTGGGCGATTTCTTCCAAAACGTAATGATCGATATTGGCAATTTGTTGGTGGATAAAATAATTCAATGCGACTGCATTGAATTATTTCGTTGTCTATTATTTCTCTTCTAAAGAATATCAGGAAATGCTTGACGGTTTGCTTGGTTCATTCGTGAAAAATTCGACTCCACATCGAAAGAAATGTCCACTCGATTATGGAACAACCGGGCCATCAATTCGACTCCACATCTTTGCTTTGCTTTTACCCAACTTTTACCCAAACTTTGAACTCTTTTTATTCAAGCAATACTGTTTCGTAAATGTGGAAAAATGGAAATCACCGGAATGTGAAATGAAGAGACGATTGGATGACGAGAACGAGTTGCGTAACTGAATCAAAAGATATTTCAGAAAGAGAACTGATAGAATTGATTAGCCAAAAGCAGTGTTTGTATCACAGCCGGGAGAAATCGTGGGAGTAAAAGGAAATGGAAGATGGGGAAGTGAAAGCTTTCGCAGGAAAACGAGTGGATAAATAGGATTAAAGTTTAAAAGTGAGTATAGTCTCAGATTATGAATACTTTGGATGACAGATATCCCTCGATATTGAGTCACAATCGCTCGATTTTGGATTGAAAAACGTTCCTGGAGAGCAATGGAAATGGTATGACTGACCGCTGACACAACGGTAGAATCTAGAAAGAAAAAGATGTAATGCTGTTTAATATTGGGTGGTATTGATTGAATAACAATTAACTGATCTTAAAATCAATAGCAATATCAATAGAATCAATAGCACAAGTTAAATCTTTAGCTTAACTCCTTAACTTTGCCTTATTGATTACCTTGAGCACTCAATGGGATCCGGATAGAAACCGTCCATCTTTTCGTGACAGGAGAAGTCTGGAAAGCTTTTGTTGGCATCAAACAAGGCATCTATTTTTGTAACCAACTTGATGACCCAACAGTGGTGGATTGTGAAGTAGTTGTGAATGGGGAAATCGACGGAGGAGGAGTGGGAAGAGTGGCTAGAGGAGAGACACAACCTGATTCAGAAATCGATATATAAAAGATCAGTGTTAAGCGGTTTTAACTAATATTACATGAAAAAAACAAGCTTTAACCTACCTGAGTCACTAGGGCGAACACAGTGTCCTTTCTCTGCTGAATACTGAAGTCCCGATGGGCAAGACATTGGATAGGCTGAGCCTGAAAATTCACATCGATTTTTGAGGTTTTTATATTGTAGCTTATATAGTAAAGGAGAATTTTACTAGATTATTTATTTGATTATTTTAATTCTTACCCTCAAGACACAAAATGAAATGCGAGCAAGAGGTATCACTTTTATAAAAACCGTCCTTTTTATTGCCACAAGTGTTCAGAGTCTGAAAAGTTTCTTTCAAAGTTTCTTTGTTTCAAAACTGTTGTTTCCAACATCTGTAAAAACTTACAGGTGGTAACGTGAAGGTTTTAGGTCCCATTGTTACAGAAGGAATAGGTCTTTTGGTAGATGGTTGAGTAGAAGTCTCTGGTGGAGGTGTGGGTAGAGGAGTGGTAGGCTGGAAAAGAGTTTCATTAGCAGAATGTAATGATCTAGATCTGGCTATCTGAGGAAAAGGCTTATCTGATCTAGATTTACTGCAAATCCCCGCAATAAGTCCAAGAGTTAGACCTGGTTCACCGGTTGATCAAAGATCTCGATTTCCCAACTCACCCGTCTCACTTCCACTCCACCCAATTCTTTCGCAATAATATTAATAAGTGGATATGGTTGCCCATTGCTTTTCGAACATTTCCCGTTAAAATCGTCGAAATCGAGAGTCCACACAAAGGCGCCGCCAAATCCTTCTTTTTTCACGTAAGCTATCTAAAAAAACTTTGTAAAAAGTGAAGAATTGCCAAAGAAAGTGTTTAGAAATTGAAATTTAAAAGCAAACCTTTTTATAAACCGATTCTTCATCGTCATACGACCACCATTGATTTCCTTTTGTCAGATAAGGCACTTGATGCTCGACATGCCAATGCCTCTCAGCTCCATTATCCACCATTTCACACAGCTAAAGCATAATATATCTTTTTAAAAAGAAAAATAATAATATAGATCGAAAATATTTGTATTTCTATATGTATTTCTATTTGTATTTCTATTTGTATTCTATTTCTAAGCCTTAACCTCATAGTACGAGGCGACTCCAGCCTCTTGCACAAATTCAGTAATCTTCGCTGGTGCATTCCCTGTTGAATTCAACGGATTTGCAAGATTCTCTTCCTAAATCGTGAATTACTTACTTTACATTTAAAATCTCGACAAACCTTCACAGTAAATCCACGTCCATACGTGCCGATTCCGATGAGAAGCTTCTCTTTTGGCATTCCCTTTTCCACCCAATGTTTAGCTGCCCAATCCTTAAGTTTTCTTCATTTTTTTAGACTCACATTGTTTTTGTTTGCTTGTTTATCTTGTATTATCCTTTCTACTCACCACATTCCAATGTTTTTGTGGTTCTTGAAGATCTTTCCTTGAATAGAGAGGTGAATTCATTCCGACAACTCCATCCCATGCACCCCAGAAATCATAGGACATCAGATTGACAAAGTCGAATGGTCTGAAAGAAGCATAAAGGATTTTTCAATGGAAATTAATGCCTATACATCAATTTCTTGACAATGAGACTACAATAGACTCGGCTAATAGTAAGCTAATCATTCTACACTGAATGCTGTTATTAGCATGTTTATCTTGTATTCTCCTTTCTACTCACCACATTCCAAGGACGAGGCTATTATTAGCATTCAGTGTAGAATGAATCTCAAGCAAGAAAACGGCTTACTTTGCAAGATTCGGAATATCATATGCTTGATCAATGGTGGCAATTCCGGCAGAAACAGCTGCAGTCACCAATAGCCTCGTCTTTTCCGCACTCACCGCCTCAGCCTCTACGGCTGCACGGAGCTCCTGAAATTTGAAAGATTTTTTTTGTGGCTATTAAGCGAATCCATACATTGATCAATGCTGTGAAATGATCCTTAACAGACGGTCCTTTCGGGTATTCCCAATCTAAGATTTATTACGAATTGTGAATGAATTTCATACCTATATCAACTCCATCGAAATCCCATTTTCTCGCAAAAGCAATCGACGAATCGATAAATGTCTTTCGACCAGCTTCTGTCTTTGCCATTTCCTGAAAAGTTTAGATATTAGATATTAGATATTAGATATTAGATATTAGATTTAAATTAAAGCTAAACCAATGAGCAGCTCTTCTATAGATATTAGATTTAAATTAAAGCTAAACGAATGAAAAGCTCTTCTCTTCTCTATCCTCACCTCGAAAAGCCTTGTCCCGAAACTCCATCCACCAATCGATATTCTGCTTTGAAAATATAAGAATTTATGATTTCATTTAACAAACAAAGTCTTCAATCCTCGATCTTTTTGCTTCAAAGCATTCACACGTCGATACATTCCCTGTCCCGCCCAATCATTTGGCAAATCAGCCGGATCGAATGCTCTAAACAAAATCTACTTTCAGTTCATTTTGCACTTCACTGACTTTACGGTAAAATCTTCCTTCATCCATCCAAAAGCAAAAAGTATATGGGTACAGAGACCGGGAATATAATCCTCGGGTACATATTTAGCCCGAGGTTTTCTGTATTGAGCCCAGTTCGTGAAATAACATGGTCGAAGAAAGCCTCCATTTGGATCACCTCGTTTGCGAATTGATCGATGGACTTCTGAAAGAGAAAGGTTTAGTTGTAAGCTTAACTATGAGTGAAAGAGGAATGAGTGGGTTTAATAAAGTTAGCTAGTAAGGGGGTTTAATAAAGTAAGCTATTCTAGACCTCCTTGACCTACTAGTACTAGTAAAGTGGGTTTAATAAGGCTTCCAATAAAGTTAGCTCAAGCTATTCTAGACTTGACCTGGATTTGGAAACATTTACAATTAGAAAAACCAAAACTAACCATTCTCAGAGAAACTCGTCACTCCATATACAGCTGTGAGAAGTAGCAGTAACGAATAAATCATTTTCTCGTGAAAAAGGTCAGACTCGAATAGGTAACATCAGCAAGTTGATGGATGTGCGAGAGGGATTGAAGGGGCACCGGTCACTTGATGGACCTGTCCCTCTTTCTCTTTGTCCATACCAGGACTGTGCCCCATTGTGTACTCTGTGGTTCTTCTTCTCCCATCCCTCTCCTCTCTACAATCCAACGATCACGTCTCTTTCTTTTCCAACTGCTTCTTCTTCTCCTCCTTCTTCTTCTTCTTCTTCTTCTCCTTCTTCTTCTTCTTCTTCACGCACCCTTCCCTTTCCCCAGCCCGGACACCCAAAACAACAGTGTTAAAGCACTAGTGTGTGGGGGTGAAGAGTCCCCCCTTTCCTTTCACACTTCCGCACCCAAGTACCGCTCTCAGTGACGCTCCAGCAATGATGGGTAGTCTTTTTTGAATCTAGGTTTCTGTAACTGTGTAAATGTTTTCCCAATATTCATTCAACATTTATTTGCCACCTGAATAGAAGTGTTCTCTCTTTTCAAAGCAAAGATACAGAAAATAGAAAAAAATAATTACACGTAGAAGGGAAAAATCTCTCGTAAACGATTATGATTTGAAATGAATGCGAAGGGGAACACCGGGCTGAAAATTATTGATTGATTGTTGGTCGAACTCACAAAATGATTTCGAATGGGTGAGAGGATTTACAAAAGGAATGGAGCCATGTTCTCCTCGAGATCCAGAGGGAGTTCCTGAAAATGAAATTCTGGTTTAGGAGGAAATTTCAGGAGCTCCGTGCAGCCGTAGAGGCTGAGTGCGGAAAAGACGAGGCTATTGGTGACTGCAATTCTTGAAACTTGACATTTTTGTCTTTCTGTTTTATTTGCTTTAGATAAATTCTTCAAAATGGACAAACAAAAGGTTATAATCTTCTTAGAATTACTTATAAAATTGATATTGCTTTTGATTTCACAGCTTCACAGCATTCTAATTGTTGCACTTACTTGTTCCTCTTGTGCCTCTTGTTCCTCTTGTTCACTCATCACTGGTTCTTCAACGGCGAGCGGTTTGAGAGCAAAGTTGACGAGAAGAGCCGAGTCTCGCACCGCATTCTTCACCGTCACCTGAAAAGCTTTGATGTTAAATGCTTAATCATTCATTTATCTTGATCATTTTTGATCATTTACCCACATTTTGTCTTCCCAATTCATATCCCTCAGCCTCAACAACAATCTCGTACTTTCCCTCAGGAAGAAGTCGGTAATATTCACCACCAAGACCTACAAATTAAAAAAGAATATATTACACAAATGATATACAAATGATATACATAAACAATACACAAGCACAACCCCTAAATAGGAAGAAAAAGCCAATAATCCAGCCGGGATTGAACCACTGACCTCCCGAATAAGGTCCAAGGTTCTTAGCCAGGTTTTTAGCCAGGTTTTTAGCCAGGTTCTTAGCCAGTCGGTCATGGCAGAAGATCAAAGGTTGTTTTAATTTCCTGATTGAAATCAACTCGAATCATTTCTTTTCCTCACCAGTCTGGACAGCGTGCTTGATGGGCAAGCTGGAAGTTCCATTCATCACCCAAACAGCCGCTTCTTCGATCGGTTCTCCCGTAATTCCATCAGTCACAGCTCCTTTCACTCCCGAATGAATCTAATTTGGGAAATTGTAATTCAGCAAATTTGTCTTTCTTTCTTTTTACCTTCCACATATATTCGAAGAGAGCCTTTTTGTTGTCTTCCCACAATTGGGGGAGAGTGTTTCCAGCGGGCATTTTCTCGCAAGCGAGCTCGAGCGTGACCTGAGAAATGAATTTATTGAAAAATCGAAATATTGTAAACGATGGTTATTCTAGTGATTAACTTTTCTAATAAGTTTCAAATTTCCCCATAATTCTCACCTCCATCGCATTTGTGGCAAGATAGTTGAAATCTTGCATTCCACCGGCAACCGAGTACCATTTGGCGCCATTCGTGATTCCTCCTGAACACAGATAATCATTCTAAATTCTTCATTTATGATTTACCTTGTGTACCGAAAGCATCTCTTGTAGTTCCATCACAAGGCGGGTGATCGGGCTTTGACATATGTGCATGAGCTTGGGCATAAGTCTGAGCCAACCAGCTAAATTAAATAGACATTAACAATGTAGAGTTGTCATTTAGAAATAAAACCTTTTGCATTTCATTTATTTGAATACAAGCTTTGAATACAAGCTTTTTCTAATCGTAACAACTTCTCACTGACCGGAAAGTCCCATCATCGGGTGAAGCGCTGTACTTGGATGGAGCCTCATGGGGAGTCGAATCGAATGGATAATTGGCAACCTGGAAATACAACTTCTTTAAAAATACTGCTGAGTTTCATTTCTTGTTCTAATATTTTTAATGAAATGAATACTTTTCAAATCTTTCACAAACCAAATCTCCTTCGTGAAGATTCGCGGAAAGAACCCAGGGAAGAGACAAGATCCACCGCCCCACTGATACTGTCTCTACTTGTCTCTAAACATATTTTTGAAAAAAAAATCATTTGAAAGCATTTAAACCATCCAGTTAAACTATTCAGTGTAATACCTCTTTGCTCTCGTCAAACATTTCCATCAAATGATCGAATTTGGGTACTTTGTGCTCCTCCAACGCGTAGAAGACGCTGTCGAGGTCGGGGAAATCACTGAAATTTAGTTGAAAACTATTTTTGCAAAAAACAATGACTTATAGATGGGGTCGAATCCCGAAAAATTCCATCACAAGTACTACTCTTTTTTTATCCCATCCCCTTTCTTCTCCCTTACTTCCCCTCCTCTTCGCTTTTCGAATCAGGCCACTAAAGGCCACGGTTTTTGCAAAAATAGAAGGCCGCAGGGGATTCGAGCCGCAAAGGCTCGGAGCGAGAGACCCGTGTTTTTGCATTGCGCCATGTAAACACACTGACGCTGTGCTTTTTTTGCACTCTTTACTGCGAATCCTAGGAGGTTTTGCTACCGATTGAGATCGATTCCATTGGCGTTTGATCGGCCGGTCAACCATTGGCGTTGAGCTGGGGGCTAAAAAAGAATTTGAACATTTTGAAGAAGCTAATTTTGTATGTTTTTAACAACTAACAGTGTTCAAAGCGAGCTCAAATCCATCAGGATTCATCGATGGCAAGATATGAATGGATGTCGAGTTGAGAAGAGAGACCACTTCTTTGTCTTTCTTTTGGTATCCAGAACACAATTCATCAGCCAATCTAAAATCAATTTAAAAGGTTTCATTTTCCCATTCTCACTTGATCAAAAGTTCTCGTCCAACGGGCTCATTTCCGTGCACTAAATCAATAAATAAAGATGAAAGAATTGATTTTTAATCACAAACAACAGATTTAAACCCACTATTTCCAATATATTTGAGTTCAGGCTTCACTAAAAATTCTCATTGAAAAGTCAGGGATTATTTGAACTCACAGAATTCATGTGAACCAGGGGTGGTTGAGAATTGAATGACAAGCAGTTCACGCTCCTCAACAGATCGACCGATTGAGTAAAGAGAGGTAATCTGAAGAATGATAAAGGTTATGATAGAACTAGATATTTCTAGAACTAGAAAAAGATGATATTAATTAGAAAATAGCCTAAAAACATTTCAAATTGAACACTCACATCCGGGCATTTCTTATTGATCTCGGCGAGTTTCCCGATTAATTCCTCGTGTGAATGATAGCTGAAAAGGAAAAGGTTTTTCATAGTTTAAATCGATCGTTGATTGGAATCGATTGAAAAAGCTAAAGCTGGAAAAGTAAATTAGATCAAGATCTGTGTCAATTGTCAGACTTTATTTGATACTTTTCACTGTAGTAAGAGACAGCACATTGCAACTCGAACTTATTCTACCATTCATCAATTAAAAACTCTTTTCAGAAACAGTTTTTTTGATTGAACACAACTTTGATTACTTCTAAACACAGCCTGGATGCAGTTCCACCCAAATTTGAATAACCCAATTTCTTCATAAGTCTATCCATAGTTACGGATGAAATAGCCCACTAGGACCACCACTTTTCTAGACTTACTTCTTCCATTCATCCCCAGGATTGGGAGCAGAATTGGCGGTGACAAATAGGGCAAAAAGCCCCACGAATACAGTCAATCGGCTGTCGCGCATCGGGACAGCCATCACGAATGACCTGAAGAAGAAATATTCGGGAAAGGGAAGGGGAAGGGAAAAGAGAGAAAAGGCCAGAGAAAAGGCCTCTCTGTTGAGCCCAGTGGGGCAAAAAGAGGGCCCTCGAGGGGCCGCTGCCCTCTTTTCTCCCATCTCGATGACGTGACTTCAAACGATTCTCACCACCCCGTCTTTCTCCATTGATTCTCCTCTACGTTCTTCGCATTTTTTTTCTCCTTTTTCGTTCAACATCCCTTTTAACAATACTCTCATTTGGAGAATTTTCTCCCCACACCCACATCCCTTTTCCCAGTTCCTCTCCGGATATCAGCTATCCACGAGAATTTCACAAGATTAGAAGTGAAAAATGTTCTATCAAATGACATTGGGAACCTTTGTGAAGACTTTTATAGTGTGATTTTGATGCTTTCGAGTGAATAATTTATTATCTGGATCATAACACTAAAACCTCTCTGAAACACTCATATCACAAGCTAATGCGAAATCATAAGCAAAAAAAATGGAATGTCTTCGATTACAAATATTATTAGCGACAAGAAGCCTAAACTAGATTTTGGAAAAAAATGGGTAAACGATGAGCGAAAGTGAAGTCATCATTTGGTGAAGAAAATTGGGGAAATAAATTATGCAAAAAGATCTAGACAAAAAGAAATGATTGCACAAAAGGAATGGGTAGTAAAAAGTGAGAGAATAACCAAAAGAAATAACAAAACGTAGCTAAGTAGTTTGAAATACCCTAGTAAATGACACAATTAATAATTAAGGGTTGACATAAATATGGACTAGCACTTTTTACACCTCACAAAAATTCTCATTACACAAAAAATATTCACATTTCTGACTAATGCTAAGTGAAATACATCTACTGAATTGCTTGAAAAAATCACTATAAACTATCCTAAATTTAAAACTCAAAATAAATTATTAAGCAAATCTATAAATTGAAAACAGAGGGTAACTTGCGAATTTTCAGCGAATTATCGGCACCACACGAGAACAGCCGCATATTTGGGTCGATGTAGAGCTGTTGAACACCTTGTACATTGTTTGCACTGACCTAAAAGAAAGAATATAGCCAAGACTAAACAATTTCAAAGCATTTCCAACTTCTGGATAAGAACTAAAAAGCCCCTTCCCAAATCATATCTGATGGGTAATTTTGAGTTCAACAGCAAATTTTTTCGAAAGACCTTTGATCTGCTTTCCAGCCAACTTTTTGGGTAAATTCTAACTACAATTGCCTAAATCTTTATTATAAAAACTTTTGTAATAAATATGTAGAGAAAAAAATACCTGTCTGAAACTAAATCCGGATTTTGCCGTATGCTCGCCTGGCAAGTGATAAATGAGTTGCGGATTTACATCAGCGGACCATATCTAAATGTTAAAATAAGTTTTCTAGATGATAATTCAATCCAATTTTATTAGTATCAAATATTTTCCAAAACCATACCTTGATATCCCCATCACTTGAACCAGCCACAATCATGGTATCGTGTGAGGGGTCGGCTGCGAGTGTGCGAACGGCTTGATTTGACTCGAAAGCTTTCACCGTGCTTCTCATTGCATGTGCTCTCACATCCCAGACGCAAATCTCTCCATGCCGCCCTCCTAAAGTACTTGTAATTGGATTTAAGTATCTAAATTTGAAGCAAGCTTTACAGAATACAGAATGCAAACACCAAAACCTGAAAAAATGGCGTGTTGAGATGGAACATAGAGAGCACAAGTGGCTCCTTCGGGGTGGCATGACCATGATTGAACACACGACTTTGAGGATGGCATCAGCGTGTCCCATAGACCTACAACTAGTAGTAATAAATAAAAAAGAAGCAACGCACAAAGATTAATGTCTCCGCTACTTGTTCCAGCTGTCACTAGTTGAGAAGCCGATTGACCGATAAACCCGACCTCTGTAGCCGTTTTGTTGTGGCATTTTACGTTCTAAAACATGTTTTTTATTCGATTAATCAAATAAAACAATCAGTAGTTACTCACAAAGAATGGTTTCTTTGGCTCTTGTGCTTGCCCAGCTTGCCAAAGACATAGCATTCCATCGCCATCCACTGCCGCGAATTTGTTTCCGTTTGCCGAAAAGACGATTTTTGTCACCTAAACGAATAATCATTGAATACTCGCGCATTATCAATGCGTGTACTACCTTAGCATGTTGCCCAGCTACTCGAGCAGTGTAGACGGGCTAAAACATTGTCTGTTAGTAAACCATAAACAAAAAACGCACTTGTCCAACTCCCCATTCCCACACGCGAATCGATCCATCTGATGAGCCAGTGACATCTAAAAAAATAGTTCAGAAAGATTTATTATCATATCACAGACTATAAGCCCCTTCAAATAATAAACTCACAAAATGGCGCAGTTGGATGTCCATCCATACGTCGAATTCCAGTGATCGTGCGCTTGAACATCTAAAAAAAGTTTTTATTACCATTCTATAATTGTAATAACCACAACCAATACTATTACTTTCACTATTACAACACTATATACCTTGCGTAAGCCCATACGGGAACGATCAATAATAAAGGGAGTTAGCGACTTGAATCAATAAATTTGCATTGCTTCAAGAAAAAACAAACCAAGTTGGGCCCTGACGTTTTCGGATTTCCTGTATTGATCAATTGATAGTCGTCGTTGTCCTTTAACGTGTCTTTTTTTAGTGTGGAGAACTCAACGTCCAATTCGGTCCTTAAATTTGCCATTAAGAGGCTTTAAAAGTTGCAAACCTATTATTCAGCCAAGACACGGGTGCTGATGCATTTTCCAGTAATGATGAGATGTCCATTTCTTGCAGTTCGCGTCCAGTCGACACCACAAGCCATCCAAGTTTATCCTAAGAAAAAAATAAAATTGTTAACGTTGATATTACTGACCGGATTCACTGCGAATGCCACAATCGGTTCGTGGTCTTTTTGCACAATCTTGTAAGGTTCAGATATTTGTTTTTCTTCCTTTGACATCCCATGAAGAGTTGAATCATTCTTTCCTGATTTTTGTTCCTAAAAGTTGAAAATTTAGTATTGATCATTTGCTGCTTACCTGTTGGCCTTGCGATCGGAAGATGTGACGCACAAAGATTCCCATCAGATGCTCTTGACGAACCAAGTAAGACCATAAACGACGTACAGGTAGGACTTTTGGATCATCGGACTCGAACGGAGTATTATCTGAAAAGCAAGACAAATTGTTCGGTTCATAAACTTTTCCTAGTCAAGTCACTCACTGGGTCGAAGAAGAACGCGATATTTGCTCATCGATGGCCCTTGATGTTGTTCAGTTGGATCCAAAACCATTGAGGGCAAAAGGTCTTCTACTGGAGCTTTTGTTTGCAGATCGAGCACAAGTTCAGATGACCAATTGCAGAGGACGTGAAGAATTGATGCAATTCGAGGAGCGGTTGATGGAATATCCGAGGGATCAAATCCAGCAAGCACCAAATATTGTTTCAATCGGATGATCACATTTTCCACAAGAGCCACTCGGAGAATTGCCCAAGCATATGAATCTGGATCAGCGGCAGAACAATAACTAAAATCTCCATTACGGTTGTGAATATAGAAAATACAGCAAAATCCCCAAATAACTCACTCATCCTCATCGTCGTAATCGTGAATTTTCTTTTGCTCATCGTCGCTGTCTGTTTCCGAATCGTAATCAATGCCCATCTCATTAGTACCCAAGGTTGGCTAAAAGCAGTATGTGTACGCTTAGGCTTAATATTTCTGCTTACTTTCTCGGCAAAAAGTTGCACTATATTTTTCGAAGGTGGAACCCATTTAAGCACAGTCTGCTCAATGAGTGGCATGACAGAAGAGCCTGTTGATGCTGATAAAGTGATCGGTGCGTCAGCGCCAAATACCTAAACAAAACTATTTTCCAAATTACTAAATAAACATTTACTTTAGCGTGTAATTTGGCTCTCAAAGTTGTCGAATCAATAACAGCCACAGGTTCACCGGTGTTATCGTTTGTTTTCGGGATTTCGTGCGATTGCCGGGGAGCAGATGGCCCTAAACCAAAGCGTAAATGAAATTGTTCCATCACAAAACACGACAACTACAATACAAGGTGTAGGCTTACTTGGTGGCCTAACCGGAGGAATGCTCTTCAGTCGTTTTTCCCCACCACCACCAAAAATTGCAGCAAACTCTCTCGGCCCGATTGCGTGACTTGTTAATCGGTATAACCAACGAGCATCATATGAGGCCATTGCGTAAGTGAACAATGACCTGAAGTTGGTAAATGTAGACAAGTTTATAAAAACAAAAACCATACATGAAAACGGATATGAAGCATTCGGCTAGTAGAAGGCGGAGCTGTGGAGTTTCTTCATCGCGTTCACGTCCAAGCAGTGCCACGAGAGTATCGACACCAGGCCAACGCGCCTAAACAAGAAGTATTTATTTCAAGCAAAATCTCAAGGCTACCGGTGCTGTCGAGACTCGAAGCTCATCATCTCGGGTCGATATGTTTCGGGACCGGCGTGTTAGTACCCTGAACTCAAAAGCATATTTGAAAAAATCTTTACTCTCACCCATTCGCTGACGTCTGATGCCGTAACTGTGACCGATGGAACGAGTCTGTTTCACTAAGCGATTGGTAGAGGCACGAAGAAAGACCAAGCGAGATTCCATACAATTTTGAGTACTAAAACACAAGATTATAAATACAATTTTAAGACAAACCTTGAGTAACGCAGACTCTTTTAGCTGGGGCACATTGGAAAGCTCGGCAATGGAAGAGAGTAGATCGTGACATTGCATTTCGATAAACAGAAGAGGTGACGTGACAAACATTCTCAATGGAGAAACAGAAGAAACCAGAAGTGGAAATGAGTTGGAATCGGGTAACCCTAAAAGGTAAAAATCAGGCAACTTTATATTTATTATCACTTTTTGTTTCATACCTGCGAGGTTATTCATTCCTGTATCTGTTTGCACTTCAAGCAACAACAAGAGGAGTTCCATCAATGCCGAGGTCAAACGATGACTTTGAGCCATATGAAGTTGACAATAAGAAGTGAATGATCTATAAAAATCAATCACAATGAAAAAAAACATTATGTTACCTAAGAAGTTTCTGATTTGATGCCAGCCATCGTCTTCTTTTGACCCCGATCCTCACTCTTGCGTTGAATTCTGCACTATCGTTTTTAAGAGCTTCGTGCATCGGGACAGGAGAATGGCTAAATGGTTTGACTGAAACTAAGTTGCTCCGGCACTACCTTCTCGACGAAACAAAATCAGTGCCTTCATCAGTGATGTCGACTTCGTTTTGAGTATCCGTCGTCCGATAATCGCACAAGTTCTTTAAAACCTCAACTTCCGATTCAAGCCAATTGAATAACTGAATTTGACGTGATTAAAAAACAAAACTGATTAAAATACTTGATATCGAAGCTGCCCTCCATCAACCACGTAACCACTGGCCAACGTGCTAAGTTCTTCTGTCAAAATGCGCAAGCTGGCGACAAATCGTAATTGCTGAGCGATGATATCCAAAGGCCCTTCATTTTTAAGGATTGGCTAAAAGTCAAAAAGTTCATAGATTATTTTGTTGACAAGCCTCTAGTTGTGAATCAATCTTTGTTTCCACGATTTCCGGCTTCTCTTCAATCTTCATTGTTTGCTCGGCTTCATCCTCTTCTTCCTCATCATCATCCCAATCGAGTTTCAGCTCATCTTCTTTCACCACATTTGTTGGTTGTGACCAATCCACGTTGACTGGTTCTGGTTTGGCAGAAATTCCGTTTAAAGAAGGAGTCTAAAACCAACAAATTTAAATGCTCAAAAAGTTGTACAGTATAAGATCCATCGAAACAGCGTTACCTCATCAATGAACATTGCTCGAATCGAATCACTTCCCGGCATCGCAATTTGAATATGTTTTGGCAATCGTGAAAGCACATCAAGCGCAAGCATCGGACAACTAATTTTTAGGTTAAAATAAAAGAAAATACACCGAACCCATGCGCCATATGCTCAGCAGCAGTTCTGAAGAATAGTCGTCGTTCAGCCGGTGTCAACATTTGTTCCATTTGTCGAGCAATTCCCAGAAACTTCTCTGTCGATCCAATCTAAACAAACGTAAAGATCTAATTTAAATAAAAAAGCACCTGTGTGCCGGCATCGGTCAATTTCTGTCGAACTACCAATGGGTGCAATCGTAAATATGTATAGAAGTTGAAAATATTGCTCAATGTGAACAGCTCGGGTTTGTTCGCATCTAATCGCCACGATGATGCCTCTTCGACAAGCGTGTGAGCTGATCGCGTGTAATCTTTTAATAGCCAATAAGCCATTGAGCGAATGAATGGATCCCTAGAATGGAATAAAAAAGAATACTACGATAATTTTACCTAGAAGCATTGCGATTCAATGCAAAATCGTCATCGGTTTTTCCGCGCATCTCCTCAAATTCGTCGACACTTTGCCCAAGAATTTCCCTAAAAGGATTTCACATGAAAAAGAAACCAAATCTCAGGCTACCTGCATAATATTTCCTTCATCATATTTTGTTGAGCTTCAGGATCTTGTTCGTAAATTCTCAACACAACCATCGCTAATTGAAGATCGTTTAAACGATGAAGAATGGTCTAAAAAAATTTAAAAGGTAAAAACTTCCCGGACTACCTGAAGAGCATCTCGGAGACTATTTGCCAATAAGAAAAAAGCGGCCGCATGTGCAAACCTGCAAATCAAAAAGCCTAAATAAAAAACACATTCTCAAGTTACCTTTGCTTGCTCATCAACACAAACGCGTTTTTCATCGCCACTTTTTGCCAATGTATCTCGGAAAAATCATTCATAAAAAACTCTGCCATCATTGTCGTGCGTGAGCTCTAAAATGAAAAAATCAGTGGCTAAAAAAATAAAAAGACCTTAAACAAATGCGTGAGAACATTTTTCTTCTTCAACGCCAGATAAAACAACGCAGCATCCATTGGATCTTGATTGGCCTGATAGGCCGCTTTTGCCAATTTTTCGACGGTAACCTGAAAATAATTATGAATGTTGAGGATTGACAAATTCTTCGCTAGCTGTTTTAAGACAGTAGGTCAATTCTGTTCTTATCAAACCTTTAAAGATGCTGTGCTTCTCATCCACCAAGCAGCCCCCAGAGTTCTTAGTTCGTCCCACGACGGATTCGATTTGTGCATACAAGGAATTGCATTCATTAATTCGGTTTCCGTCTCAGAATGAAGAGCCCAGATTATATGTGCAGATGACAAGCCCTTCACCTACAAATGATTGAGTTAATCTTCTGGGAGTTGAAAATTACCTTGAGTTGTTGGCGTTGCATTAATGGAAGACAAATAAGCAAGTATTCGTGTTGTTTCATGGCCATTAAAAAGCGTAAACCGCATTCATCAACAGTATCGACTCCACCTAAACGGACGCGTTAAAGTTGGATATTTGTGCTTACAATACCTGCTGCTGCTGCATATCCGCCAGCCTGGGCATGCTCTCCTAGCACCGATCGAGCTGCCGGCTTCATTGCTAAATAGCAAACTTTTTATTCTGCGTCTTTTTAACCTAAGGCTAATTGCAAGATCTAAAACTCACATGCATTTGCTTGTGTCAGCTTATCCATAACATCAGGACTGAAATGACTCAATGTGTCAGAAATGGCCAAAAGATGCATTTGATCAACGGATGAAAGGCCTAAACAAAAAAGTTATGCGTGCCATTTGTGCAGTGCTACCTGGTAAATGAGCATGTGTCAAATGTTCGGTGAGTGCTCGATTGTGTTTCGAAGAGAAGACAATCTGTATACCGGTTCTTTCTTTGATGCTTCCTGACTCTGAGCCCGATGATAGGTTTCTTTTTCGGCCCTGCTAAACTTTAAAGTTAATCATATCATAAAAACCCAGTTAATACCTCTTCTTCGTTTAGCAAATCATCGAGATTTTCTTCATCAACCGCGTTTCCAAAGAGCGTCTGGTAATCATTCTGAATTATAACAATACGAAAATTTTTGATCACGTTAACTTCTCCATGAATATCTTCAGCTTTTTGCCCTTGCACATCTGTGTCCTCAACTGCATCGGCCGCAATCAATGCGTAAAGCGGTAAAGGTGAAATATCATCCACTTCGTCGTAATCCGGCGCCTCGTCCATTGAAATTCCAAGCTGATAAAAAAATTACAGTGAACAAATAAGTTTAAACCTTTTGCGGCTCGTTTTTATCGTTTTTGGGGTTTGTCGAATAGTCAACTGTAGATAATCGGCGTATAGAAGCAGCTCTTGCTAGCGGTTCCATCGATTGACGTTTCCAAAAGCAAATCATCAACCATCAAGCCAGCTAAATAAAAAAGTACCTTCAAGCTCTGGAGGATGTGAAGCAGAATGGCTTTCACCCTTCTCGTTCGACCAGCATTTAACAGCACGAGTAACTGTTTCGGGTGGTACTGTGGAAGAATTGGTGAAGCATTTCGAGAAAATTCAAACAGACCTAAAATCATTTTTATTATTTTTTCTTTAGCCACTAACCGAGCCCAGAAAACGTTTCAACCAAGTTCTCCGCTTCGATATCGGGTTGGATTGCAGGAGGGACATAATGAATCGATCTAGCAAAAACATGATCACTACTAAAAATTTGCAAATTGGTACTTCTTGGAGGCTTCAAATAGTAGCTTGGCTCGCGTTCTGTCCTGTTCTTTAGCCTTTTTGCCCAGTTGATCGAGCATCGAATGCGAAGGACTGATTCCAAGTGTGCTTCCGGCTGTTCCTCTTCTTCTAAAATGCGAATAAAACCTCCTTAGAAATATTTACAAACCTTGCATTAAGTTCGGGTTTCACTTCCTTATCCTGCTTAGGCTTGAGATTCCATTGATTATAGCATCTAAAGTTTGGTACCTATATTGCTTGTTGACGTTTTTCAAAACCTCATCTCCGTTTGCATGCCCACGATGAGCAGCCCATCTCGTACCCAATGCAAAGTTGTAGGAATCGGCGGCAATCCATCGGCTGATTGCAGTTGAAAAACTCGGGTGCAGACCCAACGAGTCTAAAATAAACAACAAGGCTTTTGTATTGAATGCTGCAATTTTGCAATAGTAAAAAGATTCAAGTGAAACGTACTAATTTGTTATGAACATGTTCCGGTGCCGCTAAGCTACTCGATTTTCTCAAGCTAGGTCTTCGGATGTTTACTTCACTGTCTCGCATTGCTACCACGTTCTTTTGTGCTTGATCCTGTAACAAAAATTATAAATGCTTATGAATTGACTATTACCTGGGAAATCTGTGTGTATAAGTAGATGTTCGAGATCACTCCAACCGTCAACATATGTGCACCATCTTCAGTGGAAACCCAATCAATTCGGATCATATCAGAGATTGACACTAAATATCAAAATCATTTAATAGAAAACTTAAACCAACTATTATCAAACGTTTCTTGAGCCTTTAAAGCCGACGAACTAAGCACTCTTCTGATGCTTTCTTCTTGTGGCACTAAAACATGCAATATTGTCACAGAAAGCTTTTATGAAACAAATGATATTTCCACACAACTACAAGAATTCCTTGAAAATATTGGTGTTTAAAAGTACTAACTCAAAACAAATCCATGTATTGGCAGGATACATCAGAAAAATAAAATTTTGACCAACTAAAGCTAACACAAAATCACACCATGCAAGTTGAGTTGATTGGCTGATGGATGTGATGACAACGAAAGGGTTGCATTGGAGAAAGGCAAAAGATGCGTGTCGTGGTGGATGTTGGCTGATGAAAGATTGGTACGAGAAGAAGGAAGATTTTGGAAAAGAAGGCTTTGTGGACGAGAAAGGGTACCCGAAGCACTCATCACAACACTGGGACTTGGGTGCAACGATTGAATTCCAGCCATTGCCGCATCTATCATACCTCCTGAAGTTGCCGAGAAATCTTCAATTCGCGGGACTCTGAAAAATAAATATTATGATAAAAGAGTTACTCAAAGAATGTGTGCTTAAATGAACTTCCAGAGCCAGCCTTAGAAAGTAAGTACTCGGAACACCAGTTTGTCTTAAAAGTACTTTAGGACATACCGAACTTGCGGAAAAACAATGTTGCTAATCGAAATCGTGTCCTCCCTCATCCATTCCACTCCACCCGACGACTCGCATTCAAAGACACCAATATCAATCTAAACTTTCAACTAAACAATGAAACCACCACCGAAGCTAATTGTAAAATCATAAAAAGGGTCATCGGAATTGAATGAAATCTACTCAAAGCGTTTGGTTAAGATTTCTACAACACGGACTACTTGCTTACTTTAAGAGTATCATCTGTGATTATTGGGATTGACTGCTTCTGGAAAGATTTTTGAAACTCTACAATATCTACATGCATGACTAAATATTTACTTTTGTTGGTCTATCGTCCACATCATATTGTCCAATTCGTGGGTCATACGCGCAGGCAAGACGCCCAGAGTGGGCTGCTGACAGGGCGTACACGGTACCTATAAGTAAAATTGAGGTCCAATAATTCTTGTAAACTAACAAGATTGTCGACCGTACACAAATTTTTTTAGCAACGTATTATATATGCTTACCATCAATTTCCAGCATTGATGGCTTAGAATCAGAGATCATTTGCCATTCTTTCCATTCAAATTTGGAAATCCCATTCGGCGAGTCAATTTGGGTGCATTTCCAAAAGCGAACAATGTCATCTAAATTTTATCGGTCAGTAAATCAAAATAATTACAATACCAGTGCAGGAAGTCGTTAACACATAGGGAGCTTTGCATGCTGGGTAAAGAGAAGACGATGAGAGATGTCCCGCCGCAGGAGTTGCATTCACGATCTAAACTTGATGAACTTGTTTATGTACAGCTCTAATAGATTTGATGGTCTTTTAACTTACTCTGACTCCTTTTGGTAAAGTCAATGCTTGATCGCACACTCGGTATTGTTCTGTTTGTAGTCTGGCCACAGATGGAGGGATTGGGCTAGCTGGACGTAGAAACCCTTTCGCATCCGGCAAATTTTCAGAATCTAAACAAAAAGTTTAATATCCAAAGAACAAATAGTTTTTACCCAGAATCGGAATCGGTTTCGGTTGCTGAGAAGCCAGATTCAACGAATACATTATGAGCCTAAAAATTCAAATAATTTAAGCATTGTTCAATAAACCTGTCAACATTGTCCTCTCGCTGGATTAAGACGATGAAATATCGATCACTGAATGATAAAGCTCGACTGCGATCTAGAATGAATGCAAATAACATAAAAGTCGACTTAAGATTAGCCAACCATTAACTACACTGCTGTTCGCAATAGTATCGTTGAGTAGCGTATCATCATCCTCCACAATTAGTCGCTCATTGAACACGTGAAGCAGTAAAACTTTCGAATCAGTCTAAAGGAAAAAAATATAATGTGTGTAAAATAATTTATACAAGTGCTCCTCGAATCGCTGCTACTTCGATAACACATCCAGGCTTGTTTGTCGATTGTGTTGAAACAACTTTGAATGTATCCGTAATTGGCGTCCCTGTTTGCTCGAGAGCCCTTTGCGATGGTGTAAGTGAGCGGCTAAATGAAAGGCTATTGGACAGAAAATACTTCGAACCTGCTAGATCGGGCTGGACTTTCATCTCTCGTTCGCTTTGCGTTATAAATTTCGGCCAGCAACGAGCGTGCATCGACAACAGCCTATAAACATCAATTGATATATCAACTCAAAGCTGATACTTGATATAAAACGAGATCGTATCCAACGGTAGCAATGAAACAGGAAGACGGCGAGTTGCAAACGGTACCCAACGTGCTACTAAATTTCATCATGTCCATAAAAACTTAAAAAGTTAACTTAATACCTAGGTAGAATAGCAGGAATCCACGCCATGTGACGAAAAGAGGCTGATGAATGCGCTGCCATCCTTGCTAATTCGGAAACGCCCCCACTGCGACAAAGAGGCCCAACAAAGCCGATTTTCCACAAAATTATCTAAAATATTAGCTCTTAAGATTAATTGGACTTGAAAATACCTCAGATAGACTGTCTTTCAGCTCGTTTTCGCCAATATGTTCGGTGGCAGTAAATTGTGAGGTAGTAATCATCAAAGGTAGCACTGGATGTGGCATCACCTAAATGACAGCGCTTGTAAATGCATGAAATTTCTAAAACACACCTGACTAATTTGAAACCTATGTCCACACATCCGAGAGGTATGCACAATATTCAAAATGGTTGCATAGTGTGAAGCTTCTTCCATGTTTATCCGCCATAGGTTGAGAGAGCCATTTTCGTGATTAGTTAACATGTAGATAGACGGTGTAAGTGACTTTTCGATGAGAGTTGTGGCTAAAGTAAAAATAGAGCATACAGCATATTTCGATAATACATTAATTTTGTTTCACCCAAAATGTTAAAATTGATTTCAATTAAAAAACTAACTTTGTTGTGATTGCCCAAATCTTTGCAAGACATCTACGTAAATTGGATCATGGGGATTAAACGTGTGCAGAGAAGTTTGGAGTGACGCCGCATCAGTAAGGGGAAATGCACTCGGAAAACGCGATGAGAATGAAATAGATGGTTGTCGATGCAAATCATCAAGCCATTCTATTGTCCTAGAAAACACTTTTAATAACGGCCAATGTGCCAATCGCAAACCAAGTCAAGAGACTACCATCAACCGGATGTATTGTGAATAAAATGTCATTGCTTCGCATCCATTGATCGATTAATTGATTAATTGATTGATTGACTGATTTTTCATCCATCTTCATTTCATCCACAAGCTTCACATCCAGCAAATCATTTGTGGAATGGTCCTAAAGTTTCTTCGAACGGGAAAAGATTTAATGTTTTACCGAGCCATTTGTACCACTTTGTCTAGCCGGCGTTGAGATTGTTGAAACCGGGCTAGTGATATTTTCCGATGAAATTCGATCCGCAGCCTCTTCATCTTCCGCTTCATCTTCCGGTATTGAGGCAGTTCCTAAATAGCAATCATCAATCAAAAATATTGCTTTTACAAATCCATCAAGTAAAATATGACCAACTTTTTTCAAGAAGATTTGAGAGCAGGGTTTCAGCCAGTAGCTTTTCGGCGCCTTGGCTGTAAACGAGTTCTTTGTTATTCATCCAATGCACAGCAAAAGGCTTCTTTGCATGAGTCGATCCTTCCATCGTAGGCACTAACAGACAATCTGAAGTAGTACATGATCAACAATGCCTGAAAGCTTGAAAAATAGTACATACTAACAACATACCTGTTTCCGCGTTAATCGACGACGCAAGATAAAAGTTGACGTTCACCGCGGGTTCGGGTAGCACAATTGGTTGTGGCGGGGTGTCGTGCAAAGTAAGAACTCTAGACTTCTTTGATTGCATACTGGCTTCACTTGTCTTTCCATTTTTCTCGGGTCTAAATAAAAACAAGTGTGGATCCCAAGAAAATCAAAATTCACGTCAAATTGTTCAGCTTTCCCAGTATCTTATTCCGAGCTTTCTTGATTGTGCCAAGTTTTCCGCCATGTCGACTGTAATTCATCCAATTCAAGTCGCTGCCAGCGCCGCTGATTTCAACCAAAGTACTTTCTATCGGCGGTGACTCCTAAAAATATTTTTTGCGGAAAACTTCCGAATTTCCGACTTTCCAGATTCTCGATGTATTGTCCGCGCACCAAGTTATCAGTACGTTACTGATACATCTTCTAAAATAGCCCTTTTATACAATAGATGAGTTTCACATACCTGGGCATATATCTTCCAACTCTTCTCCACTCAAAACCGTTAACCAAACTTGGATGTTGCAAAGACACATACGAGAACGAAGTAGCTCCGTCACTAGTTAAACTTCCTGACAAACAAATTACAAGAATCAAAATAGAACTCAAACCAGTATTTTCGTACCACACCTTCACGGTTTTATCATCCTCGCCAGCGGTCGCAATAAAACACCCATCAGGAGAATAGCTAAAATTTAAATACGTGAAGTTAGAGCTCATATCGATTTCTCTGATATGAGTCATTATGTATGTTCTCATAACTTTCATAACTCGTACCGAATGTATTTCGGGGCCTCTGGCAAACGCTTTGTCCAAATCAAATTCCATTGATCACTACTTCCTTCCTGATTTAAATCCGAAATTGAGAACATCACTGATGTTGATTGTGGTCGTGGCATTGAATTTTGTTGAAGAGATCGATGTTGATACAGTAAAAGCTCATCTCGAACGGCGACAAGTAAACGAAGGCCTGAATTAAGAGGTAAGTCACACCCGAACTACTCAAAACTACCTTCAAGATTCCAAATGACTGTAGAGATAGGCCCTTTTACTGTTAGGGAATGTGTTTCAAACCAGTGATAGTCGAGACGCTAAAATAAACATATACGCAAAAAGTAACAAGCAAACATGTTTGGATTTCTCGAAGTTGTGATGAGAGGGCTCGAATATTCGAATGACATTCCCATAAGTGGCAGCAATCTATAAAATGAGATTTTACTAAGCTGTTTAGCATTTTAGCACCTTGAACCCAGAGTTGAACCGGCATTAAGACCAAAATAGAGACCCTGTTTTGGTACTACAACTGTTGGGGGGGGGCACTTTTTTCTTTAAAACCACTTTTTCTGGGGTAGTTTTATGCATAGATTCCGAAAAGCACAACGAGAGCTTGGGAAAATGCGTTTTAAGCCAAGTTTCGGGACTCCAAAGTGCGCTTCATTCAAAATCTCAAAAAATACTTTTTCAATTTGTTTTGCCCTTACCAGTCAATTTAAGTTCGAAAATAAATATTTAGGGGTTAAAATGGTTTTGGCTCTAGTTTTGACCTTGAAAAGTGCCCCAATAGTCGACAGGCTCGGCTCCATATAATGAAGTACACCATAGAAGCGCGCACTTTGGAGCCCCGAAACTCGGCTTAAAACACCTTTTCCCCAAGCTCTCGTTGTGCTTTTCGGAATCTACGCATAAAACTATACCAGAAAAAGTGGTTTTAAAGAAAAAAAAGTGCCCCGCCCCGCCCCCCACCGCAACTGGCTTAGTACCTATATTTTTCAGCAAACTATTCATTTTCTTTGTTTTTAACACAAACATAACAAACCTTTCCCGAATCTTGACAACTGCTCACACTGCTAACAATGTGACCATCGTTTTGTCCAATCCCGGGAATCACTTGGACCCGCTCGAAATTCGAAGCAAGAATCACTATATTGGCTCCAACCGCACATACCTAAGCTTTTATATCAATAGTTTATAAATTTTGAATCAAACGATAAAAAGATACTACCAACCGTAAAATTAATCCCGTCTACCGATCCAACGGAAAACACGTGTTCGCCTTGGTTTAGGGCGCCTGTGATGATCTAAACGTAAAGCGATTACGAACTTGAAGAAAATCTAAGCTTTCATGCCAATAGTCCTAGATCTTTCTTCTATTCTTCATTCTAGATCACAAAAATTGTACCTGATGCGCACTCATTCATTCGTTGTCGGTGACGCTTCTAAAATAAAAACGTTAAATCTACCACGCTTTAAAAAAGAACCAGAATAAAAATGGAAGATATTTAGATTTAGTACACAAACGTGAATTTTACAAGTACAAATGAGTGCCAAAATCAATAATTCGCAAGTTCTCTTGCTTAAGAAATTACTAACACTAAACTTGTCCGTACCCTTTGGGGAACTGGGGCGAGTCTATGTTTTGTTTTTGACATAATGACACAACTTTAACACATTAAAATCTCTTGTTTTCCCATGAAACCCGAGTAAATTTCCATAAGAGACTATCAAAGAACAACAAACGTCAATAAACAAAAGGATCGAATAAAATGAGGAAGCGAAAAGAAGAAAAGTGGCAAAGGTATACGGTAGCTTTCCCATCAAATTAAAAAAATGGCCAGCAAGACTTTTGCCATTTCGAACCATGCTCGCGAACATGTTGAAAGTTTTTTGAGCAACTACTTTCGATGATTAGTTGCCCATAATTCAGCATGCAACTTAAATCAAACAATAAACCTTAAAACTTAAACGGAGAGGAGAAATTATCTCTTAACACTTCTCCCGTTTACGTTGAATGAATGAGTTAAACACTGATCATAAACGGAAATTCTCTGTTAGCTTGCTTTGATTTTTGTGTTTGTGAGTATTGTGTTTACAAAAATTACTAGCTTTATCGTAAGACTATTTCCTAACCTTCGGCAATTGCAAAAATCGTATCGAAACAATCAGTTCACAAAAATTAAATTTCATAAACATTACACTACAAAAAAAGCCGGGGAAAAGAATGATGACTAAATGGTTTAACTTTCTGAATAAATATATCGAAAATTGAAAGGAAATACACCGGTAGGAAAGATGTTTCAATTTTCAGAAGAAGAGAATTAAGTTGATATTTTTTAGACGCTGTTGATCGCTTTCCCACAATATGCAGACAAGTTGGCCTCACGGAAAGCTTCGGAAAGTGTCTAAAATTTCAATTTCAATATTTGGAGCTAAGAATTTACTGAAACTAAAAGTTGTATAGATAAGTTTCTTGTATGGCTTGTAAAGCAACCAACCGGATGCGGGTGGCACACACGGGCAATGTCCTCAGCACTGGCTCCATATTCGAGAGCTAAAGTCGCTTCAGCAATCATTTCTCCGGCATTCTAAAAATAAAACTATTCGTTTTAAAACATGTAAAAACCTAACAACCCTTAGAAAAGAAAAAAACTCACCGGTCCAATAATGTGCACGCCAAGTAATCGATCTAAATTTATCGGTTAACAAAAGACGTTTGTGCATGTACGAATATCATATCATAATTTCATTAAAAAGTTACCAGTTTGTTTGTTGGCAAGCGCTTTGACAAAGCCTTCCTAAAATTGAACAGAATTTAAAAAAGTATTTTAAACTGACTTGATCATTGTTTGTTTTAGCTCGAGAGTTGGCGGCGAAGGGGAACTTTCCAACTTTGAACTCAACTCCCTAAATGATTAATAAGTACCCAGATTCATTTTTATTAAACCTCGCTCTTCAATTGTTCCTCAGATTTTCCGACCCAGGCAACCTCGGGATGTGTGTAGACCACAGATGGAATGCAGTTGTAGTCGATGTGAACAGCACCACCAGCAAGTCCCTCAACAGCCAGAATACCTGAAGGTTTTAGTTAAAAATGAGCTTCAAAATAATATTATTTTTACCTTAAATTAACCTATTGCTTAACTATTCAACGAATACGTATAAAACTGTGAGTTAACCGTATTCATTTTAAAGTCTCAAACGCATAAAGTATCGGCTTGACAGATTATAATTTACCTTCATCTTCAGCTTTGTGTGCCAACATGGGTCCTTGAATCACATCACCAATTGCAAAAATCGAAGGTACCGATGTTTGAAATCGCTCGTTCACAGGAATTCTTCCTAAAAATACCATTATTTTAAGATAAAAAGATGTTAAATTGAACTTACCACGATTGTCAAGTGAAACTCCGACAGAGTCGAGGCCAAGATTCTGAGTGTACGGTCGCCGACCAACGCACACTAGCAGCACATCACAATCGAGCTTAAAATTTTTGACTGTAACAACTAACGTTTATCTTCGGACCAACCATAAAACTACTTGCTATTCTACAAAGAATGTACTAGTACCTGCTGCTTTTTGCCATCCTTGGCTCCTTCAACTTCAACAGAAATATTTTCTCCTTGCCTCGATGCAGACATCACTAAAATTTATCGGTAAGCAGAATAAAAAACTTATCTCTCTTTCACGAGCACCAAAACAACCTCAACTTCAACAGACATAACCAACCTTTTGTGTTCAACAAAAATTTGAATCCTTGTTTGGTAAGCGTTCGCTAAAAGTTGATGCTGTTAAACCAAAAATTGCACAAGGCAAAATAAATTTTTAACATAGAACTTCTTCAAACCTGGAACAACTTTGAAACTTCCATATCGATCCCGGCACCACCGACGTGCCCAAGGAACTCTACAGCAGTGACTTCTGCTCCCAGTCTTTGCCAAACTGATCCCTAAACTTTCTTTGTTATGGCCATTGTATGTTAATCTTGATTTAAAGCATTCATTGTATTCAAACCAACCAATTCAAGCCCGATAACTCCCGCACCAATGACAACCATCTTCTTCGGGACTTTTTGAAGAGATAAAGCACCAGTTGAAGAAACAATTGTTTTCTCGTCAATCTCAATTCCAGAGAAGGGTGTTACCTAAAAGATTATTAAAAGAACATAATAAAGATTTCACCTCGGAACCAGTTGCAATGAGAATATTACGAGTGTTAATCGTTTCCGATGAACCATCAGCTTTCTTTACTTGCACCTAAAATTAAGTTTGTTTCGAACAAAAAAAGTTCAAACCTGATTTGCTGATACAATTGTTCCATGGCCGTTTACATGACCCACTTTATTGGCTTTGAAAAGTTGAGCAATTCCTCCAGTCAAAGCCTAAAATAAGTTGCATTACCTATTTCAATCTTTTTGTCAAACACAACTTGACAAAATTTCGTTACCTTAACTGATCCTTCTTTTGCTGCAAGCATTTTTGGCAAGTTCAGTTTGGTTTCGACCTCCACTCCTGAAACACTTTGCATATGATGCTTGCAAGTAAGTGAATCTATTTTACCCTAAAATATAGTCTTAAAATCTACCTCGGCTTGCCAAGTCTCCGTGTGCAGCCATGTGATAATAGTGGGAATTGTTAAGAAGCGACTTTGACGGAATACAGCCGACGTTGAGACACGTACCGCCGAGCGTTGCGCCCTTTTCGACACAGATCGTCTAAAAGTCATGAAGTTAATTGTTTCCATTACAAACTTGAAGCATTTTTACAAACGTCATTTTACAAAAGCTTAGGCAATTCTGCTAATTTTCACATTAAAATAGAGTTAGCAACTTTTCAGTAAGAAAAAGATCAAAACAACAAACCTTCATTCCCAGTTGAGCTGCCTTGATAGCCGCCACATAGCCGCCTGGGCCGGCACCAATGACGACTAGATCAGCATCTAAACGGAAAATGAAGAAGTGTTTATGTACAAGTCAACATTTAATCCAATATTCAAACCAACCTTGTGATCCGCTATAAGCCCGCGATAAAACACAGAAGATATTCTTCTGCGAGGTGTTGAATATCGTTCGGCTCAACGACATCTAAAACGTGATATTTCGATTTGACATTAAAAATCAGCACGTTTAAAACGAAAACATTCGGGTATAGCGGTAAGTAGACTTGACTGTCGAGATCTCGATAAGTTCTTATCAAGACTTATCGATACCGAGGGCTTATCGATAATGGTAAAACTTTAGTTGATTCTCCGTCAAATCCTTTTAACTGCGGCTTATTTCGGAGTAATTCGATGCGCTGAATACGACTGTCAATATCCCAGATCTGGGTTTCACGATTTTTAAAGATTTTGGAAAACTTATCGAGATCTCGATAAGTTTTCGATAGTCAAGTCTAGCGGTAAGTATCTTAAACCATATCAAAAACAATCGCATTTGCCAAATTTGGCAACAATAAACAACGAAACTCTTAGCCACCCTAGTGCAACATAAAAATCGACAAAATACACTTTTGCGCCGCCCTTTATGACGTCAAATTCGGTTACGGTATGAAAGGTGCTAAAAAGCGCACAATTCTTTTCCGGGATCATTGTGAAGGATTTCTTGGCCTCTTAAGGTTACTTGCGACTATTTATGTATATTTCTCAAGTTCTACAAGTTCATTTTTTAAAACATTCAAATGGCTTTGAGACAAGAAACTTTGAACCCGCCATTTATTTAATTGCAAATTGATGTGTTGAAGACAAAACAATAACCTACTGATTACGTTTCTGATCAAATTGAAGCAAAACAAAAAATAGTAAAAGATGAGTCAAAATCTCAAAATATTTTTTCGATTCGTCTTGCCTCCACCAGTCAATTTAAGTTCGAAAATAAATATTTAGTGGTTAAAAATGGTTTTGGCTCTAGTTTTGACCTTGAAAAGTGCCCCCAATAGTCGACAACCTGAGCTCCATATAGTGAAGTACACCATAGAAGCGCGCACTTTGGATCCCCGAAACTCGGCTTAAAACGCCTTTTTCCAATCTCTCGTTGTGTTTTTTGGAATCTACGCATAAAACTACCCCAGAAAAGGTAGTTTTGAAGAAAAAAAGTGCCCCCCACTAGGATAGCAACGAAAGCATTTTCAATCGGATTCATTCATTTTTAAAATACAGATTTTTAAAAATCATGCTCAAATAAGGTTTTCCGATCATAAAACTCTTAGTTCAAAGGATATCAAAAAGCTAAATGGCTCATTTTAACAACCTTTGAAAATGCTACATAAAACTATTTGTGGTCAATATATTTGGATGGGTTCTATGGAACAAGTAAACACTGACCGGTCAAGGCTTTTTTTGACGACTGCATACCGAAATTTGCGTTATTTACTGCATTTCTAAAAAACTGACTTGTTTACCGTAGTCTTAAAGAGCGCCTATAAAGAATCTCTACAGAACATAAATTCATTTGCAAGTTAAGAAAGTTCCAGCTGCGTAAGTTCTTTTTCTATGCCTATCTCTTTTTCCATGTTGCTGCGTATATTTACTTATTTACTGTCCCCTTTCTCATTTTCAGTCCATTCAATGTTTCCTCACACCTCGATTTAACTCCTTAAACTCGATGTTGCGAAATATAGAAACGTATCAAAGTTTAGGCCCAAACTGGCAATTCGGAGGTTCGTTTGCATCACTCCGCATGATACACCCGTTCGCGACTTGTTTGGATGGCAATTTTTGAGGTTATTGCATCAGCCGTTTTATAGGGTCCATGCTTTCCCCAATATTTGAATGTTGTAATCTAAAGCGAGAGAGCGGGAGAAATGGAGAAGAGCTGAGAAAAACGGTGAACTGGGTGCACTGCTGGCCACGTGTCGGTCAAACAAAGGCTTTTGACGCTTTTTTGTGGTTTTTAAAAACTGTTTACCTTCGTAGAACTTAAAAAACTTAACTTAACTTAATTCGAAACTTAATTACGGCAAGCAAACCGACTTTTGATTATCCATGTAAAATTTTGTTGCGAAGATAAAAACAAATGAAAACAATTTATTGGATTTTTCTTGCCTTAATTCTTGCCGAAGAAAATTTTTAGGTAAATAAAAGGATTAATTACCTAAAAGCAAAATGTGCTTTGTAATACATTGCACCATAATTTTGGAATCAAAACAACTGCTATGTGCCGACTCATAACCCCGCCCCCTTCCCCCTGCTTTTTAAAGACGGAAATTCCGACAAAGAGCATTGAGGAACCTTTTTGAGTATAGAACGCTCCTTTTTACGTTTAAGTTCTAATGTTTTTATCTCGTTTTTTAATCAAAGCCAGCATTTTTTAGGTTCTATTACGACCTCGACTACTTTTTCAGGTTCTATTGCGACCTCGACTACTACAAATAGGAAGTCGAAGAATTAGCACAACTCTTCTGAAAATGGCTGAGGGTATTCATTTTGCTTTTAATCTTGTTGTTAATTTATGTTATTTAGGCGCTCAACGACGTGCCCAAGCGCCATGGACTGCGCCAACCCCTACCGGGCCACAACTGATGCTTTTGAATTCAATGACGAGAACCAAAACTGTGTTTGTCCCAAATGAAGGCCGAAAGGTAAGGTTCTTAATTTTGTGAACAAAACTACCTTCTTAATAACATTGATCTTCAATTAACAATTAACTTCAGTGTTCCATATTTTATTTTAGGTGACCATGTACATTTGCGGCCCAACCGTCTACGATCATTCGCATATGGGTCACGCTCGAACATATCTCGGATTGGACATCATTCGACGAGTCTTGAGCGATTACTTTGGATATGACGTCCAACATGTGATGAACATTACCGACATCGACGACAAGATTATTCAACGAGGAAGACAACGCCATCTTTTAAAAGAATATCTGGCCACCGTTCAAAATGCTTCAGCGGCCGATGTTGCCTCAGATGTTATAAAAGCATTGGAGCTTTTCAATGTAACCTTATTAAATTTATAGGTCTTTTTCTTATAACTATTTTAGGTACGATTTGAGAAAGAAACCGACAACGACAAACGAGGAATGCTGGAAGGAATTGTAGGTGTTTCCACCGAATGTACCTATTTTTCTTTAGATCTTGAAAGTTAATAAGAGCTCCAAGCAACTTGAAGAGGCTTTAAAATCAAAAAATGAAAATGCTATCGCCGATGCTCAGGTAAAATGCTCTAGTATATGATATTTCAATTTTACTTTTTTAGAAACAATTGCTTGCTGATTCGAGCGACGTTTTGATGGGATGGCTTGATAAAGAAAAAGGAGAAACTATTGAAGACCATGCTGTATTTGATAGCCTTTCACGAGAGTGAGCATTGAAAGGATATTATGTTATGGAAAACTTTCTTAGATTTGAAACAGAATACTTCAAAGACATGACCCGTCTAAATGTTTTACCGACTGATGTTTTGACGCGGGTCTCCGAATATGTGCCCGAAATCATTTCCTATATTGAGAGGATCATCAAGAATGGCTACGCGTACGCAACAAAAGATGGATCGGTATTTTTGCCAAAGCTTTGCATTATGTCTTTTTTTCAGGTTTATTTCGATACGACCGCTTTCACTAGCAATCCAAAGCATTTCTACGCAAAATTGGTGCCTGAAGCCTTTGCCGACAAAGACAATTTGCTAAAGAATATGCGGGAAGGAGAAGGCGAATTGAGCATCTCAGCTGATCAATTACAGGTGAATATTTAATAAGTCATTAATAAAAATAACTGAACGTCGCATGGCGTAAATATGATACTATATATTAAGTTTTAAGTTCATAGGATAGAAACAATGATTGTTTATTTTTACCAATCTTTGCATCTACATTGTCAAAATACAGATGAAGAAAGGCGAAACCGATTTTGCTCTTTGGAAAGCGTCGAAGAAAGGAGAACCATGGTGGGTCAGTCCATGGGGGAAAGGACGCCCAGGATGGCATATTGAATGCTCGGTGATGTCAAATGCTATATGCGGCAACAAATTGGACATTCATGCTGGCGGCTTCGATCTGAGATTTCCACATCATGACAATGAAATAGCACAAGTCCGTTTTTAGATTTTCATTTATCCTGGCGACAATTTTACTAGTTAATGACTAAGCTCATGTAACTGTTTTAGGTTGAAGCACACTATGATGATCCGCACTGGGTTAACTACTTCATTCACTGCGGAGCTCTTCGAATACAGGGCCTAAAAATGAGCAAGAGTCTCAAGAATTTCATCACGATTCGCCAAGCCCTGGAGGACTACTCGCCACGTCAGCTTCGGATTCTCTTTTTGCTGCATGTTTGGTCAGATCTCTTGGATTACAGGTATGTTTTTTTTGTAAATTTACTCAAAATTTGCATTTTTTGATAGTAAAGAGACGATGAATCTGGCACTCCATTTTGAAACAGTCACCAATGAGTTTTTCTTGCTCGTGAAGGATTTGTTGCGCAAGTCTTGGAAGCCAGATGACTCGGAAGGGTTCCAGAAATTTGAAGAAAGGGAGAAAAAACTTAGCGAGGAATTCTCTGAGCTTAGGGTTTGTTGTTTTAAAACGTTACTCATATGCCTACTGGCGTGCTAGGATTTTATTTTGAAGCAATTAACATCCTTTAGGCCAACGTGCATGAAGCTCTTTGCGACTCGATAGATACCCGCACGGTAATGGAGCGCTTGAGGAAGATTGTTGAAATCGGAAATGCGTACATCGTTGAAAAGGTATTTGATGTTATTCTTTAAACTACAGTGATCTCTTTTTTAGCAAAAACTTGAGCAACCACCCAATGCTTTACTTTTGCGCCAACTAGCTCTGTACATCACAAAAATTTTGCGGGTTTTTGGTGTGATTCCCACATCTTCGGAGATTGGATATCCGTTGTCAACGTTTGTTTAAAGTTTTTGCATTTAAATTCAGAAATTTAGTGATGAAGATTCAACATCAAAAGAAGAAACCGTGATGCCTTATTTGAATGTCCTCTCTGAGTTCCGTGAAGAAGTACGAAAAATTGCCAAGGCAAACGGGGTCCACGATATTTTGAAGGTAATGTGTTTAATATGATTTGCACATTTTAACAAATATCTTTAGCTTTCCGACAAGTTGCGGGATGAAATATTGCCAAATTTGGGAGTTCGTTTGGAGGATAGAGGCAAGGAAACGGTCATCAAACTTGTCGATCGGTAAACAGCTCTCCAAATATGAATACACTAATTCTAATTACAGAGAAGCCTTGTTGAAAGAATTGGAGCGGGAAAAGGAAGTCGAAAGGAAGAAACAAGATGTACGAAAAGCTTTTTTTGTTATTTTTATGACTTAATTTTTAGGAAAAAAGGGAAAAGGAGCTGAAGAAGGCTGCGAAAGACGCATTGAAGGCAATTCCTCCTGAGGAGTTCTTCAAGCAAGGCGAAGAAGCCAAGAAATACTTGAAGTGGGATGAGAAGGGAATTCCAACTCACACAGCAGATGGGGAAGAGGTGACGAAATTGCTCAGAATTCGATTAATTGTTCAATTTTAGGTTTCAAAATCGTTGCGCAAGAAGTTGGAGAAAGCTTGGGAAACTCAACGAAAGGATCACGAAGATCATTCAAGTAAAACAAATGGAAAAGCTTAAGGAATTATCGTTGCTTGTTTTAAATTTGTGTCTTTCTTTCCTGTTGTTTCTTTCTTTTGTTTTTCTTTCTTTTGTTTTTCTTTTAAACAGTCGAATTAATGGGTCTCTGACATATCTAGTTACAAAAATCTGAATTTGTTTTGTTGTTGAGGTCTTGTTTTTCTTGGTTGTCTGTAAATGGTTTCAAAATTAACTTATGGATAAATGGTTTTTTATGTCGAGAAGAAGTTGGCGAGTAATGGTCTTGCGTTTTTACATTCGCGTTTTGATTTCCCTAACAGTATTTCCAAAAGTGGTTTAAAAAATAATTTACAGTCAGAAAAACTTCAAATCTTTAGGTGTATTAATGCATTAGCTTATTTAATATCACTTTTTTAGATGGAAGAATTCGAGAAGCCAAAATGCAAGATGTGCTGGCTTGGATGGAAAGAACCAAAGTACTCGATTCCCATCAGCCATGTCTTCCATATCATCGCCAACCATCACGTTTCGGAAGAAGCTCTCACAAAAGCTCGATTCATCGCTGAAGAGGTCAACATTTCGACGTCGTTCCCGTTCTTGAACTTTGAGAAATCGCTAAAGGAAACGATGAAGACGAAGTCGAAGATGTTTTATTGCAAATTATGTGACGCATCGCTTTCTGATGCTTCTACCTTTGTTCGACACTCTCGGCGAAACCACCTCGATATGCATGAGAAGTATGCAGCTGGGCAAAACCAACTTCTTCGCTGCCCATTTGACTGTGCTGGCATTCGTCTGAGCTCCCAACCAGGCTTCACTTTATTGGACAAAGTAGTTTTTCATTTTATGGCTATTCATAGCGATCGAGATTCAAAACAATGGAAAACCGAACTGAGAAAATTTTACAAAGAAGGTGAAGATGATGAGGGTAGCGCTTTGCAACTGAGGCAATCGATACGCTTGAGGAAGTTTTGCTGTGCTAAATGTGCCAAAGAAGGGATCGAACATCAGGCTTCTGATTACATTTCTTTCAACTCTCATTATCGCAGGAAACATTCTGGTGAATTCGACATGGAAAACACGGAGACCGAAGCTGAATATCAAGCACGAAAGGTTGCTGAGGAAGAAGAAAAGCTCAAAACTGATGAGAAATATCGGAAGCAAAAAGAGCTGGAGGAGTTGAGAAAGCTGAAGGCCAAGGAAAAAGATTCAAAAATGGCGGCAAGGCAAACGTTGATTGAGGCACGTAAAGCTAAGTTGCTGGAGAATGGTGGGACTCCGCAAAAACGGAAAGCGAAAAACCGAAGCCCTGTAGCAGCTCCATCACCTGAAGTCGGACTCGCATGCAGGTTTTGCAACTTCAGGGCCTTGACTTTAGTCGACTTGCGGCTCCATTTTATTCAAGATCATCCGGATTTGGGTCAACGGTTTGGGGGAGGCAGTGGCGTATCGGTGATCATGGAAAAAAGGCCATCCATTTGTGGAGTGTGCGATGAGGAGTATTCAAGTCGAGCGCTCTTGGTGAAACATATATCTGAGTGCCACTCCAATGAAGACAAATGCTTCACATGTTGGTACTGCGACAAGGTGTTTCAGGTAATTTTTGATGCGATAATGCTGTTAATTTTTATGGAAATTTGACCATCATGACCGTGTAGTAACGTAGTCTAGTTTAGTTGATTACATCCAATTGAAAATACGACTGTTTTAGACTGTCCAACGAGTGAGGGAGCACGAAAGGCGACAACATGAGACCCCATTCCTTGTCGATCGCCAAGATTTGAAGTGTCGTGAATGTGACATTTGCTTCACCAACAAGCACAATCTCAACGAGCACCTTCGACGTCATCGTACTCCAAAGTCCTCTCGTTATTGAAGCGTGATTTGATGGAGAATGCACAAGTAATGTCTTTCTATTGTTATTGTTAATGATCACGGGTTAATGATAAAAGATTTTGTTTTTTGTTGAAAATTGTAAATATTTGCTATTGTTACACGTTGTCTTGAATGTTATTCGTTAATAAATTTACAAACTGTGTAAAATCTGAATTTTATTTGTAGAAAAGGACGGCCATGAATACTTAACAAATAACGGCAACAACGAAAGGAAAATGATTAACTGCTCCGGTTCTTGTTAATGGCGAGCTGACAATTCTTCCATTTGATTTCTGAAAATTGGGCAATCGATCAGTTCCATAAAACTATCTTACCTTGATCACGTTTTCGAGGAGTTGGGAAACGGGCATCCACGAGTTTCCGAAGCCAATTTCGGCGATCTTCATCTTGTTCCTAAATTGCTTTTCATTCGCTAAGGTTTGTCGAGTCAAGTTAAACTCAAAGATTGGGTTTTGAATGTAAAAACGCTTTTAAAATGCTAGCTGTGCAGTTTTTTTCCAGTCACCTTGAAATAGGCATTCAGATTGTCCTTGAAAAGGATTTGAGCCACCGTTTTTGCGTAAGACGAGGCGGAGCCATCGGATTTCTGAAAAATTGCTCGATAATGAAATCTTAGTTTTGGAAAAACAGCTCAACTCTTAAATTATCAAAAATAAGTTATACGTTGGAGTATTATTGTTTTACCTGGAAAAATTCCTCTTCTTGATCATCGTTGACATTATAAGGGAAAGCGATGGTTGGGTCAGCGACGAGCAGAGCTAAATTCATAGTTCAACAGTAATTTCGAAAATGTCCCTAAAAAGTATGTAGTCTCGAGAACCATAAAGAATCGTAGAAAAGTTATATATTTTATAGATGCAAAAGCTATGTATGTTGAATGATGGGAAGATGGCTATTTGTTGAATCGACTAACTTATCATTCAAAGTTAGTGATCTACAAAATATGAATAATTTTTGGTAAGTATTCTCACAATTTTTCCTCCTCGCCATCTTTGTCACTATCGGTGTGTCGGTCGTTGCAGGCGCGGCCGATCGTTTTGTGACGGCTCTCAATTTGATTGAATCATTTGAACGAGTTCCCGGAATTCCATTAGTTTCTTTTGGTGTCTCCTTTTCCTAAAATTTCATGAAATCAAGATTTTTTCCTTTTGTCTTACAACTCCTCTCGATCGTGGATGTTTCACTATCACCAGCGGTGGTTCTTCTGTGACAGGAAGTGTGCTTGTTGTGGCACCACGAGAAGTTGACTGAATTTTTTAAAAGTTAGATTTTGATTTTGTTTTGACTGTTTTGAATTAAACTATAGTGATCTCTATTAGCAGGAATTGTTTTAAGGTTAAAAAAACCAACTCTAGCTTGTGTTCTTGTGGTCGCTGTTGGCGCGATCTCTTCTCGATTCCTTGGTGGGTCCCTTGCCCGCGTGTGTGGCTCTTTTTCTTCTTTTGGCTAAAAGTTAGAGTAATTTTGTACTAATATTTGGCTTATTACCTTGTATTACTCTGATTTATTGTTTTTACTCACCTTTGTGATCGTTTCTTTCTCTTCTTTCTTCGAGGTTGAGGCGCCAGAATGAGCAGTGGAACTTTTAGCGGCTGCGATCCGGTATTCTAAAAAAATACGTTGAACAATGAATAAATATTAATCAAAGTAAAATCTTCTGTTCAGGCTATAAAAATACACTATTCTATGGACTAATATTCCAGCAAAACCAACCATCTAGCTGAGCGTTCGTTAACGAGCGATTCTTGTTGATCGCCGACGAGCAGAGCTTCCATTTCTGAAACATTGAGCTTGAGAATTAAATTGCTGATTGGGAAATACTTACAAATTATTTATGGATATTCTAAAAATAAACCTGAATCTGCTTGATTTTGTCGTGAGTGGGGAAACGGCGATCCAAAATGTCGTGAAGCCACGTTCGTTTGCGTGGATCTTGATCCTAAACGGGACACCTATATTCGGCATTTTTTACAGAGTCGTTGTATTTGTAATTTTAACCCTTTATACCTAGCTTTAACATTTTCTTTCACTAACCTTAAATGATACATTAATCGATTCAGCAAATAGTCCTCTTCCCATCATTTCCGCATAAACTGTCGGATTTCCCCGAGCCGCTCGGAGACAATTCTCTTCGAATTCCTTTGATGTATACGGATACGCCAAAACTAAATATTTTGATATGATTTTTGCTGACTTTTATTTTGATTTTCAAGTTGAGCCTCTCAAGCTCCCCAATAAAGCTTAGCATAGAAAGGGTCGAGTCTTTGAAAGGAGAGGGCGCGGAAAAGGCCAGCATCAATGTGCTGTCTGGTGCGGTGCCAGAGTGTCGGTCTCTCGCTTGTCGGGGCGGGTTCGAACCCGCTTGTGTCTTCGGTTTTTGTGAAAACTGGCCTTACTTGCCTTTGGTTCGAAAAAAGAGGAAGACAAGAGGAAATAGGGTGAGCGGGGAGAGGAAGGGAAAAAGTAAAATCAGACAGGACATTTGGCAGACTGTATTCTTTCAAAATCGGGGGTATTGTTTTGGCGAACACGTATTGTTTGTTCCAAACTTTTGAATTTCGCTCACCTACTCCATTCACAACGTGTTTCAAGCGATTGCGATTGGCGGCGGCTCCGCAAACCTTAATAAATTGGTTGTAAATGCTCAATAATCATTTACAAACCTTCCACCTCGTGTCCCTTTTCAATTTATCGTCCAAAGGAAATCGATAATCAACCATATCTCGAAGCCATTCCTTTTTCGCTCCATCCTAAATTTTAAATACTTGTTTCAGTTTTCCATTGTTAATATATTAATTGATAAACCTGTTCAGAAAAGAGTTTGTCGAGGCTGTCATGGAAGAGTTGAAAAGCGAGGATCTCAGTGTATTTGATTGGATCGTGAGGACTTTTCTCATAGGCTCCTTGTTCAATCTCTTCACTCACATAAGGGAAATCGGGCTTCACGTGAGCTCAAATTACTCAATTATCAATTACATAAAATACTTTTAGTTAGCTCTATTGAATAACTCACAAATTTCCTCTTTTCCTGTCCATGATTTGTAATGTTGACCCTTCCGCTTGTCATAGGACAATTGAGCAAAATTTGCGTTTGATGGACTTGCATTTGAGGTATCAGGTAAATAAGTAGATCTCCGAGGATGAAAGGCTTGAGGCTCCTGGAATTGATAACATTAAAAACATTAGATTTGTTGAATATTACTTTTCCATGTCGATTTTTATTGATTGCCCACGAGCAATTCTTCCATTTGTACATTTGAGTTTGTTTATCCTCTGAAGGAAATCGAAAATCGACCATATCGTGGATCCAATGACGTTTTCGGGGATCTTGTTCCTAGAGTTGATTGATGTTTATTCAATTCCCAATATAACAATCTTTCCCAACCTTAAAATACAATTGAAGACTGTCCTTGAAAAGAATCCTTGCCACCCGTTGAGCATAATTTGCCGGCACTCCGCATGATTGAGTCAAACATAACTCTTCGTCTTCTTTCGAAATGTATGGATAACCGGGATGGCCTAAATAAATCAGTTAAAGTTACTATTTTCTTTGCAAACCTCCTTTTGCAGTCCCTTTATAGTTTGCGCTTTCCTCTGAGTTTTCCCCATCATCATCATAACGCTGCCTTCGGAATCTGAACCTTTATACTGGTTTTAAATCCAAATTCGTTTTCAAATCTAGCTTTGTTTGTAGTTTTTGATAGAACGAACTTCTCTCGATTCTCCGGCAATGTACAACTCCTTCGTGCATTCGATTGAGATGAAGTCTCAGGTTCGGGAAGGAGGAGATCCCTGTACTCGTCTGTCATTGGATTTGTTGAAGGTCTCATCTAAAGAATTCTTTAGATATTTGAACATTTATTAGTTTAGTTTTTCAATGCTGGCTTTCTACTCACCGCTGGTTGAAGACGGAAAAAATTCTTTGCTCCCAAACGTCGCAACACTCGAGGCTCTCGAGCTAAAAGAAAACTTTTGATAGCTGAAATTTAAAATTATCTTTCTTCTTCTTTTTGTTTATCAAATTATATCTAAATTTATCGATCAAATTTCTCTTCTCACAAGATTTTCAAATTTTTAAACCAACGATCAATTCCTCTCCGCTCATCAACCGATCCAGTGGTCCACGAGCCACCCAAAACAGTTTCCATCATCGTACATAGAGATTCTTGACGACGATTTAATCTATAATATTTGAATTGTTAAAATTATTACTTTCTACAGCACTGAATCTATCTATTCATTCTTTATTCATCCTGAAATTCCTCACCTGGTTATATCCTCGGATAACTCGTTGTAGTAAACGGCGAAGAGGTAACGGATCGCTTCAATTGGATCATTTTCTGAAAGAGTACTTAAAAGTTTCTAAGCTCTAACTGTCATTTGTTTTCAAAATCTATTTAAAATGCCATTTTAAATGTAAATTTCCGATAAATTTACCTGGTCCTTTCTCTTGTTGTGGAACGGGTGATGGCTCGCCAGCATTGAACAACTCGGCGTTTATCTAAATTTGATGACTTAAAATAAGTTCGCATGCGATATTTACATTTGCATCTAATCTATTTAAGTACTAAGTTTAAGTACTAGTCTATTACTAAGTAAAAACTCTCAGATACATTACCTCTGTGGCTTCAACTTCATCATCTTCATAACTTTCCTCATAAGAGCCCCCATTTCTCGTGGCATTGAAGAAAAGTTGGCCACTCTGAAATGAATTTTTAATTGTAACTAACTATTTTTATACTTATGAGGAAAATTTTTATACTATTTTACTTTTATAACTATAAAGGAACTTTAAAGGAACCAAATGGGAACTATAAAGGAACTATAAAGGAACTACATATAGTATATGCAAATTTTCCCTAACAGTTTACATTTTGCATTAAAACAAACCGATGTCGAGTTGAGAGTCTCGACTTTTTGTTCGCAAGCCTTTTGTGCCTCATCAAACGTCTCGAAAAACTCGTTTATTGTATAAATTGTGCCATTGATATCAATCTCTTCTCCTAATATAAAAATTTTTAAATAGAAATTAAGTTTTAAACCAGTGGTGGAATTTTCCGGCAGTGCACGAATGTTAATGGCTTTAAAGGTGCGATTGGATGGGTCGAAGACGATCGCCGCTCGAGAATCGGGGCTCTAGAATTTGGAATTTGTTCTCAATTGAATTGTTAGATATTAGAAATGTTTCAGTGGGTATTCGGTAGGTATTAGAAATCTTTCGCATTTGTTTACAGTTCTTGTTTCTTTTTATTCACCTGATCAGTGATTGGAGTCTCTGAGATCTCGCATTCAGCCACCATTGAGTCGGGCAACGGAATCTCATTGCTAAATAATCATCATATAAGTTTTAAACATATTCTTACTTCAATTTTGTCAAATCTTAAATGTTTTAAGATCTATAGGAGGAGGGCTTAAGTTTTTGAAGAGACAAAAATTTCCTCATTTAATGTCGTAATCTTTTCAAAAGCTTGTCAAAAGGCAAATCCCAATAAGCTTTTTTAATTAATCATCTCACATTCTTTTCGCTGTCATTTTTCTCTTACCTGTCATTGCTGTCTCCACCCGTATTCTCATCCATCGATGAGGGTGTTCTCCCATCTCCATCCCCTTCTTCTTCGATTTCTTCTCCTTCTTCACCTCCATCTTTCCCTTCATTATTCACATCTTCGTCTTCTTCCTCCTTTTCTTCTCCTCCTTCAATTTCTTTCATCGAATCGACTTTCTCATCATCATCTTTCACCTTAGTCTCCATACAAATCCTTAAATGAAAATTGAAAGAAGAAAATTAGAATAAAGTCATCAAAAAGGCAAATCCCAGACAAATAAAGTACAGTGTTCAAGTTGAAAACATGTCTAACAATATATCATTTACCTATAAAAAACTAGAAAAGGAATGAATGAAATAGTTTAATGTTGCATGGAACCTGTGATGGAGAGCGGGTGAAAGAGAGGCGACTGGTCGACTTGTTTATCGAGCCTTTGATAGAAAGAATCACAAGGAAAACTGGTAGGCTAGGATTGCACATTGCAATGATTGCACAAAGAAATACAATAGAATACAGCTAGATAAGTTTCAAAGTTGAATAGATTTTTGAAAGTATCAGCAGCTGTTACAAGTAGAGCAAAGTTGGTTGAAACGGTGGAGGTGGAGGAAATTGTTGGTGAAACGGATCGTGCAATCTTGGCTAATATTTCTTTAGGAAAGCTTTTTAATTTATAAAAGAAATTGAGTTGTTAATTATAAGTTGGAAAAGTTGTAAAGCATAAAAGGAAATTTCTGTAGCAAATCCAAAAGAACGGTTCTCAAAAGAGATCTCGTTGAAAGAGTAAACACAAACAAATGCCAGAAAGTGAAGTGAAAAGAGAAAGAGAAAAAATGGAGGTTTGTTGCCGTGGAAGTGGTGGTGGGATGGGTGGAGAAGAAGGGGGAAGGGCAAAGGCATGAGGTGTTGGCACAGACAGGGGATGGGGAGACCCCGTCCCCCCGTCGCCCATCCCCTCCCTCAGATAAGCACCACCACTCTCCCTTCTCCGCACTCCTTTTCTCCTCCCGCAACAGCCACAGCACTGCCTCCTCCACCGCTTTCCCCACTGCGCACACATCGGGGCTCTCTCTCCCATCGATCGCCCTTTCTTTCTGTGCAGCCACTACCCTCACCACCACTCGCACCACCGGAAAGTTCCAGTGACAGTGTTTAGGCTAAGCTTTGTTTTAACTTCATTACAAAACGGTTCAAAAAAAAGATTACTGTTCCGCAAGAATACAAATGCTTAAATATCATTCTTACATGGGAGAAATGAATCATCAATCGTTGTTTACAATCAAAAGAGAGAAAAGTTTTTATGGAAAGTTCAGTTTAAGATTTAGAATTAGATGTTAAAGAGCATAAAGGAATGGACATTTAAAAAATAGAATAAAGGGAGAACGATGTAAATAGACCGCAGTACAGCAATAAACGGCAAATCTGTTTGGTGATTGGAATTGTAATCACTGACATTAATTGTCTGGAACATTAGTTCTACCGTTCATTGCCTGTTGTAATCGTCTGTGCCAACGGCATCAATGGTTTTGGTCAAGTATCAAGTGCGAGTTCTTGATGGATACAAATGGTACTGAATACTTTATTGAGTATGCAAATATCAGATCAATTCGTTGAACTAAAGACTTTACTTTATACAGACAATGTTCTTTCTCAAGAAAACTCTAACGGCAAGATTGAATCGAGATTTATCAAGATAATTATAAGATATTCAGTTAAGCTAGAAGATATTCAGTTAAGCTAGAAGATATTCAGTTAAGCTATAAGATATTCAGTTAAGCTAGAAGATATTCAGTTAAGGAAACCCTTTTCATTTTATAGAATTGGCTAGGGTTGAATGAGCGAATCGATTGAAAAACAATGAGAACTGGCAATGACAATATTTGAACTAAGATTTGATTGAAAAAGAAATACAGAGACTAGATTTGAAGGATAATTATAAGATATTCAGCTAAGCTATAAGATAGGATTTAAATGGGGATTTAAATCCTATCTTATAACTTAACACTATTAGGATTTAAATGAAGTATTGAGATGAAAGAAAAGATCGAATACAATATTTGATTAGATACAAAAACACTATGTACAATTCAAAGACAAATCAAAGAATAGTACATTTCGAAGAGGTTTTCGGCACATAGCACTCTCGTTCACGTCCGAATACGTAAAATAGACCGACTTCTTTACCGATCGAATATCGAACTTGAGCAACAGGAATCGCGAGAAGGGAATGACGTTGCTGAATTTGTTTCTTTGCTAGATTTAGGCTTAGGCTTAGGCTCAGGCTTAGGCTTAGACTCAGGCTCAGGCTCAGGCTTAGGCTTAGGCTTAGGCTTAGGCTTAGGCTTGGACTTAGTGCGTAGGCTAGCGGCTAGCGCCTAGCACTAAGTCTATTTGGGTTTGGGCTGAACCCCCATTTTTTGGATCTCAGCGAGTTCTGGGATTAGGCTTAGGCTTAGGCTTAGGCTCAGGTTTGTAAGTTATTCATATTAGATTAGTCTTTTCGTTCCTTTTCATACTTTTGTTGAAAAATAACAATTCACTAATTAACTATGGTTTATTTCATTAGAAAGGCCAATAGCTTGAGAAACAAGATCCTCTTCTGGATCAATAAACAACCTTTATAACTCGACAATTCCCAAGACATCTCTGTAGATGTTCAGCACAAATTCTCTTGCTTGCTTCATTAATTTCGTTCATTGGATATCTGGTGATTGGTAGTACCTAAAAGGGAAAGATTTACCTTTTCATTTGCACTTTTTGATTTGTTAAAAGTCAATAAATTTGTATTTGAAAGATTAATGAGTAATGTTTTTAATCTAATATTTATATCGTGTTTCTTTTTATCGGCCTTTTTCGTGTTATGTGTATGAACTCATGTGTTTTAACTTTAAATCTAGCGCACTTTATCTCAGGTCCTGAATAAAGTATCTATATACAGTCGAACCTCTCTATAACGTAACTCACGGGACGGCTATAGCTTACGTTATATAGAGTGCCGTTTTATATAGCTTAACGTCGGCCGGGACCGGTCACGCCTTACGTTATAGAGAGGTTTACGTTATGTCGAGGTTCGTTATAGAGAGGTTCGACTGTATATATAATATTAGTCGAACTTACATATGGTTGCTCATCACAGAATATTTCTTTTCCATTCACATCTCGCAAATATTTCTCAGGTATTGGCGACTCAGTGTAGTATTCAGTGGCTTCAGTTTTGCTGAATTTATATGATTACAATTTTTTTTGATACAATTAGTCAATAGTACAATACAATTATTATTTTGTATCTTTTCTACTTACAAGAAAATCTTCATCTTTGAGAATGATCGAATCGATCCACTCCCGCCACACTTTGAACAAGGCTAAATCAAAAAAGAGATTTGTAAATCTACTAAAAGATAAATGATAACTTTAGATATATATTATCTAGCTGTATCTATCAATCAATAGATGTCAATCTTGCCTTATCTCATTGCTTTCTTTCTACCTTCTTTCCACTTCCTCGGCATTGACTGCATTCACCCACTCCAGCACCATGACAAACAAAGCAAAGATCGTGTCTGCCTAAAAAGGAAGGTATAACTTCAGATTTTAAAGCATTTATTTATAACAAACCAATGCCAGGTGGCGGCACTCCTGTCTTTGATATGAAATGCATTGGTGTCCCCAATCCATACGTTCCACCAACTCCATTCGGCCCTCGATGACCCATCATTGCCGTGCTTGTCGAGGCAAAACCACGTGAGGTGTCAGCCTAGAATTTGCTTTTCAAGCTTCAGTTTTACTAAATTTGAGAGACGTAGAGCTTTGATTTTTATAATCTTCAACTTACATGTGGAATTGTAGCAATTAAAGGATGCATCGCTACTGCCGGATGCACAACTCCGGATTTCATGCCGGTTCCTCTGGAAAAGGATGAATTAAATGTTTATGCTTTATATTACCTGCAATACCGACACTTATCAGAACCCGATCCTCTGCAAGAAAAGCAATGAATTGTTCCATCGGATGAACAAGTGACACATTTGATGATACGAGATGTTCCCGGGATCTCTTGAACTCGAACCTTAAAGGTTGTGCAATGAATTCAGATGATCAGCCTTTAAATTGAGATTCCTACTCTTCGAGAAAGGCACCAGAAGAGGCTTTTATCTACACGGAATTCTTCTTTATAATTGTTCATAATAAATCTCTTGTCAACTTTTCAAAACTCACTTGATCGACAAAAACGGTTGCCGGAAAAACCTCGAAATCCCAAGGATTCGGCGTGTGGGCTGGTCCCTGAAAAGAAAAGAATTTGAAAAAATAGGCTCGATCGCGTGACTTTGGACAAACAATTTTGAGAAAACAAAGATATTTCTGGGAGTACAAAGAAATGTGAGGATTTTTAAGTTATATACTATAAATGGAAATGAAATTTGAAAAGATTACAGTAAAGGCAAAACCTTTTTAACTCTAGTCTATCATAAAGAAAGCTTTATAATAGACTAGAGTTAAAAAGGATAACTGATTAGCTATTGTAAATATTTAAAGGATTCTCAAAACTCTACCAAATCTAAATCCGAGATTTCAAAGGCAGCATCTATAGTTGCTCCAGGTACATAAGCCTCTGTTGTTTCGACAGTTGATCGAGCTTCCGTGTAGGACTCGAGATTATACTGAAATTGGAATATAATTTTGATTAGATCGATTAGTCAAAATTCTTTATGGCTCTTTATGGCTTAGTACTTATGGCTTAGTACTCTTTATGGCTACTTTATCCCGATCGATTTCGATCGAAAATTTCATTTCTTATTCATTACCTTGAGACAAATCGACGCCTCGAGCCCCTCAATTTGCATCTTTTTCACGGTAGACTTCTTCCAGTATCTAGAATTCAGTTTAAAATCTTTTTTTAATAAAATTTTATATCTATTATGACTAAATACTGTAAAAAAGAAAGAATTTATCGAAGAAACCTGTGCCTTTTCGCTTCTCTCAACAGAACTTCTCTCACTTCACTCTCTCCAATCGGGATAATATCGTCGAAATATTGTTTTGATGAGGAGCCACCTGAAATATAAATATGTCTATGTAAAATCAATACTTTTTAGCTGAATAGACCAAAGTATTATCCCTTTAATCTAATCTTTGAGTCAATTTGTATATGTTGTGTCCGATTTAGATTTCCGTTTGATTTAGATTCAATCTAAATCGAACGTCCGATTTAGATTCAATCTAAATCTTATATAGATTGAACAATAATATAAACATGCTTAATATATGTTCGTAAGCGTTTTCAGTGTTTCAGTGTCTCATAGTTGGGTTTTCTTTTCAGAAAAAGACAGTAACAGACCTTTGAAAAATGCAGAAAACTACAGAAAACGCTTAAGAACATATATTAAGCATGTTTATATTATTGTTCAATCTATATAAGATTTAGATTGAATCTAAATCGGACACAAATCTAAATCGGACACAACATATACTTACAATAAGAGTTCTGTCTCGAAACAACTCGCAGATTTACTATACTTTTATGAAAGGCTAACAATAGACTCAAAATCTTCTTCTTTTCTAAACTTTTTCCATCTGGTACACCAGTTTCTAAACAAACTTGTAGCTTTTTTGTGTCGATCAATATCATCCTGTGGCGGTTGGAGGAGATTGTAACTCTCAGAAGTCTTTGATATAACCCGACTCATCTAAAAGAGGAAAAAAGATTACAGAATCGTCGAAAGTTGAAGCTTTTTTAAAGTTAAAATCTAGAATCAAAAATTGAATTGCTTCGTTGCATTTGAAAGTTGCAGAATGTCTTTAAAGCTTCGCCCCGACAAAGCCCCTGTTCAGAAGACATTCAGAAGACAAAGCCCCGTTCAGAAAAACTGTCCTCAACGTGATAAACAAAGGTTTCAAAAGATTTCCAAAACAAAAACACTGACTTGAGCTCACTGATCGCTTATTTCAATAAGGAGGTCTTGGAGAGATCCAATGAAATTCGGGGAAACATCGAAAAGAAAACGAGGAATGAATATCCACAGGAAAGATTCCTGAAATATTAATAACGAAATCGGCAAAAGCTTGACACGAAAGGAAAGGGATGTGGAAAGGGGATCGAAAGGTTCTATTGAGATGGGGAAAGATCGGGAAATGGGGGAGAGGGCAGAGAGAGGCCAACTAGGAGAAGAATGGAAGGGAAGGCAAAAGGACACAAATTCCCAGAGGCAATTCCTTTGTGAGGTGGGAAGGGGAGGGGCTCAGCTGCTCTCCATCCACTTCATTCTCTTCATCTTTCCATTCTATCTACTGAACCCACTCTATGAGTGAGGGAAAGGTGCAATGGCAACATGAACAGATCACATGGACACTGGATGTTCATAGATTAAAGAAACAAGTCAATTTTATCATTCACTACTTGATTCTATTCATGGAAATGGATTAGGAGTATGCTAATGGGAAAATAAGTCAATAGAGCAATAGAGCAGCTTTCTTTAATTACGGATTCAGATTCTCTATCCCAGAATGACTCCGGTTGCAAACTTTTAGGTCTATAGCAAACATAGCTGTCGTCCAAGCCAAAAATGACTTTGTATTAACAAACAAAACTTTGGCAAAACTCTTTAGCAAGCTTTGGACTTGTTTGATGTCTGAATTGCTCGATCCTCTCTTTCCTGCTCTTTCTACATCTTTCCTCAACCGGCCCTCTGCTTCTCTCTCATAATTGGCTCAACTTTCAGTCTTCTTTTAAGTATCCATTGAGTAGAGGCTTTAATTAATCGAGAGTCTCATAACAAATTGGGAATCCGTTTTAGGATAAATGAAAGAGTTGAGCAGAGTATAGATAAACATTATAAAATCAAAGAATTATTATAAAACCCAGCTTTTTCATTGCCAGTTTTTTCCTTGTTTTAAGTACTCAAAAGGCTTTTTTTACTAAACGATTTATTGGCACGAAACAGAGAAAATGGAATAACGTTAAAGGACTCAAGAAGGAATAAAAAAGAATACAAAAACGATGAGCATAACTAGGTCAAAGGAGAGAATTTTTATGATTAGACAAACAGTGAAAATCACATTTTGAAAAATGGAAATGCAAAGAAAATGGAAAATTTTGGCAAAAAAGAAATATTGACTGTGTCAAAAAAGAGAAAGAATTCATATTTTGGGCTTTTTTTCGAGATTTTGTCGTGGAGAAGAAAAGTTTGGGGCAAAAATCGAAAGACCAACTAAATTTATGAAAAAAAAGCTATAAAAATATTCAAAGAAACAATGCAAAATCAATAGATTTACCTGATCGCTAAAATCTGTCATTTACGCTTTAGAGGAATTTTTTTTGGAGAGAGTTTTTTTTGTATGGGAAGTCATGGTGATTTCATGGAATACAAAATAATGTAACAAGTTTGGAAAAGAGGGAAATTGGTTATTTCGAATGAGTGACGACTTTGAAGATAACTAGAGAAGCCTTTAGAGATAAGATTTCGGATCAATTTCTATATAGCTTTCGAATGATACAAAATAGAGCTTGGATGATACAAAATAGAGCAAAATAGAGCATTCTCGTGAAAATATTCCGATATTTCAATGAAATTCGCTGAATTTGATATCATTTGAAAGCCTAAAGTGTTCTCTATCTAGCTAGATGAAAAATAACAATAATCTAATCTCTGGAAAAGGATATAGATCTTTAAAACATGTCCACTTATGGGGGTGGGACAAATGCGACCAAAATGACTTTTTTTGCGCACCTGGATATTTGCGCACCTTTTTTTTGCTGGAAAAGGCTTTAGGCAAGGTCGTAGAGCTTCGAAAATATTTCCATATAAGAGAATCGTATGCGTAGATTCCGAATTTCGACAAAACAGACCTCGCTGACACGTCAAATTTGGGCTAAAAGGCAAAAACTGCGGAAAAGCGTTTAGTTGCGTAGTTTTTGCCTTTTAGCCCAAATTTGACGTGTCAGCGAGGTCTGATTTGTCAAAATTCTGAATCTACGTATACCATTCCCTTCTATGAAAACATTTTTGAAGCTCTACGACCTTTCCTAAGGCCTTTTCCAGCAAAAAAAGGTGCGCAAATGTCCAGGTGCGCAAAAAAAAGGTCGCATTTGTCCCACCCCCGTTTTTGCGATAATTTTTGCTCCAGTTAGCATAGAGTTGATAAATTAATTATCCGAACGAGTGAACTTGACGTAAATGCTTCAAAAGTATCATTTGAAAGCCTAAAGTGTTCTCTATCTAGCGAGATGAAAAGCTAACAATAATCTAATCTCTGGAAAAGGATATCGATCTTTAAAAGATGTGCACTCATTCGATTCTAGCTATGATAACCTTTCAAACAATCAAACAAAGAAAACGAATCACATTTCTCACTCAAAACAAGGTAGATTTTGTTAAGAAGTTTCAAATGTTTTTGGCAGATTTTAAAGAAAAATTTGAAACGCTTATGTTTGGCGGGGAAAATTTGGCGATAAAAATAAGAAAAAAATGAAAAAGTTTAAAAGAACTTAAGAAAATAAAGTATTAAAAACCTAAAACAACGAGTGAAAAGAGCTCGACAAGAAACTAGAGTCGAATTTCAAGAGCTCTCTTCAACTCAATTCCTTTCACTCAAATCTTTAATGATTCTAATCAAATCATTCATCAAAGTGTCTCTTTTCGTTTTTCGGGAATGACGTTGGTGGAGGAGTGAGACAAGCGGATGGGGGACGAGCCGCACTACTCGCTTCAGCTCCACAACATGGAGACAATGAAGCCGAGCCTTTCTGTAAACAAAATCGTCTATTGAAATAAGATATTTGATCATAAAGCGACTTCTCTACGACTCTTCCTAGACCAAAATTTGGTTGAAGAATAAAAGCCAGTACTTTATTTTTTCTTAATAGTAATAGAATGATAGATAAATATCCCATTCTTCTCTAAAAAACAGTACCAAATAGTGTATATGAACTGTAGTTATATTGCAGATATCATGGCGTAAATGTAGGTAGATTGCAAATGCCCAAAAATCCTGTTACCTTTGGCTGAATGCCGAGAAATCTCTCATAGTCGCTGAGTTGACCCATAAAGTGGAAATTGGGAGCAATGCTTGCGTTTCGACCTAGTACAACATCGTATGCTTCCTCGAGAGACCATCTGAAATGTTTTAATGGTGAAACGTTTAATGATAAACTAACTAAGTAGCACAGGGAAGTGCTACTTAGTTAGTCTGAAAGACATAGTGTCATAGTGACATAGACATATTTTCGTTACAAGTAACTTGTAACGAAAATATCTGTCAGTCCTTTAAGGTTTCGTGGACCCAGAAAGGGTGTGTTCTAGAATTGCAACGATAACATCTGTTGGTTCTTACTTTCTTGTGAACATCAAATAAGCAAGACAGATCGTCACAGATCGACTGATTCCTGCCAAACAGTGCACTAAACAGCCCTCGTTCTCTCGTTCAGCTTCATCAATGAAATCGATCGCTTCTGAAATCGATTGAATTTGATTTCTTGAAGGTTTTAACATTTAACATCTAAGTCTTACAAATTGCTCATGACAATGCTCTTCATATAATATTGGTGACAGAATATTGCAAATGTATTCAGCTGTCCAAGTCTTTTCGTTTCTTTTTGTACTCTCGTTTAAAACGAACAAATGCATTAATTGAACAATGAGACCGGGAGAACTCTTTCACTCACCTGGTTTGTCTTTTACTAAAATTGTAGCTAGTTTTTTTAAAAATACTTTTAAAGATTTATTTGAATTGAAACACTTCTATTAAACTGTCCAGAAAATCTTTTCTTTCCTTTTCGTATTCCGTTTAAAACCAACAAACGCACCAATTGAACTACGGTTTGTTTCATTAGAAAGGCTAATTATTTTTCTGTAAAACAACATTAAAACGGGTTTCAAATGACTTATGTCTGCTTTTTTTTGAGAGCTTCAAGTCGGGTATTCAAATGTATTCAGTTGTCCAGAAAGCTGTTCGTTCCTTTTTGTACTTTCGTTTAAAACCAACAAATGCACCAATTGAACTACGGTTTGTTTTATTAAAAAAAAACGAATTATTTTTCTGCAAAATAACATTAAAATGCGTTTAGAAATGTCTTATGTCTGCATTTTTTGGGAGTATGAAGTCGAGTAGTCAAAAAGGGCGATCGATGATGTGGCTTAGACACTTTAGCTAAGGAAACCTATCTTGGCTTCATTAGATAAAAGATAGAGCATAAAAAGTTTTGTGTATAGCCAAATTTCTGAAATTAATTCAGCCAATTTCTTAGAGTTTCTTATAGATTTTACGAAAAACACGTGTTTTCACTCTCGAATTTGCTTGAAAGTGAACCAAAATTGACTTAAAAAGATCGGAAATTGACCAATAAGCACTTTTTATTTAGAGTAAACTATAGGTTAATTGGTGAATTTGTGATTTTGTGAACGGAAGTATGGAAAGAAACGAAAAGACTTATTCACCAATATCCAATAGAGAATCAAATTTCGGTGAAAACCAACACGGGACTCACAACTCTAATGAAACAGATCTAATGAAACAGATCAAGTAGTATCAAGAGCTTCCTTCATCTTTTCTTTACTACTATACAATGACAAATTTTGTCTGACAAGTAGTCCATTTCTCATTTTCCATTTTCATTCTTTGTGAACTAACGTGGGAAGAACTGTGTCAAATTGTAGGCGGCATTGTCATCAACCGAGATACGAAGATAGTGAAAACGAGAGTCATCCTCGAAGAAATTGTCAAGATTTGAAGTCACGTTGATGATGTAGTGAATACCGTAACTGAATTTGAATAGTTAAACATTGTATCACTTTATTAATGCTGTTTTATTAATGTTAGCTTTATTAATCTTTTAATTCTCACCTATCAAGAAGCTCCTTATTCTCGGCTGTTTCCGCATTACCCAAATAGAGATGTGGAAGGATTTGAACAGGGAATGTCTGAAAGAAATCAAATTTTTGCAAATAAATCTCTAGATTGAATAAGAAAGTCTTTTGCTATCTTTTGCTTTCTTTTGCTAATCTTTAGAATCTAAACCTGTCGCTTATCGTTAGTCTTTGGCATTGGAGTGAGGTTAAGACCAGGTCCCTCAATATCGTTTTCGATCCGGAGAGCACTGAAAATGTTTTTAGAAAGATTTATACTTAAACTTTGAAGCTTTCTATCATCAACTTAAAGCTTTCCATCATGATTTTCAATCCTTACTCAAGATTGAGCGATCTCAAATCCTCTCCTTTCTTTTTCGGACTTGGTGGATTCATCATCATATTCGATTCCATCATTTGACACTCCTTCAGTTTTGGGAATTGGTCAAGAACGGATTCAACTCCATCTAGAATTTGAGATTTCTTATTACTAAAGCTCTTTTCTAAATCTCTTTGATATAAAACTCACCAGCAAGCAGAAACAATGTTTGTTTTCCTTGTTTCTTCAGCGCATTCAATACATCTTTTGATTGTGCTCCTTGTGTTGGTTCTTCTTCAGGAATCACAACAACAATCACTCCATCATCCACTAATCTAAAAGAGATTTTATAGATAAAAGATAAATAGTTTTATCATCACCTAGAAGAGATATTTGTGAGTGGAAGCGATCCACTCTGAAGGCGTCGAAGAAGGACATGAGGTAGACGAACACTGCAAACAATTCCTATAGTTTCTAGTCTACTCAAATCATCTTTTTACTATCTATAATTATTTATTTATGTACTTATTCAAAACTGGATCTGCTCTTGTTTTTTAAAACATTTGATTCATGGCTCTGACCGACTGGCCAAGAGACTGGCCAAGTTTTATGGCTCTGACCGACTGTATCTTAGTCGGGAAGACAAGGGTTCAATCCCAAAGCTAGATTGTTAGTTCTTTTTTCTCATCAACAGGTTTCCCTACATTTAGGGCTTAATGGTTGTGCTTTTGGATTGTTTTTACTAAATTATTAGTATGAATATATATTTTTAAATTCAACTCACCGAGTTGAGTTTTTGAGTGAAGAGCCTCGAGTGCGACAATCCAGAATACAGACTTCCTGTAAATCCAGAATAAAGACTTCAATGAATTAAATTCAAATTCAGCCTGCGTTTAATTCTTTAAGTTTTCAACAATTATTGTCGACCAAAGAAACCTTTCCCGATGAGATGAGTTCATTGAGTGTGTTCCCGTCGATCGGCTGAGCTTCGGTCGTTCCCTGGAAAGAGGTTATTGTTTTATTTTGTATCAAATAATAAGATTCTTATCAGTTTCTCTATCTCCTTGCTTTCTTTTTCATTTCTTTTCATCAATACTTTGTTGTGAAAGTTATTATAAAATTGTTTATTTCAAAAACTGTTTGCTCAAAAACGAGCTATTATTTGAGTTGTTGTAGTTGACATAAAAACGCTCTTATATATGTGTTACGTCCGAATCTGAGGAGATTCATTCTCCTCTGAAACGAACGTCCGACTCAGAGATGGACGTCCGACTCTGAGTCGGACGTCCGTTTCGGAGGAGAACGAATCTCCTCAGATTCGGACGTCCGGATCGGAGATGGACGTCTCCTCAGATTCGGACGTAACATATGCAAACCTCAAATCCTAATTGAATAAATGTAATTAACATTGTTTAGCCAATTTAATCATTCTTTTTAAATTCATGACCAGTTTTAAGCGTGTTCTTCTTAGTGTTTCTGTTTAGCTTCTTTTGTTTTCTCAATTTTGGTATACTTGCTTGATCTGCGCAATCTTATAGCCAAAAAGTGTCATCTAAATGCTATCTAGATACACAATAAGTTGACAAATTTCGTTGAGTCTATATGCAAGAATTTATCTTTATGATATGTTTAAAAGCCAATTTTCTGTGCAACAGTCAATGTCACTATAACAGAAACTGCACGAATAAGTCAAATTGATTAGTTGATTAGTTGCATTTTGTTATGATTCGGTGTTGCATAACTCATTTGCTATCTCTTTGTTTCTTAATTTTGGTGTACTTGTTTGATCTACGCAATCTTGTAGCCAAAAAGTGTCATCTAAATGCTATCTAAATACACAATACACAATTTCGTTGAGTCTATATGCAAGGATTTATCTTTATGATATGTTTAAAAGCCAATGTTCTATGCAACAGTCAATATCACCATAACAGAAACTGCACGAATAAATCAAATTTGATTAGTTGATTAGTTGCATTCGAGTTTGTTTGCATTTAGCATTCATTTTTTGTTCTTATCTTTCATTTTGTTATGTTTGAAGTTCTGATAAACTTTAAAAAGAGAAAAAAAACGAAAAATTACAAAGCATTTCATCTAAAGCATCTACTCAACTAGTATTTGAGATTTAATTTGTATAAAAAGTGTTTTATGTTTCAGTCTTAATCGGCTATGACAGACTGGCTTATTCTTTAATATTTTTTCTTTAGCACAAACCTGAATTGAAGTAGACGGTCCACTCATTGAGACCATTCCTTTTTGATTGAATAAATGTGAAGAAATGATCTGAAGAAGTGAAATGGAAAGAGAAAGAAAAGAGTTCACTTTCCCACGACCAATTCACCGAATTCAGTCGGGAAATCACCTGAAATATCGTGAGATTTGAGCTGAATGAGAATCGAAAAACAAAGTACTTTAAGAAAGAAATTAGAGCAACAAAGATCAATGGAGAAGTCGAAGCTCTTTTAAGTGGCAGAATTGATTCAAGTGAACCCTATGTTGAAATTCGTCTTGTACTTTGTGCTCTGACAATCACAATGCTTTTGATACACTCTTTTGCAGAACTTGTTTTTGCAATCTATAAATCAATGGTAGAAGAGGTGCGTTTGTCTGAATACAAAGTACGAATCAGGTTTTGCACAGTCTTTCTACAAGTCAACTGATACAAATAAAAGTTGACAAAATCAGAACCAAGCAAATATTTACAAAACTCAAAAAGGAAACCAATTTTTTGAACAGGTCACAGCAAATTTGTTGTCACGTCACGAATTTGCATAAAACCTTCAATATTTGTAAACCCATTTTATCTGTATAATCAAATCAAATCAAATCAAATCAAATCAAAAAAATCTCTAAAGTTAAGCAATCACGTGTTCTTACAATTCTTAACAAAACAAACACAAGAAAATGGGAAAATTTTGCGCTAAAAGTTCACAAGTTCTTTCTTTTTCTTTCTTATCAATTCTCGCTTTGAAAAACTTGCAAAAAGAAGGCGTGCCGAATCATCGGAAATCATTACTATCATTACCTATAGTTACCTATAGGTAATGATATCCTATAGAAATTCCTATAGAAAATATCCATTACCTATAGTTACCTATAGGTAATGATATTCTATAGCTATCATTACCTATAGAAAAAGCCAAATCATCGGAAATGCTACACCGGAAATGATTCGCAAATATTTTCTTTACAAACTAAGATCAACGCCAGGAAATTTGCATACGCGAACATGTGATCAAAAAAAAAGCGGTTGGAGGACACAAAACCGAAAGTGAGAAAATGTCGGGTGCGGGTTTGAGAAAGGAAAAGAGGAAGGGAGTCACGGATACAAGAAAGAGAGAAAAAGGAATTTCGGGAAATGAGAGAACGAAGATGAGATGAGAAAAGGATGAGAAAAGGGAAAGGAATGGGAAGCGGGTAGAAGGGGAGAGGACAGAGAATCCCCTCATGACACACTGCGTGTATCTCCGTATTCCTTTGTGTCTCTCCCTATTCCTTTTCATCCCTCTTTCCACATCTTTCTCTCCCTTTGACGCACCTCGACATCACTATTAGCTTACACCAAATGAACGGGATCTCTTTCCCCCGGCTTTTCTCTCTTCTCTTGACCACAGCTGACTATAGAAAGTGCTATAGAATGAGGAATTGTACCGGTTTTTGAAAGCTTTATGCAGCGCTACAGAGAACTTTAGAATAATACAGTGTTACTGCTAAATTACACTGAAAGGTCTACAACTAACCTAGCCACTAAAGCAACTAACAAACTAACCAAAAGTTGTACAATCATGTTTCACGTGATTCTGGTATCTAGAAGTTTGCAAATCCATTGTATTAGAGGCTTGGCTCGATGATGAAGTTTAGACACTAAGAAAATCTATTTTCGTGTCAAGGATTGAAAGAAAACGTATTTCCAAATGACTTAGATTTCCTTGAACTAATGATTTCTTTTCTCTATTCACCTCTCGAGATCCCAAGATTGCTTACACCATTTCCTTTGAATTGACCAACTGACCCAAAGAAAAGATTAACGAAGAAATTTGGTCATTTCTCGGTCAATTAAGCTAAAGGGATTCTCGTTTAAGATTAGTTCTGAGGCTATTAATCTAGCAATAAGTGTGTATCAAGTTTTCAAAAAGCTTAAGAAAAACTAAATCAAATGAAAGTCTCACAGGACAATGTACTGATCAATCTTTGATATTTGAAAACACAAGAAGTACAATATTTATAAATGAAAAGAAGAATAAGTCCATTTTGATTGTTAGAAAGTTTAAATAAGAAATTTTTGGCTAATACTGAATAAAATTCTTTGACAACAAGAGATTTCATGATTTTTGACAGGTGTTTTATGGGAAAAGTTTTTGAAATCAACAGTAATCCTTATTGAATTCATTTTTAAATGTCACGTACAGAAATTTATTATATTTTTATCTTACGAATAAAAACAAGAAATTGTTTTTGCTAGGATTCAAGAATACGGTATTTTGTCGATGATTTTGATTCATGGGATTCAAAGAATTGCTAGGATTCATGGGAAAGTTCTTGTGTGAGCCTAGCTTTAACAAGCTCTACAAACGGTGAGCTAAAACAATTTTCAATTAAAAATGAGTAAGCGTTTCTTCATCTTTTCCAAAATGTTAGACACTGAAATTTGCCAAAATTCTCTGAAAATCTCTAAATTTGTGTTATGTGATGAATGAAATTGAAAAAAATCTTTTTTTTTCGCCCAGGTGGGCGCCAATTATTTGTATTCTAATTAAAGGATCGACGCAAAAAAAGAAACGAAAATTTTTGCGCACTTCCGTCCCCTTTTTGAAAAGGATTATTTAAAAAGTATTCTTTAAAAAGTACTCTTTAAAAAGGATTCTTTAAAAATGATTATTTAAACAGGATTCTTTAAAAAGGATTCTTTAAAAAGGGTTCTTTAAAAAGGATACTTCAAAAAGGATTCTTTAAAAATGATTATTTAAAAAGATTCTTTAAAAAGTATTCTTTAAAAGGATACTTTAAAAAGGATTCTTTAAAAAGGGTTCTTTAAAAAGGATTCTTTAAAAAGATTCTTTAAAAAGGATTCTCGTTTCCTTTTTCAACCCTCGATCACAATGAGTAAAATCTTGTTCTAAAAAGATTAAAGAAAGCTTTTTAGTTTAATAAAATGATTGTTGATCTTGAAATTAGTCATCTAAGACTAATTAACGGCCTTTCTTTGTTCACTAATCAACGAATTCTTCATATTCCTCGAAAAGCTTTCATTTCATAGTCTTTCTCTGTACCCTTTCTCTGTAAACATTGTATAAATTGTTGTTGTTATTGTTATTGTTATTGTTATTGTTTGTTATTGTTATTGTTTATTTTTCTTGAATACTTTTACAGCAATAGCTGGATATTTAGTTGAAATTTACATAGATTTATAAACTATTATGCAATAAAAAGTTTCAATTTACAAAGAAAAAGAAATAAATTATAAATAAAAGCCAGTCTTGTAGAGTTATTCAAATCAAAATTTGGGTTTAAGATCAGAATTTTAAGTAGATAAAGATAAATTTTGTTTATATATACTTTTGTAACGATTGAAAAGCACAAAGAATGATGATACAGTGGTCCACAAAACTAATGTCCCATTGATGTTTTCCTTGATTGTTCTTTTTATTTTCGCGTTCTATGAACATTAAATGTATTAAATGGGCCACCATCCGCCTAAGTCTTTTGAAAAATCTCGTGGATTCCATGCCGGATCGACTCAATGAAGCGATAAAAGCAAACGGAGGACCAAGCAAATATTAATTTTTTGAAAAAATTGTTAATTCTTTGCAAATGCGACATTACTTTTGTGGAGCTATTTGTTAAGTAACTTATTGTTTTTGTTTTATACTTTAATTTTTCTGCAATGTATACGAATAAATCTTATAATCTTGAAAAGTAGAGTATTATGGGTAAGCAAAATATCTTACACTTTTTGGGAATATTATTTTGCAAGATTTTCGTACGAAAGAAACTTTTGGATGGCAATGGGACAATACTTTTGTGGACCACTATACAGTTTAAAAGCCAATGTTCTATGCAACAGTCAATGTCATCGTAACAGAAACTGCATCAAATAAATCAAATTGATTAGTTGATTAGTTGCATTCGAGTTTGTTTGCATTTAGCATACATTTTTTGTTCTTATCTTTCATTTTGTTATGTTTCAAATCCTGATAAACTTTAAAAAGAGAAAAAAAAGCGAAAAATTATAAAGCATTTCATCTAAAGCATTTACTCAACTAGTATTTGAGATTTAATTTGTATAAAAATGTGTTTTATGTTTCAGTCTTAATCGGCTATGACATACTGGCTTATTCTTTAATATTTTTTCTTTAGCACAAACCTGAATTGAAGTAGACGGTCCACTCATTGAGACCATTCCTTTTTGATTGAATAAATTCTATGCAACAGTCAATGTCACCATAACAGAAACTGCATTAAATAAATCAAATTGATTAGTTGATTAGTTACATTCGAGTTTGTTTGCATTTAGCATTCATTTTTTGTCTTGTAGAATGATGATATGTTTAAAAACCAATGTTCTATGCCTTATTCAAATCAAAATTTGGATTTAAGATCAAATTTTAAGTAGATAAAGATAAATTTTGTTTATATATACAATTGAAAAGCACAAAGAATGATGATAACATTAGAAAATAACAAGAGAATCATCGGGTGAAGCGACAAGATGGGAGAGATCTTTGCTTGAGCGGATGAGAGATTCGATGGAAGTGAGGAGATGCGATGGGATTGATGGAGGATCACAAGGGGAACGCAGCTCCTTCAACAGCACACGCAGTTTAGATTCGTTGTCTAGAAATTGGATAATAAGTGTTGTACTTCAATACAGATTTTTGAAACTCACTGTGTTCGATGAGGAATCGAGCGTAGACTTTGCATATTGATTGAAAATCTTGAATCGATCCAGCTGCTCGACTTCCCGCCAACCATTCCTCCAATTGACTCTCCTTGCAAATAGATCGGATATTTGGGTTGACCAATGGAACCAAATCAGATCTAAATGTTTTATAAATTGGCTTTCTAACGAACACAGTGAGTTTCAAAAATCAGTATTGAAGTACAAAGATTATTATTTAATTTCTAGACAACTGTTTAAATGTCTAAGTATAATTCGGCTTTCTAACAGTTGAAAAGTGTGCCTGAGCCTAAGCCTAAGCCTAAGCCTGAACCTGAGCCTGAGCCTAAGCCTAAGCCTAAGCCTAAGCCTAAGCCTAAGCCTAAGCCTGAGCCTAAGCCTAAGCCTAAGCCTAAGCCTAAGCCTGAGCCTAAGCCTATCCAATTCGTGTTCAGCATCCTCGATTACCTCTAGAAAAGTGAAAAAAACAAAAATATTACAAAAAATCAGTATTGAATTACAATGTTCACGTTCAATGTTAAATTAATCTTCAATCTCTTTTGAGAGAATTTCTCTAGTTTTTATCACCTGATCCTTTTCCTCAATGCTTTCGATAAATATCCTTGACTCATCTCATTGATTTGGAGTCCATCAAAACATCTTGACATACATGTCGTCCCTCGATCGAGTAATACCCTGGAAAAGATCTTGAAAAATCTTTTGTAATCAAGACTCACCACCGGGCAAAGTTGAGACTGTATGTGAAGAGATTTCCTGATGAGAAGCCGATAATTGGGACACCATTGTTCGTTAGATTTACAGAAGAGATTGTAGCATCTGAAAGTTTTCGATTTTAGTTTTATAACCATTTACACGAACCTTCACTTGCAATGATATCAGACACGGAGATTCCATTCACGACAAGTTTCGTCTCTTGCAGGTTCCTGGAAAATGATTCTTTTAAGATTTAAGTTAGTTATTCTCTTGTAGGTTCCTGGAAAATGATTCTTTTAAGTCTTTTAAGTCAAGCACCAGTTCTTTTAAGATTTAAGTTAATTTTTCTCTTGTAGGTTTCTGGAAAATGATTCTTTTCAGATTCAAGTTAGTTTTTTAAGTTTCAAGTATGATTTACCATGAATAAAAATGGCCAGTTGAAGTGAGAGCAAAGGCGAAATGTGATTGCACTCCAACTCTGACCGGTACTCCATCCAATACAAGAGTTACAACAAGACGACCACAACTCGAATCGATCAATTGAATGTAACGATCAGTTGAGCCGGTCAAGCACCAGTATCTAAATGTGAATAAATTGACATCAAATTGACATCATCAAATAGTAAGCTTAAACCCACTTGTTTCCAGCAGCCACAAGAACCGGCGATGTTGTGATGAGTGTCCATTTCGCGTCACCATCAATCACATATCCAATCTTGGTGGCTTTCCCAATCCCTCCACCCAATGTCCATTCGTTCTCAATTTCTATCGTACCACCATTTGTCTAAAAGCTTTTAAAATAACCAATTCAATTTTAAGTTACCAGTAAAACGTTGATTGAAAAGCTTTTCTTCAGATCAGGAATGGCAAGTGTTCCTTGAGAAAAAGATAATGGTTCAACTGTTCTCAGCTCAGGTCTCTTGAAGTCAGCTGCTCTGTAAAAGAGATCGATAAAGAGATCGATAATCTAATTTCAAAAAAAGAAAGCAAGCTTGATAGATTCTATAAGGTTTAGCTTAGCTAACCTTAGTCAAATCCAATGACATTTTCAATGGCATTGCTATCCAGCTTTTGTATTCTCGTCTAGAGAATCGCAAGAATAGATTTATTATTGTTGTTTTATTTGAAAGTTTCTTTTTATTTGCTTACAGAACAGTTTCCTTGCGTGTACTCGTTTGTGGATCATTCCTGTCCAAATTCTCGATTTCTCGTTCTCCATCAGATTCACTCGAACTGCTGATATGGACTCGTTTTCGTTTTGATGGCTTTACTCGGCTAAAGTTATAAGTTAAAGCAGCCGAAAAACTAGGCCAATAACTCAGCAACAACACTATAGGAATCCTTCCAAACTAACCTCTCTTTTTCCGGTGAGTCCATCGATTCATCTGGCCGACTTGTGCTTGGCAGAACGAAATCGCTGAAATTTTGAGATTCATCATAGCTCATCCTTAGTGAAAGTTTTGAATTACAAAAATCAATGATTTCTTTAGAATCTGTGCTTGGGATTGTGAACGAACTTTTTGTTGAGAGACTTTGGTGGAATGGGCACTTCAGGCATCTCATTGCTCGAAATGGATGAGATGAATTTTGGTTGAATCCGTCTTCGTCCTTTATCGTCTTTTGTCTTAATTGAATTGATAAAACGAAGAACAAAACTGCAGTAATAATTGATTCGAACAAAATAGAAATGTCTTGCCTCAATTTGTGTGGCTCGTTCACTTTGCAGAACCTTTTCTGGTGTCTGAGTCTTCTCTGGAATTCTCTCCTCTTCCGATCTTTGATTCGCTTCTTCACGACTCGATTTCCTTGCTTTGAATGGACTCAATTGATCCTCGAGCTACAAATTACAGAAATCTTTGCTTAAAATTATATTTTACATTTGTTGCAGAAAGACTTTTTGGGAAATCATCCAATTTTCCATTTGAGATCTCTCGATAAATCGTTGGGCAAGTTTGGTAGAGTTTTTGACATTCATCAGCCTGAAATTTTGAATTTCTGTAATTTGTAGCCATCAATTGAGTCCATTCAAAGCAAGGAAATCAAATTTTCAATTCCAAAAGCAAGCTTTTAAAGAAGGGGACTGAATTAAGATCAATTCTCACTAAAGCCAGATTATCGAGGTGTAGCAATATAATTTTTGATGAAGTTTTATGTAGAAGTGATAGTTTTAGTGAGAATCGGTCTTAATTAAGATTCCTCCATCAAAACTGACCATTTCATGCATTGTCAACATTCTTCCAAGATCTTTTTCGGTAAATGGAAGATGTCTGACAGTTCCATCTCGTGAAGCAGCAAAGAGTTCACTTCCCCTCCAAGTCAGATCAACAACTGCTTCCTGGAAATTGTTCTTGGTGTTTAATATTAAATCTTATTGATCTTAATCTAGTACCTACATTGAAAAGATGATGGAATACGATGAGTGGTCGAAGAAGAAAGGGAATCGCCCAAAGGGACAAAGCACAATCACTTGATCCCATTCCAATTATTGAGACCTAGAAGAAAGGAAATTCATTTTGAAGGTTTAAATTAGATCCAACAATTAGATCTAAGTACAGCTATGAATTAAATAGATCGAACTTATCTAGGTACAGCTATGAATTAAATAGATCCAACTTATCTAGGTACAGCTATGAATTAAATAGATCGAACTTATCTAGGTACAGCTATGAATTAAATAGATCGAACTTATCTAGATACAGCTATGAATTAAATAGATCCAACTTATCTAGGTACAGCTATGAATTAAATAGATCGAACTTATCTAGGTACAGCTATGAATTAAATAGATCGAACTTATCTAAATACATCCATCAATTCTCTACCTTTCTTAAAATTCCTTTGTGATCTTTATACTCGAAGAGTCGAGGGCAACACTTTACCACGACAACACCCTGAAAAGTAAATTTAAACAATATTCATGAAGTATTAAGGCTTCTAAAGCTTATTGTTGAATTTACAAACCTTTCTGTGACCAACAAAATCTCGATCTGTATTCCAAGATCCTCTTGTGATAATCTGGCAAATAGGCAGATTGTTGTTCTTCGCCATCTGAAAAAAAACACTGATTGTTTTGCTTTTGTAGTTTTGAATGAATCAAAACTTTGTATACTGTCAGATTTTCAGAATATTAATTTACTCACCGGACAAAATAAGTACTGCCCATCGGGTGACCAATCAAGATGGAAGAAAATCGCGGAGAATACACTCTAAAAGAAGGACTTTAAAACGATTTTCCTGGTCGACTGGCTAAGAGCCTGGCTTGCATCTCAGTCGAGAGGTCAAAGGTTTAATCCTGGCCAGATTATTGAATCTTTTTTTCTCATATATGGCTTATTTTTCTTCTCTACATGAAAGGGAAAGGGTTGTGCTTTGGTCTGGAAATGAATGAGAATTAATAAGGTCTGAAAATTAATAAGAATTCGTACGATAGTTTGTATCGCATTATTCGTGTGAATAAATGGATAAATATATTGGATCTGTTCTTGAATATCAATCATGAAATCAAACCTCTTTAAATGGATCTTCAATCGTTGTCTCCAATTTCCAATGCTCACATCGCCACACTTTCAACGTTTTATCCGTCGATTGGGTACAGAAATAGGTACCGATTGGATCCCAAGCGATTCCTGCAAGTTATTCATTTGATAGTTCTCGATTTTTCTTTTCCAAACCTTTTACACTATCCGAATGTCCACCATTTTTTGAATTAAGTACAGCAACACGATCGGGAAATGATTGAGCATTCCAAATGACGACTCGATTATCCAATGAACTTGAGGCAAGGAAACGACCGCATGGAGACCATTCAACACCAGTTACCTGCAATATTCAACATCTTTAAATCATTCTCATTTCATCATTCTCATTATCTACCTCCATATTGTGATAGGCGAGTGTGTGGAGATTCTTGTAAAGCTCTAGATTCCCGGCTCGTTTCCCAATTGATCCAACCGATTGCACCCGAAAACCGTACTCCCAAATTGTGACCTGGATTTCGTTTTGAAATTATCTTTCTTTTCTATTCAAACAACAAACCTGCTTATCATCGGATCCACAGGCAAAACGTTTCCCGTTTGGTGACCATCGAATAGCGTTCACATTTGCTTAAGTTTTGTTTATTAATAATTAATAATATTATTAATATCAGTATTAATAATTTAAAATTGAAAAACTAGAGCTTCTTAATGTTATTTGCTTATTAAAGTTACTTGGGAAATCGATCGATGCCAATATAGTTGGTTTCTCCTCGAAATCACCGCTCTTTACCTTGCAAGCGACAAGATTCCAGATTCGGACAAGTCTGGAAATCAACGAATAAAGATAAGCTTTTAATCTTAACGTCTTTGCAAACTATCTAACAGTAAAGCATATTGTATCCAGTTATTAGAGTACAGCAATGCACTAACCCTTCTTTCTCATTTGGACCACAAGTCGCGATTTTATCGTAGACTGGATTTGCGTGGATCGAGAAAAAGGTTTGGCCTGAAAAATTTAAGATTATAAAGATAAAGAATTATTATTATATTTCTTCCTTTATTCCTTTTCAAGTTCAAACCTTCATGATGTAACCAAGGGAGAGTCCTCACTCGCATCTTTCGATCTGAACAAAGCTTTCGTTAATCTTATTTTTGATTAAAAGATTAAAAAGAGAAAATTAAAAGAAAAACAAAGCGTATATAAACTAAAAACAATCAAATTTATTTAGAAAGTTCAGTTAAAAGATTTTTAAAAAGGAGACAAGAGAAAAGGCGTGAATTGGTGTGGAAAGTTGGTGTTGGAAAGGGGAAAGGGAGGAATGAGACGAGCTTTATGAATGACTTTATGAATAATCAAGACAATTAAAGGTAGTCAAGAAGTTTGTCAATTAGTTACAAAAGGAAAAAATAACTTCAATTACTTAAGCGACGCAGCAGACTTGGTGGAGCTCTACATCTGTCTTTGGTCGAGCAAGCTTTGTTGCTGTTCATTCACCTCCAATAAGTTTGTTTATAACTCTTTTCTAATAAGAACTGCCAGAATTTGGACCTGGGACCTTGGAATCGATTCCCCAGCGTTTTGAGAGAGTCCAATAGTCTCGAAACCTTTCAATTATCTGTAGATGATCTTGATCTTGAAGCTCTAGTGGATCCTTGACGTTATCTGTGCTACCCATATATTACATATATTATATCGTGTTGCTTTTTATCGGCTCTTTTCGTGTTATGTGTATGAATTCATGTGTTTTAATCTTAAATGTAGCGCACTTTATCTCAGGTCCTGAATAAAGTATCTATATATAATTAGTTGCAAAAGGAAAAAATAACTTCAATTACTTCGCAGCAGACTTGGTGAAGCTCTACATCTGCTTTTGGTCGACCAATGCTTTGTTGCTGTTGCTTTGTTTAACAGTGAATTGTCATTTTTCTATGAAATAAAACTTGAAATATTTATTGTAAACATAAATCAGCACATATTAGATAAGAAAAGAGCAATTCCTCTGTTAAATCACCATTTGACACTTCCGGGAATGTACTTGTCGACGAGACTTTGATAGTATGGTTTAAGAGTGGCAATATCTGGACGAGCATCATTTTTCGAGTACAAATCACAGGCACTGAAAGCTTTTTAGATTGTGAAACCTTAGATTTCCAATCAAATCAATATCTTATCTTTATTCAAGCTTTACTTTAGCATCATAATCGATTCGTGGAGTTTCTTGTCTCGTTCGCTTTCGAATCTAAAAAAAATTAGTTTAAATATTGGGTTGGTGAATTGAAAACTGCGGGCTATTGTCATCTGTCACAGTTTGAGGACTTTCTTCAAAAGAAACCCATTTTGGTGTCAATGGAAAAGTTGTAGAGAATCAAAAATCAAGCTTATATCCAAATTTTCAGAACTATTCAAAAACTGCTTTTGAAGAAATGCCAAATTTACGAATTTTCACAAAACTTGCATTTTAAGCGAAACTACTAAGTGTATCTTTTTGGAAATTTGGCTATAAGCCTAATTTTTGATTCTCTACAACTTTTCTATTGACACCAAAATGGGTTTCTTTTAAAGAAAGTGCTCAAACTGGGACATCTCCAGTCCTCCATTTTTGAGTCTCACACTTGTCTCACACACAAACCAAAATCCTACGAAGAAAGAGGAATCCGCTAATTGCCTGTAAAATGGGCAGAAGTCGTTAATAATAATGAAAATTATTTGGAATGAATTCATGGTTTTATGTTCAATAAATTTTAGTTCAAAGTCCCGCAGTTTTCAATTGACCAACCCTTATAAAAGATTAGAATAAACATTATTTATAAACTATGATGAATTATCTATCTAAATCTATCGAAATTCTCAAAATTCTCTAGAAACAAACTGTTTGTAAGCTCCATGTGAATGCGCTGGGTAGAATGAATGAAAACGAATGGCATAAAGAGCTTCTTCTGGAAGGGTACTCTCGTGATTTTTCAGTACCTGAAATCAATTTCATTCTAAAACAATAGCAAATACAGTAGCTATGATAGCTTCTTGTCTATGAATCAAATCGAAATCCACCTGATAGAGATACTCATCGTGTGTCCAGCACATCAGAAGATTCTCAAAGCCACAACCACTCTCGTATATCCCCAAATCAGTGCTGAAAGTTACCGTATTTTTTGTAATAGGCTGGAGTGCAGGCTGGAGGGGGGTTGAAAAAATAGTAGCGCGCACTACTATTAGGTTGGTGCAAAAGAAATTTCGGTCGATATAAAATGTTCTTATTTTTTTAATCTGAAGAGCTTATTTGATGTTCTTTTGTGCATTTGTACTCTTGGATATTTACTTTATTTTCGCATTTTTTCAAAGTCAGAGCTTTCACTTTTTAATTGATTTTTGCTTTAGATCATGGTGGATCAAAAGTATGTTCTGCGCACGTGTCTTCTCTATGACTTCAAAATGGGCAAAAACGCTGCTGATTCACATCGTGATCTCTGTTCCGCCTTTGGAGAACAGGTTATCACCGAAAGATCATGCCAGCTCTGGTTTGCCCAATTCCGAGATGGTAATGAATCCCTTGAAGACGAATCGCATGGACATCGTGCCACAGCCATCGACAACAATGAATTGGAACAATTAATTGAAGCTGATCCAATGCAAACAACACGAGAACTTGCCAAACATCTCCAATTCAACAATTGTACGCCATTTGGAAATAATTGGAAAGACAAATCGTAATGGACAATGGGTTCCACATCAATTGAGTGTTGAGAATCTGGGAGCCTGCGTTCCGATCAGCCATATCTTGCTCCAGAAGTCGAAAAGAAGCCATTTTTTTGAGAATATCTTGACGATGGATGAGAAGTGGATTCACTTTGATAATACTTCTCGAAAAAGACAATGGCTGAGCAAAGGTCAAGCGCCAATTCCAACTCCAAAGCCGGATTATCATGGGCGCAAAGTGATGTTGTCTTGCTGGTGGAATATCAATGGACTTGTTCATTTTGAATTATTAGAGCCCGGAAAAACAGTCGATTCATCTTATTTTATTCAACAACTCAAGAAGGTTGACGAAATTTTGCGTGAAAAAGGCCTAAATCCCTCAACTATCAACTTTCTCCGTGATAATGCTCCAGCTCACACGGCAAAAACCTCTTGTAAGGAACTAGAGAAGCTAGGATGGAAGGTCTTACCACATGCGCCGTATAGTCCAGACTTAGCACCCTCCGATTTTCACCTTTTCAGATCGATGCAACATTCCCTTGAGAACTGCCAGTTTAAGAATGCAAAAGAAGTCGAAAATTGGGTGACCAACTACTTTGCATCACAGAATCAAGCGTTCTTTGAGAAGGGGATCCGCAATCTGAAGCAACGTTGGAGGGATGTCATAGATAATAATGGTGCTTATTGTTTTAAATAAATTGTTATCAAAAAAAATTTTGGATGACTTTAATGTTTGTAAAAAAACGAAATTTCATTTGCACCAACCTAGTATTACAGAAAATAATTGTAAGTGAGGAACTATAGAGGAACTATAAAGGAACTAGAAAGGAACTAGAAAGGAACTATAAAAGAACTATAAAAGAATTATAAAGGAACCATAAAGAAACTTTAAAGGAACCAAGTAGGAACTATAAAGGAACTAGAAAGGAACCATAGAGGAACTATAAAGGAACTAAAACAGAAAAGTAATTGTATTGTAGACTATTTCAACTTACTTATATCTGGAATCATTCAAATCAGGATTTCCATCAAAACTCTCGACACCGTAAACGATTGATGGGTCGGGTTTGCAGCCAACAGGATACGTGTCGCCTAGAAGATGAGTTGGATTACGTTAATTACGATTCTACTAGCCAAATGCTCTCATTATTTCTCCGTCGCCGTGGTCTAATCAGGAGCGTGCTTATTTACAGCCCACACAATCCGGGTTCGACCCCCCTGGTAGCATTCAATTTTGGCTTTTTCTTATTTTTTTATTTTTAATGGCACAACTATAGACTGACACGTACAGACTGACAAACCGACACTCTTTTATAGAGTAGATGTAATCTAGATAGTAATGATTCTATTCAAAACTCGAAAACTAACCGGTGATCGCCCATTGATGCTCTCCCCAAACGCCCATGATCTGAAAAGTTGGAGATAGAACACTAGATCATTAATATAACAAATCCAGCTTTATATCTAGCTTGTAGACTTTATTTACTATCGAAATAACCTTTCCAAGATCGTGCACTAAACCGGCGAGATGCATCCACGGTTTATCGGGATGAGCCTCACGAAGACGTTCCGCGGTTTGATAGGCGTGGAAAAGATTCGCTTCCTCAACCTGAGTACAATTGAAAATTAAAGAAATATCGAAATATCGAAGATCTTGTGAATCTTTATTTCACTTACATCAGGATCGCTCTCATCAAGGAAACCAGCCAAAAGATCAAGACAATCGAGGATTGGCATATTGGCATGAGAAAAGGATAACCATTTCTTTTGCTAAAATAAAAGATTTCAAAATAAAACTATACTTTAAGCGATCTAAGACTAAAGAAAGCTAATTAAAAGCAACGAACCATACTCTTGACGAACTCGACCGTTTGCTTCTGATGTTGATTGAAGTAATGATTCTTTACCTAAAACAATTCAATCAGCAAAGCGTTTTTAAAATTTTTACCCTTTCTTGAACTTTGTCTTGTGGTTGTTCATCGTATTTTCTATAAGTTTTTCCATCTTCTTCGTAAACAACTGGTTGAATGTCGATTTTCATTCTGAACAAGGAAGGTCCAGTTAGATTTTAATCATAAACATTGATAGTAGAGGATAGTAGAGGGAAATCTTATCAACAGAAAAGATCAAGAGACAAGGAAGCTTCAAGATAAGATTCCCTTCAAGACTTCCCTCTACTATCCTCTACTATCAAGGTTTATGATTAAAATCTAATTGGATAGTAGAAGGAAATCTTGGCCTTGAAATTTAAAAGTGGAACGATTTGTGAGTGCAAAAATTGTGAGCGAAAGGAAAGAGTGACGAGGTCGAATCGACTCATTTCATCGATGGTTATATATTGCCCTCAATGGGATTAAATACCTAAAAAGAGGTGGAAAAAAAATCAAGGAAATCAACTTGAGAAAGAAGGAGATCTTATCGAGATTTCCCTCTTTCCCTCCACCATCCCCATCGCCGTTTTTACATCGGACAGTTTGATGAATTGTTTCATCGCCCATTCACATGACTTGAAAATTCCTTTTTCTAAAGATAAGAACGTTGTTTCAAAGAAAACTAGAAAATTGTTACTACAATGAAATTTGTTGAACACTGTGACCTTGATAAGGATTAAATTGTGCTGAACTTGAACCATGACTGAACTTGAGATGTAAACAAATTTTGGTTTTTGCAAGGATTCATATCGTTTATTGAAAGATGATACAAATTATACAGATATTTTGAAATATTTTTGGAATCACAAGTCTCCGGTCAGTCCGCCTTTAGTGATTCCGTTTAGAAGTGAAGGGATTCTGAAAGATGCTATTAAATGTATCTGTCGTAGCCGATGATGAATGAGTGGGTCTAGGAGCGTCCAACCATCAAGTATTTAGTATCATTCAACGCAGAATCATTGATAATTATGTTAAATTTTTAAAATTAGCAAGATTTGATAAAAAGAACACAAATTTTTTGGGGCTTCAAAGTTTTCTCTTGAACAAACAGTTTTTTTGCTCTAATTTTTTTTTCTTTTCATCAAATCTTGCTAATTTTAAAAATTTAACATAATTATCAATGATTCTGCGTTGAATGATACTAAATACTTGATGGTTGGACGCTCCTAGACCCACTCATTCATCATCGGCTACGGGGGTCCCGCCGATTTTGAATGAAACGTTGTAGCGCCGGCAATTTTTAACCTAAACTCACAAATTTGGTACCAATCGACGCAGAATTGAATTCGCTACAAGATAATATAATATTGTCCTCATACATTAAAGGGTTGCTCTACTAGAAAGATTTGCCAAAAAATTTCATTCATAATCGGCTACGACATATCACTTTTTTCATTCGTTTATCATGATACTCTAATTTAATAAGCTTAAATCTAAAGCTTACGTAATGAGCTCATCGAGAATCGGTCCAAGAAGTCCTTCAAGAAGATTGCAAACAAGATTACCCACAAGATTCAAGAGTTGAACGATCAGACCCTCATCAACCTAGAGAATTGTCTGTTGTTATAGTGATAGGATTTCAAATCAACAGCTTCACACAGTCTTATTTGCATCGAACTCACTAATGTCCAAACGGGAGAAACAACCCCGTTAAGGATTTGAAGACAGAGACCAGCATAGAGATTCGATTCTCCAGTCAACAAGCCTGTAAATAGTTCTGATCTATAATAAAATTACAATAATCTAAACCTGAAAGAAGATATTGAACATCAGCCTCCAATTCTAATCCACATGGACCCTCGGGAACAATGAGAACGTTGGGAAGGTCAACTCCCTAAAACATTATAGCCTAAAATGGTACTGTAAAGCATGAGTTCATTTCAACCACTGTAAGATAGACTAGAGTAAACCAGAGTGAAAAGTATTTAGTCATACCTTGAAGATTTGAAGATGTTGAATAGAGAATTGATTGAAAGTTGTTCCATTCACCGTTTTTGTTTCTTTCTTGAGAATATTTACGTGAGAGACTGAATTCTTTACAAGATAAGATTTCGTTTTTCAACTTACTCCAATCCAAAATACATTCAAGACTTTGCAAATCGGGAATCACAGGACATTCACAGGCATTCGTGGTTGGACCAGGGTTGATTTCTGGAGTGACTGGGACATTGCCTGTTGGAGGAGTTGGAGAAGTCCAAAGAGGAGTGATGACAAGGAGAATCGAAAAGATTTTCGAGAACATTTTACCTAGAATTTCGATCACAGTTTACTAGAGTACAGTTTACTTGGTCAATTTCAAGATTCATTGAGTTTAACTAGGTTTGACTTGGTTCAAGTTACCGCAAAACCAAGTTTTACCCAAATTTGAGAGCTATTAAGCACAACAATAGACCAAAATAAGCCATACTTTTGATTAATTTGTTATAAAGAAAATATATTGTTATATAAAGCTATATCCAAACAAATCTGCAAAAGGATCTATTGCTTAAAAGTGAGTGAATCGATTATAGCTTTGACTACCACTCACTTTATATAGGGAAACTTTTTGAGCCCAGACAACCCATTATTCGAAGCACAATCAATCTATTTTGAACTATAAACTTTTACTTATTAAAATGTTAATGAAAAACAAAATTTTATTTGATAAAAAGCTCTGTTTGTCATTTTATGATGTTCAAAAATAAAAAAAGCTGTTTTTATTTAAAAATTTGTTTGTTTTGTTGGTTTGTAAAAGTTGTTTTGATTTTTGATGGACTCTTTGCAAGTTGTGACGTATAAAAGAACTGTATATAAAAGAACTGTATACCGTATTTACTCTATTAGTGGGGTCCTCTCTAATAGTGGGGTCCTCTTTAATAGTGGGGTCGTCTGGAGGGGAGTTGAAAAAATAGTGGGGTCCTCTCTAATATTGGTAACGAAAGTGATACATCAATTGTTGATCTCTTGGATTAGTTCTTTTACTGTTTGTTAATGTTTTGTTACGGTTAAAGCTAAATAAAATATGAAGCCAAACTTGTTTTTTCAAGAATTTCGGAGAAAAATTGATATCTTTTCAACTTAAAACTTTGGTTTTATGTTCTTTTAAATTTCTCTAATAGTGGGGTCGTCTGGAAGGGGATTGAAAAAATAGTGGGGGACCCCACTAATAGAGTAAATACGGTATAAAAGAACTGTATATAAATGAATTGTATCTCTGAAAATTCAAATTTTTTAGGTTATTTAAGAGCTGGACTAGGTAAGAGACTTTAAGAGTAGGTCATAAAGCATTATTGATACTCATAAGTACCAAATGATTTCTAAAACCCACATGAAACTAATGGCACCAACAGTTTGAGACGCTCGAGTTTTATGCAACTTTCTTCTGAGAAACACTTTCCACAGAATCGACTTCGAATAACAATTTAAAATCTATATGAATCCGAGTACGGAAGCAACTAGAAAGCTTACTTCACTAATTCTTCACTATTAGGAAGAAACATGTAAACCCTTAAACTTCATATCATTCTCAAATCCTGTAAAAAAAAGCAACCAACTTATACAATACTTTTATATACAATTCTTAGGATTTTTTTTTTTATATTTTATATACAATCCATAGGAAAAGTGTGTATTTAAGCAAAATGCTACCTCTTTTTGATGTGGTTACATACATATTTTGACTTTCATTCATATTTGAATATCGACGGCAAGTTGACTTCATTTTGCTTTGATAAGTAGGAAATTTCATTGATTAAGTAATTTCCCAAAAAAGAATTAAGATCATCCTTGAAGATTTGAGAAGGCAATCGCCAAATTTCCACCGTCACTGAAATTGAGGTCACAGTCAAAAAAGTTTCAATCTCTTCAGAGGAGTTTGTCTAGCAAATCAAATTTTGCCCTGCGCCAGACGGCGTGCGATTACACCGCCGCCCAAAGAACACCTCTCTGTCTCTTTACATAGGAATCCCTTTTGTTCTGTAGGCATTGCTCAGATGAGATATGAAACCAAAAGTTTGTACCGGGTGTTTCGGGATCGGGGAAGCGATTCGTGGAGTTCGTTTGTTGTATTTCCAAGCAAAATCTTTAATTTGTGCTGATCTTGAGCCATTTTTGCCGTATTTTGGCTACAAATAATTATCGCGGAGGGTATAAACTATAAGAATCGATGTTTCTCTTTTAAAATCAATTCTCCAATAATGTGGTTGAAAACTTTTCTACAGCAATATGTTTCTTCATTTTTTGTGCCGAACTTTAAACTCAAATCCAACGTTTATCTGCTGTGTATTTACAAGAGAGAATGTCAAGAGAATATCTTCATTTATCTTCATTCATTTATCCGAATCGGAATCGGGAGATTCTTGAGAACTGATGGAACTCTGAAATTTGCTTGTAATTTGAAATATTGAGCTCGTCGCACATCTAGAAACAATTATATGCAGAAAGAGAGCTGAAACATCTTACTGAAGGAGTGATGAAACTGCCGAGAAAAGAGGATCAAGATTAAAATGATCAAAAAGAAGACAAGTAATGGATTGAACAGCTGAGATGATTTCACTCAACACATTGTAAGGAACCTGGAATTCAATTATATTCTTAAAAGTTACATAAAAATACCAAAGACCAAAGCGGGGAGACGATTGGAGTGGACACGTCTAGGACAACGGTCAGGATTTGGAGACAAAGATTCGCGTAGAGATTCGTTTGATTGATTAATAATCCTAAAGGCTTTATAAATTATATTATTGTAAATTTCTGACCAGAAAGAAGATATTGAGTGTTAACTTCTAGCTCTAAACCACATGGGCCATCGGGAATGAGAAGGACGGTTGGAAGAGTGAGATTTCCCTGGATGATAAAGATGTGTTCAAGAGTGTATTCAGCAAATGAGACGCCATCAATGGTTTTTATGGTTTTGGAGAGGATTTTGACACGAGAAACTGAAAATGAGATTGAGTGGAAGGAAGATTACAAGCAAATGAGATAAGCTTAAAGCTGGCTTTGATCTAGAGCTATCAGGATTGATCTAGAGCTATCAGGATTGATCTAGAGCTACCAGGATTGATCTAGAGCTATCAGGATCCAGGAAAGATGCACTCACCCCAGTGAAGGATGCAAACAAGAGCGTCAAGGTTGGGAATGATTGGACAATCACAAACTCCATTCATATTTGGAATAGATCGAGAAGAGATTGGTAGAAGAGATGGAGAAGAGATTCCAACAGAAGCTCCACTGGATACACCAATCACTTCAGTCCATAAGGGAGTGACAAGGAGAATCAAGAAGCGGATGTGAAGAGAGAATGACATCTTTCCTTTATGCATAACTCTTTTGAGTTTTCTGTTTTATATAGAAAACAGTAAATGGTTTAGAAAAAGATTTTCCGAACATTGATCAATTTTAAAAAATGATTAGTTTATTTTGAATATATTGTGGGGAAAGTTGTTTTGAATCAAAACAACGTTTGCCACAATCAAATATATTTGATATATTTGCTGTATATACAATATATTCAAAATATTCCACAATCAAAACTTTTGATGAGGTGTCACGTCAATGTTTTGGTCATTTTAAAAAGTTCAATTTTTCGAAGAATTGTTTGACTGAACATATTGTTCTCTGTAAAATAAATCCTTTTTCAGTCTCTTGCAATCAAATCAAATGTAAGCAACCAAATCTAGAGAGATAAGGAGCCAAATTTGCTGAGATAAGGAACCAAATTTAGATAGATAAGGAACTAAATTTCTAGAGATAAGGAGCCAAATTACTGAGATCAGGAACCAAATTTAGATAGATAAGGAACCAAATTTAGATAGATAAGGAACCAAATTTAGAGAAATAAGGAACCAAATTTCTAGAGATAAGGAACCAAATTTCTAGAGATAAGGAGCCAAATTACTGAGATCAGGAATCAAATTTAGATAGATAAGGAACCAAATTTAGATAGATAAGGAACCAAATTTAGATAGATAAGGAACCAAATTTAGAGAAATAAGGAACCAAATTTCTAGTGATTAGGAACCAAATCTAGAGAGATAAGGAACCAAATTTCTAGAGATAAGGAACCAAATTTAGATAGATAAGGAACCAAGTTTACTGAGAAATCTCATAGTCAGAAATTCTTGCAAACTAGGCATAAAATATGTTTCAGAGTGCTTTTCAAATAAACTCAAATCAATGAAACCAATCTGTAGAGGATCCTTTTTGTTTTTTGTCCTCAAACTGGTACTTTTACATACGGTATCATACAGTACCCTTTGTCTCAATTAAATTCACAGTCAAAACAAGATATCTCAGAGCTACGATGGATTGGAAACTAGATCTATCAGAGTACTTTTCTACCGCAAACCGATTATCTCTCTCTGGATGTTTTTCACTTTCAACTCAAACCTTTTATAGATAAACTTTAGAAAAATATTTGCACAAAGCGAAGCAACTTTCAAGCAATCAAAACAGTGCTAACAACTTGCTAACAACTTTCAAGCAATTAAAGCAGTGCTAACAACTTGCTAACAACTTTCAAGCAATTAAAGCAGTGCTAACAACTTGCTAACAACTTGCTAGCAGTGCTAACAACAAATTAAAGCATCGTGATCGGTTGATAAATGAAACAAATCATAAAAAGAGACTTTTGTTCTCTTTCACTAGTGGAACAGCAATTGAACAGCAACAACAACAGACTGGGGATTTCTTGCAAAAAAAATACGTATAATGATACTTCGTGAATGATTCTGTTTGGATAAATTGATATTTGTTGTTATTTTAGAACAATAAAAGAAGTTCAGTATAAAAGGGAGGAGAGCTAAACGATCCCCATTCAACTGTTCCGACTTATCCAACTCTTGTAAGTGCTTTGACAACTCTAAAGCTGAAGATTGATAATATGAAACTCTTAGAAAACTAGCTTAAGTTAACTTAGCTTAAGATTTCGACAATTGATCTGGTCTACCTTGAGGTGCAATGTTCTCTTTTCAATCCACCTTCTTCCTCATCCTCACCCCATTGTGAGCTGGTGCTATTGTTCCAACAGACGATGTTCTCCCAACACCAATGATCCCAATCCCGAAGCCCCATGGAGTATTAATGCCCCGTGATGATTGGGCAGTCTTGTTTGAATCCTTGATTGGAGTTCACCCCAACTGTACATTGATTGATCACAATTGATCACAACTGATCACATAAGCCATTTAACCAAAAACTATTCAGTCTCTCATGTGCAGATCCTCGACAAACAGATCCGCACAGTGAATGGAACAACTTGCAGTCAATATTCTCTTTAACATATCAAAATCTTGAAGGTATGCAGTAAGCATTCTTCAAGTTGTTCCATTCACTGTGCATTCACTGTGCGGTATGCAGTAAGCATTCTTATCATAACAGCTCACCAGCAGTTAAAAATTTTCAACTCTGATTTGACAAATCAAACCGTCGTAGTCGATTATATATTATCCCAAAAAATCAGACCGAAATTCCCACTGGGACTCGCGTTATGAAGTGAATGGACAGATACACACAAACTTTGTGTCTTATCATAAAATATAATATCAGGGCCTCGATCTTCCCTCAGTTCTCATTGTTCCCGAAGGTCGATGAGGATTGGAATTGGAGGCTAATGTTGAATATCTTGTAACAATCTCTAGTTCTTCTTTTTCATCAAAATCATTGAAGGGCTGCTTACCGGTGAATGAAATCTCTTTGACCTTTGTCTTTAAGCCCTCAACATTCTTTCTCCTGTTTGGACATTGGTGAGTTCTTGACAATAGTTCAATACAGTAATTCCTATTTATAAGGTTTACATAATATGCTGTAAACCTTTTTATATCTACTTTTGAGTGTTGTTAAATCAATCAATTTCAGGTTGGTGTGTAATCAACCAATTTGTGTAATCAATCAATTTCAGTTGGAATCAATCAATTCAATTCAATCGAAAGTTTCCTTGATCAACTACAATCGGGAATCTTTGTCTCCCTTGATCAACTGCAATCGGGAATCTTTCTCTCCCTTGATCAACTGCAATCGGGAATCTTTGTCTCCCTTGATCAACTGCAATCGGGAATCTTTGTCTCCCTTGATCAACTGCAATCGGGAATCTTTCTCTCCCTTGATCAACTGCAATCGGGAATCTTTGTCTCCCTTGATCAACTACAATCGGGAATCTTTCTCTCCCTTGATCAACTGCAATCGGGAATCTTTCTCTCCCTTGATCAACTGCAATCGGGAATCTTTGTCCTTTGTCACATTCTCAATGCACTTGATGGACTCGTTGATGGGTTACAAGCACAAAGCAAGAATTCTTTTTCAAATATTCTTCTTTCAGAATCCCTGAAATTCTTGACAGTGTTGTCAACAACTTGTAGAACTTCTACAAAAAAAAACAACAAGAAAACATCTTTACAACAATGCAATCTTTGTGTTTGTATAAATTCAAAGCATCAATTTTACAAAACAAAGCACTTTAACTCTTATGCCAAAAATAAATAAAGCTTTAAACTAATAAAATACCGGTTTTCATTGCTGAACAAGTTTGTTATTGATGAATTCTCATCTCATTGCCCAAAGCAATACGAAAAGGCAATCCATTGAAGTGAGAAAAACGAAAAGACATCAAGACACGCTGTCTTTTTTTCTTTTCTTTACCCAATGGCTTTGAATGGATTGGAGAGGAATATTGAGCTGGTCGCACATCTAGAAACAATTATATGCTCGAAGAGAGCTGAAACATCAAGCATTTTCTTCTTACAAGTGTTTTATTTTTATTCATAAGTTTCTTTGCTTTATTTTTAACTTCCTATGCTTGAATGGAAGTAATTAGACCGATTAGACAAGATATGACTAGCAAAATAAGCTGTTCAAAAGCTATATTAAGCTGTTTAGAAGCTAGATTAAGCTGTTCAAAAGCTACACTAATGGACAATGAAATATCATATCTGAAAAACGATGGTCACTTTCGCGCGTCTGTAACTCCCTTGTCTTTACCGTATTTCTAAATATTAATATTATCATTGTGTAGCCCTTGAAAAGAGCTTTCAGAAAATGTATAACCCTAATAGTTTCAACTCAAAGACAATGGAGTTACAGACGCGCGAAAGTGACGATCGTTTTTCAAATATCATATTTCATTGTTCAGTACTGTAAATAGCAAAAATTGCTTGAATTTGACTTGAAAATTTGCCCACAATGATCACAATCCATTTGTCCTTGATCTTTAAAAGTCTATCTATTTGTACAAAGATCTGAAACAATTTAAGTTTGGAATTATTTGAAGAGAAATCCCATTCACCCTTCTTGACTCTTGAAGATTTTGACACTTGTGAGTAAACTTGTCCAAGGACAAACAGAGACTCCAAATTGATTTCAGTTCAAGATCTTTCACTCTACAAATCTGAAGAGAGATTTTGAGAAATTGGAACTTTGGCGTGAGTCAATGGAGGTCTTTGATTCGAGATTTTGAGTGACTCTTTGTCTTGGAATCTAGGGATAAAGGATCTTTGATTAGACATTTCTAAAGATAAAACTTTTTTTGAAAAGTTTGCCATCATTTCGATGACGTTTTAAGGAAAATTTTGACCCCTAACTGAACATAGACGAGCAATTCGAACCCGTGGATTCACAATGGATCAATGTTTGCATTCCAAGTGAGACTGAAGGAAAAAGAGCGCTCGTTTTGAGTGAAAAACCGACCCTCAATACACAAACATCTCCCGAAAGGATCACTTTTTCATTTCTGATCGTATGTTAGTCAATAGATTGTCTTCAACCGAAAACTTGTTATTCGTTTATTTTCTTCAATGGCTTTTTGTTTTTGGCAATTATGGATTGAGATTGGATTTGGATTCGCTTTTTGATTCTTTCAGCAAGCTAATTTAAAAGGTGTAAAGGCTCAAATGAAGCAGTAGGACTGACTCGAGATCCAATTTTCCAAAGCCAAGTCAAAATCTAGTAGGTGTAGTAGTAGATGTAGTAGATGTAGTAGTAGTAGATGTAGTAGATGTAGTAGTAGTAGTAGATGTAGCAGTAGTGTAGTAGATGTAGTAGATGTAGTAGATGTAGTAGTAGTAGTAGGTGTAGTAAAATCTAGTAGGTGTAGCAGTAGATGTAGTAGATATAGTCTTAGCATTTGGCTTTTCCTTTTCTCCTATTTCCCAGAACTTTGTTAGCCAGACCGAAATTTTTATTCTGAACTATTTAACAGTTTTGAAAAGTTCTATGAACTGTAGTATTTATCTAATGATGTTATTGATCCAATTAGTCCAAACCGTGGGAATCGCTGATGCTTTGGTCTTGATTGTCCTTCTTTTCTCAGGGGATACGAAAAAAGAGAAAAGAACCCGTCAATACGAAGTCGAAATCGAGGAGAAAACGATAGGCCCTCCAGAAAAGAGAAGAGTCACTGTTCACTGCTTTCACACAATCTTTTCCTTTCCTTTACCACTTCTCTCCCAAGTCCCTCAATTGCCTCCCTTCTTCTTCTAGTACTTGATTGTGAAAACTTGATTGTAAGCTGTTCATCTTCGTCATCAAAACAGGTAAAGCCTAAAATTCTTTCAGATAACTACATATCTGCAGTATTTGTGTTATAAAAAAAGGTTTTAAGGATGACGACATAAATCGAGCTTATGACCATTATTTGAGAATTCGGGGAGTGGGCAAATTTGAGGAGAGGCGGTCTGCTTCTACCACAAAAAGTCAAAAAAATGAAAAACAGAGATTTTGAAAGAATCGAATTTGAAATAAATAAGATGAGAAATAGAATGGAAATGACAAAAAGAGGAAATTTTTGAAATTGCACAAAAAGTTTCCTTTTCACTGTTGGTGAATTGCTATATCCAGTCTTCCTTTTCACTGTTGGTGAATCAGTCGGTGAATTGCTATATCCAGTCTGCTATATCCATCCATTACATCGATCATATCGGAGATTGAATCGGAGATTTTTTTTGATTTTGATATATTATACATAGATAAGTGAGCATTTTGAAGCTTTAAAGTAAATTTTGTCGACAGGTTGACAATTTGGAAACGTCTAAACCGCAGATTCCCTTCCAAAAATTCCCTCTTTTGTTTCTTTTCAATTCACCGACTGATTCATTTCAGTGAAAAAGAAACTTTTTATGAAAATTTCAAAAATTCCCCCTTTTTCGTCATTTCCATTGTATTTCTCATCTTATTTATTTCAAATTCTCTTTCAAAATCACTGAATTTTCATTTTTTTTCTGTTGAAGGAAATAATCGAACCGGTTCACTCACAAAAAATTCTCGTCGAACTCTTTGAAATCCGAAAAAATGGTACTCGAAAGTTACTTTTAGTTTTGAAATTGCTCTAACTTTCCTCTGATACTTCAAAAACACTTTAGAAGTCAAATCTTAGCTAGGAATTTAATAAATGAGCTTTCAAACGGCGAATTCTGCAAGTTCTGCAAGAGCCTTCTTGAGAATCGTCGACCGTTTCAAACCAAAAGTCTTTTGATCTATCTACACTTCAGATCCCACTTTAGTTATCTATCTTCAGAGCTTAGTATCTTCAGATCCCAGTATTCCCAATCTATTATAGATCCTCGTATCCATATGACTCATTCTACGAGTTTCCCCTTAACAATCCCCATATTCTATTCAAATTCCTACAGACACTCGAGAAGTGGAATCATTTAAAAAGAAGGAATCACTCACCAGGAAAAGCTTTGACTAAACGAAGAAAAGAGAAAGGGAATGACGCCTCTGTTCTTCTTCTTCTCCTCTTCTTTCCTCTTCTTTCCTCTTCTTTCCTTCTTCCTTCCTCTTCTTTCCTCTTCTTTCCTTCTTCCTTCCTCTTCTTTCCTTCTTCTACCCTTCCCTCACTTATACACATAAAGATAAGAACTCTTTTTCTCTATTTTCAATGTTACTTTCTCAAAATATTGAACCCCTTCATTTCATTCTGATTTTCAGCAATCAATTTTATCTTTAAGCTTTTTTGTCAGCCACACCTTTGAGCCTGTCATTTTGTTTTTGAATACTTTTTTGAAAGGAAAACATTCTTGAGAACAACAGCCCTGTCGGGGTCCCGAAAAAGCCTTCAAGCGCCGATTTAATTACCCAAGTATATGCACCTTTTGTACGGTGCCAAAAAGGTATCTGGCATACTAATGTCATTTCTAATTCATAGACTTAACGCTGATTTCAATTTTTTTCATTTTTCAAGTATGGGAAAAGTGTGTGGATTGTGCGAGTGTTGATTAGTATTCCCATGCATTCATTATCATTCATCGAATCTTTTCACCGTTTTTGGTGTTCATTTTTATTTCATACTTCATTGATTGATTCCAGTTAGGCTAAAATCTCAATAAAATCTAGTTTCACAATGGGCAATTTGGGTTATTTTTCGCGATAATGAGCTCTCCTTTTTTTTGAACAATTTGAAATGCCAACTCGACAAATTGGGGGTTTGTGATGCTTGCATCAATGCCTTGTTAAAATCGTTTTAGTCCGATTGAGAGTTTGATATCCCTAGATGATGTTGATTTGTACATAACAATGTTAACAATGTTGACGATGTTGTACTGACTCTACAAACATTGTTTATTATTATTGTATTCTTTTGGGATCTTTTCTTTTCCTTTTTATCTTTTCATTCCTTTTTGTATAAATTCAGATATTTGATCTAACGAATCTACCAAATCACAATTCATGTTTGCTGAAAGTTTGAAAAGATTTGAATTTAGTTCAGTACTTAACCAATTCTTTTATTTCAAAATATCTCCTTGTTCTATTTACTGAATCAACAGAAACAAATCGATAATATACACTACTGGACAATGAAATATCATATTTGAAAAAAGATCGTCACTTTCGCGCGTCTGTAACTCCCTTGTCTTTACCGTATTTCTAAATATTAATTTTACCATTGTGTAGCCCTTGAAGAGAGCTTTTAGAAAATGTATAACACTAATAGTTTAAACTCAAAGACAAGGGAGTCACAGACGCGCGAAAGTGACGATCGTTTTTCAAATATCATATTTCATTGTCCAGTACTGTAACTAGCAAAAATTGCTTGAATTTGCCTTGAAAATTTGCCCACAATGAACACAATCCATTTGTCCTTGATCTTTAAAAGTCTGTTTAGAAGCTATATTAAGCTGTTCAAAAGCTACACTACTGGACAATGAAAAATCATATTTGAAAAAAGATCGTCACTTTTGCGCGTCTGTAACTCCATTGTCTTTGCCGTATTTCTAAATATTAATATTATCGTTGTGTAGCCCTTGAAAAGAGCTTTCAGAAAATGTATAACCCTAATAGTTTAAACTCAAAGACAAGGGAGTTACAGACGCGCGAAAGTGACGATCGTTTTTCAAATATGATATTTCATTGTCCAGTACTGTAGATACTTTATCCAGGACCTAAAATTAGCGTCAATTCTTGAGAATGAAGGGAAAGAAATGATTGAGAGAGTTTGAGGGGAACAGGTGGAAAAAGGAAATGGAAGAGATCAAGAGATTAGTGAATCGCTTTGAAGTGGATAATGCTGGGCAAAAGATATTTCAAGTTTAGTTATAACCTGTTCCCCTCAAACTCTCTCAATCATTTCTTTTCCTTCATTCTCAAGAATTGACGCTAATTTCAGGTTTAGTAAAAGTAAAGTAAAAGAAAAATTTTCATTGGCTTCAATTTGTTTTTATCTTTTTTCCAAAAATCGGCATAGCCAAAGAAACCAAAGAAATCGCGCAGCTGTGGACAGTTTTTAGTTCAAATTTGATCTGAAATTTCTCCAAACTAATACTAGTTTTATCAAGAAATTTCTTCCTATTCTTTGTTCGTTTTTTTCATCTTGCCTTTTTCTCTTTTTTAAAGACTTTTCTTCTTTCTTTTCTTTGAGTGAATAAAATAAACAATTTGGGAGAAGAGAAGAAATAGCACATGGTCTAGACTGCCTTTCTAGTCGATCTTGGTCTTGAACTAAGTTGATCTTGGTCTTGAACTAAGTCGATCTTCGTCTTGAACTAACTCGATCTTGGTCTTGAACTAACTCGATCTTGGTCTTGAACTAAGTCGATCTTTGTCTTGAACTAAGTCGATCTTTGTCTTGAACTAAGTCGATCTTTGTCTTGAACTAAGTCGATCTTTGTCTTGAACTAAGTCGATCTTCGTCTTGAACTAACTCGATCTTGGTCTTGAACTAAGTCGATCTTCGTCTTGAACTGTCGATCTTCGTCTTGAACTAACTCGATCTTGGTCTTGAACTAAGTCGATCTTCGTCTTGAACTAACTCGATCTTGGTCTTGAACTAAGTCGATCTTCGTCTTGAACTGTCGATCTTCGTCTTGAACTAAGTCAATCTTCGCCTTGAACTAAGTCGATCTTGGTCTTGAACTAAGTCGATCTTCAACCAAGCGAGTTCTTCTTAAATTATTCTTTGTACAAACCTTTTATCATATTTTAAATAAGCTTAATAACACTTCTAGGCTGCCTTTCTAGTCGAACTTGGTCTTGAACTAAGTCGATCTTCAACCAAGCTATCTCTTCTTAACTTATTCTTTGTACAAAGCTTTTAACAAACTTTAATTAAGCTTAATAACAACTTCTAGATTCAACATTTCCCCTTAGAATTTATTTTTAGAATGCTCTCATTATTGTTTTGTTCTCTGTTTCTGTGCCTCTCATTTTTGTTAAGATCTCCTCGTTTTTCAACAAAATCTATGCATTTTAAGTGAATATGGAATTGATTTAAAAGTAAAAATGATGAATTGGAGTTCTGAATTGCTCAACTCCCTTCTTTCACTTACTATAAGACTTGAATTTACTAGAAATTGTGTACAAAAATCAGTTCAGTACGCCAGATGGCAGTTGTTTCTATCCTTTTGGCTGTTCCAATCCAAAGCTAGATTTATTCGTGACTTCAATCTTTCCTAAATCTAACCAAACTTCTAACCAAAGCAGTCTGAGATCTGAATATTTGTTCTCTTCCCCAAAATATTTCCCTTGTTCTTTGTGAGAAATGTTCACATTCATGGTTGAAATGCTGACTTTTCTCTTTTCTTTTCTTCAATACGAGAGTCGAAATTTTCTTTTTAATTTTTAATGAAATTCAATTGCTTTTCTCTTTCTTTTACTTCTCTTTTCTATTCTCGTTTCCATAAATTCCAAAGAGGGATACACATGCAGAACAGACAAGAACAGACAGAACAGACAAGAGAAGACAGAACAGACAAGACAAGACAGAACAGACAAGACAAGACAGAACAGACAAGACAGAACAGACAAGCTACAATTCAAGGGAAATTTCGAAGGGATTCTTCTTCCAAAGCTTGATCAATGCTCTTTTTTATAACATTTTCCATTTCTCTTTTTACATTTTTGTTCTTTGTTTTATTTAAATCATTTTATCTGGTTATTTTATTCAATTTATGTTTACTTTGTTAAAGATCAACTGCCAAAAATACTCGAAATCCTTGAAAGGATCATGGATCATGTTTCATTTCGTTTTCATGAAAAATAGAATAGGAAAAAGATTGGATATAAAAATGAGTCTAATTTAATGAATAAAATAAAGATCAGGGGTAAAATTCAATAAGATATTCTGAATTGAGAAAGAAAGAGCTGATCTCAAGGCAGTTGGGGGAGAATCTGTTCACGTTTTCACTAACTGAAGACAATACTTTAAAAAAAAACTGAACTATACTTTTATCCTAAGAAAAACAAGGATTTTAGGTGAGATAATGTATTCGTCATTGCAATTAGACAATTAGAAAATAGGCTAAAAGCTGTTTATTCAACCATTGTTTACTTTTAAACAAAAGGAAATCTTTTCTAGACAATCAGTCATTTCTCTTAAAGACATTTCAGTCATTTCTCAATCGGTCATTCCTCTTAAACAATAACTAAGTTTATTGCAAACATTTACATGATTCCATCGAGAAAATAGGCTCAAAGATGAAAGAAGGAAATCGTGAAGGAGAATCGTCGCTAGGAGGCCCTCCTCTTCCTTTTCCCTTTCTCGAATTTTTCATTCACCTCTTTTCCCCCATCTTTTTCTTTTGTTTTCTTTTCTTTTCTCATATCGACACCAAATTGCTTCTCATCTTTTTTGTTAAAAGACTTTTTTTTTGGTTAAAACTTAAATCTTTTCAAAATCCTATCCAATATTGAAGTTCTGCTTCTTCTGCAATCATTGACTACAAATTTCTTTTAATCAGATGTTCAAAACCATATAAGATTCCTCAGTCATTCCTCAGTGTTAAACTTTTTCCTTATTTTTACGTTTAATTTCAGTTATTTTGAGATCTTTTATTCATCAAGAAGAAAAACGAATGTGAGCTCCTTTTTGGAGAAAAAAGAATGCGAAAATTACACGGTATGTTGGAGAAAAGAAAAGAAAAGAAAAGGAAAGAAAAGAAAAGAAAAGAAAAAGAAAAGCTAAAGAATTTTTATTTTTGAGTTATTCAATTAAACAATGGCATGTTGGAGATGTAATTTGATTACAAAATAAGTGATCGATCAGAAATTTTGACTGATCTTACATTATATACAGCACTGGACAATGAAATATGATATTTGAAAAACGATCGTCACTTTCGCGCGTCTGTAACTCCATTGTCTTTGAGTTGAAACTATTAGGGTTATACATTTTCTGAAAGCTCTTTTCAAGGGCTACACAATGGTAATATTAATATTTGGAAATATGGTAAAGACAAGGGAGTTACAGAGGCACGAAAGTGACGATCGTTTTTCAGATATGATATTTCATTGTCCAGTAGTGTAGCTTTTGAACAGCTTAATATAGCTTCTGAACAGCTTATTTTGCTAGTTATATGTTGTCTAATCCGTCTAATTACTTCCATTCAAGCACAGGAAGTTAAAATTAAAGCATGAAACTTATGAATAAAAATAAAGACAATGAAGCTTTTGAACAGCTTAATATAGCTGATCTTACATTATATAAGCTTGTTGATAGTGAAAAGTTGTATAAAATTTGTATAAAATAACTTTCAGATGATTTTCGACTTCGTTTCTATCGAAATTTTCTCCGGATTGCTCGTTTTCCGATTGTTCCGATAGCGATTGTCATTTGTATGAGTGTTTTCTTGATAGCAGCCACATTTGAAAGGTTATTTCACTGGAAAAGCTATTCAATTATTCAGTTATAAATTAACAATTGATAAAGAAAATCGATACTTTTTATTCTTCTAGCTTTTACTCAGGACAAAACCTTTCCAAGTAAAGTTTCCCGCGATTGAATGAAGTCTATCTAAAAGATTTCATATTATTATAGTTTTTTTGAACTTTTTTTTGTTTATTCCTGCTCCCCAATTCACCTTTTTTTACATACCTTTTCCCGAGTGATTCTGAAGTTTTTGAAAAAGTTTATTAATGATTCAGTCATCAACTACGCAACTCATTCCGACAAACAACGCCGAGAAAAACAATCATAATCATTACACCAACATATCGAAGGAATACTCGGCTTGCTGATTTGACAAGGTATTTCTTTTGATTCTTTAAAAAGAAGCAGTCATTTTTACTTAAACTCTCATTTCAAGCCGGATACAAAAACATATTGGAACCGTATTAGATCTAAAAAGAACCGTATTGGAACCGTATTGGATCTGAAAAGAACCGTATTGGAACCGTATTGGAACCGTATCGGAACCGTATTGAATCTAAAAAGAACCGTATTGGAACGGCATTGGAACCGTATTGGATCTAAAAAGAACCGTATTGGAACCGTATTGGCACCGTATCGGAACCGTATTGGATCTAAAAAGAACCGTATTGGAACAGATACAAAAATACAAAAATAGATACAAAAACATCAGTTGAATCCTTTTAACCCCTCTTAAAATCTACTGTACTTGCACAAATTCGGTCTAATGTCGTAGCAAGTTTTGAAAAGAATTACTTGAACGTTCAAATTGAGTCATAAAATTTATTGATAACAAAAGTGGGAAGGAAAAGAGGAAGAGGTGGAGGTGGGCATGGAGAAGGGCTCAAAGGAGACGCCCATCACCTTTCGCTCACTAAAAATGATTCATCGATAAGTCTAAAGTTTCTTTGTAAAGTTTTCCAAAATACATTGACTACTGGATTTAAGAACAAGATGGTTAAGAACTTGAAGAACACCCTCTCCGACCATCTAAATATTTGAAAATTTGCCTGAATCGTTTTCTGATCAGTTTGAGTGCATTTCTTTCATTTACAATCAATCCTAACAATTGAAATGACGTCACTGATAATAAATGCAAAGACACTAAATGTTTGGCAACAGACAAGCTATCAGTCAGAAGCAGACACTCAAATATTTGCTGGAAAAAGATCGGTGATAATTGGAAAAAGGGCTTTGGCAATCCGCTTAAACCTTTCCACATACAGAAGTCTCGTGAAAAGATCTATAGATTCGGCAAATGAATAAGTAAACTAGCAAAACAGAATAGAAATAGAAAAGAGGAAAAGTAATAAAGATGTAAAGAGATCTTAATGATCATTAACAAAAACGACAATATGAAAGCAATTCTAGAATGGCGAATACAATTCGACAAATTCCCGATCTTCATTGGATTGTGATTGAGGATGGAGAGACAAGAGTGACGGCAGTCGAAAGAATGCTCAATCGAACTGGATTACCATTCACCTACATTCCAGCAAAGACGAAACCCGGATATCCAAGTTAGTTTCAGAGAAATTCTAGGTACTTTTCTCTAATAGTAGTGCACCCAAAGCATCCCCTAAATTCCTCGAAATCTCGAGAACCGCTTACCAGAACTTATTGATGTGGGGTCGGAAAATGTAGCTGATGATGAGATTTAGTGGGGGATTTGAGTGTTGAGCTTCTGCAAAAGCTTGGAAACCGTCAAATAGGCTCGGCACTACTATTAGAGAGAAAAGGAATAGAGCAAGCAGCTTTGGCAGATTACAGTAACATCTGTGAGGTGATACCTCTTTCTCAGGCATTTAATTTCTAGATTACAATAGTTTTAGCTGGATCCAGTGATCGACGAATCCCGTATTCCCTCTAATAGTAGTGCACTCTGAGCGTCGCCTAAATTCCTCGAAATCTCGAGAACCGCTTATCAGAACTTATTGATGTGGGGTCGGAAAATGTAGCTGATGATGGGATCTAGTGGGGTATTAGAGTGTTGAGCTTCTGCAAAAGCTTGGAATCCGTAAAATAGTCACCAACTCGGCTTGCCGGGATGCACTACTATTAGAGAAAATACGGTAAATTATTTTAGGGAGAGGTTGGTATCAAAGGGACACGGCACTCGGTTACCTTCGAAATTACACGGATAGGGTACGTACATTTCGATTGTACAGGAACTTTTAGATCACTTTGTATAAGGCTAAGTTAATCTTAATAAAGCTGTCAAATTTGCAGATAACAAGAGGCTCTCGAGAAGCCGTTGTCTACTTTGGTGATGATGATAACGCGTACGATTTGCGACTCTTCGACGAGTACATTCGAAAAGTCAAGAAAATCGGTGTCTGGGGAGTTGGTGAGTAGTTTTATCTTTGAAATTCAGTTTGAAAGTGTTTAACCCATTCGAAACTTCTGCAGCGAATAATCGCTGCAACAAAAACTCAGAAACGGACCGCTGCAGCGATTATTCGCTGCAGCGCTAATTGAGCTATTTTCATTCAATTAATTGCTTTTTTTTTGCTGTTTTTCAGCATTACATGTATATTCCAATTGTAGCAGATCTACAAATTACGTGGGCAAAAAAGATGTTTCATATTTACCCGGAATCAATGCAGCCTCTGGTTTTGCATTGAAATGTTCCATAATAGCTCTAATCTTATAAAGCCGATCTCCTGCAGGATCCAGTTCATTATCACAAAAACGCAGGTTGCGAAGAATAGATTCAAATTTTGCTCTTGACATAATGTGGGGCATGTGGGAAAATCCTCCTAATCCAGGCCTGCTACTCCAGTAGTCACGAATCCTCGGTAATTTGACGATTCCCATTTGAAGCCAGGAAGAGCTTGAAAGGTTTTGCATCGAAATCCTGCCAGTTTGTTTTCCTTTTTCCATGTTTATTAGATTCGCCTACTAAAATATGGTCGTCGATAAAATAAGAACAATAATCGATAGGATCTTGAAAAGTACTGAAGTCAAATCCAAATCGTTCTTCATCAAAAATAAATGGTGTAGGAGACTCTCTTACATCTTTCCAACCATAAATAAACTGCTTCGGAGTCAAAAATGTCAAAAAAGGGCTTGGTCCGTAGACGAAAAAAAAGAAAAAACGCTGCGGTTTCGAATGGGTTAAAGTAATCTATTTATTTCAAAATTCAGGTCTGGTTGGTGGAGTTCTTGTCGAAAGTCCTGCTGTTAAAGACAACAAGGTTTGTAAGCCTGATTTTAAAAATAAAAACGATTCAAAAACTTTTGATCATTTGGTATTCCAGGTTGTCGGCTGGAATGTGAACTGGTTTGCGAAACGGAAATTCGCTACAGATATGGCTGGATTTGCGGTACATTTGAATGTGATATTGAAGTGAGTTTTGTAAACCCGGGCATAACTTGACCTGTTACTTTAACATGTGACGTTAGTTTACCTGTTAGTTCAACTTGTGATGTTAGTTTACCTGTTAGTTTAACTTGTGATGATCTATTTAATCTATTTCAGTAACACGGCCGTTTTCGGTTCTTCATGTAAACGTGGTGCCGGTGCTCCAGAGACTTGTCTTCTTGAAGATTTGGGATTAACGAGAGACGATTTGGAACCATTTGGATTCAATTCAGTAAGTGAAAACAAGAATCAGCGAGTCAAAAGGTCAAAAGGTTAAAACAAAATTGCTTAACTTAATAGTGATTTCAGGTGAATGACACTTGCTGTGCCGAGGTGAGAATCAGTGATTAACAAAGCCTTTTTCTAACACCAAAAGCTTTTTCTAACAATTCTAACAAAGCTATCAATATCAATCAATGAGCCAATTTTCAGGAATCTCGAGAGCTTTATGTTTGGCACACGAAAACCCTTCAAGGAAAGTATGACAAGTCAAAAATGGAACTTCATGGATTTGTCGTTGAATAACTGTAGTAAAGATATTGTAGTTCTAGTAAACTTCAAGTTCTCTCAGCCAGAACTTTTTCCCATTTCTAGCTACCCTTTAAATAGACACTAAAATGCGAGTATTAGAAGATTTGTGATGCCTTTTTGTTCACTGTTAGTCTTCTTTCTAACTCTTGTCCTCACAAATCGAGTGTATTTCCTTTCCGATATGGGTCAAATGTATTCCGAAGTTGAGTCTTGTATTGATTTTGTTCAATTTTTTCTTGTTTTCTTACCCCCATGTGATAATTATCTTTTATTGAATGTTGAAGTGTTCAAGTTTATTCTTGTGATCCTATAATTCCCTTTAATTGAATAAACGGGTAAAGCTTTTATATTTTTAAAGAAAAATAACAAAAGAACACTTGTATCAACTTAAAACTGTCTTCTAGCACAACTTGGGTAATTAAACCAGGTTGAAAGCTTTTTCAGAAGCTCTACCCAGGGCCATATGCCAGATGGTGCTTTTTCTTAAAAGTGACATAAAAGGTATGCACAGTGTTGAAAGATATCAATAAAAGTTTAAAAGTCGGGAGTGGGACAAATGCGACCTTTTTTTTGCGCACCAGGACATTTGTGCACCTTTTTTCCGCACCTTGCCCATTAGCACACATTTTTCTCGTTTTAAAAAAGCTCTAAAAAGCTAATATTAACCAATTTCTATTCCAAAACTTGTTTTTCTAGGTAATTTGAGGGCGTAGTATCGAAATTTTGACATAACAGAGCGTGTGGAATCAAACCGACATCAATCAAACATTGCGGAAATTAGTCTACCCCCTCAAAAGCTAATCTTAACCAATTTCTATTCCAAATGTTGTTTTTCTAGGTAATTTGAGGGTGTCGAATTCAAATTTTAACATAACAGAGCTTGTGGAAGCGAACGGACGGAGTTATACAAAGAGAAATATCGACAATTTTCTGCAACTTGATCTAGCCGTTTTGTCTTTCAATTCCACAAGGTCTGATATGTCAAAATTTGAATTCTACACCCTCAAATTACCTAGAAAAACAACTTTTGGAATAGAAATTGGTTAATATTAGCTTTTTAGAGCTTTTTTAAAACGAGAAAAAATGTGTGCTAATGGGCAAGGTGCGCGAAAAAAGGTCGCATTTGTCCCACTCCCTAAAAGTTTGAAAGTTTAATAGTGAAAAGTTTTCTCAAATATTGCTATGTTATATCGGAAACGTTTTGAAATATGCATTCTCGCGGATTTCGGCCGAAAAATCTTAGAGAAAGAGATTGGCGACCTCATTATTTATGAAAGAAAAGAAGAAGGAACACTTATGATCAAATCAAAAAGAAAAGAAAAGAAAGACATTCAAGGCAACTTGACATAAGAAAAAGCTTCTATTCACAATGTTTTTCCATTCTATCAGAACATTTTCTAACCAAATTTGTCAATCTGTTGAGTTTTTCAACAGCCGACAGCTCTTTTGAGCTTTGAAACCTGAACTTTTATTTATTCAAAAGTTATCAAAAGCTTTTTGGGTTTAAAAAAGCTTTAAATACGGGTTTAAATAATTCCCTAAATAAGCCAAAGATATTCAAGCAAGTCTTTAGAGAAAATGATGTAATTTACATTGTTTTTATTTGTGAAACATTCCAAAGTTCATCAAGGAAAAACGAAAAATTCCTTATTTTCCTTATTTCCTTATTTCCTTATTTCTTTATTTCCTTATTTCTTTATTTCCTTATTTATCATTTCTCTGACTCAAGTGCCTTTTCCCCAATTTTTGTCAAAAAAAACGGAATCAAATTTTGAAACTGTTGACTCGACTTGACTAACACATTTCTTGTGTGTCCGTTTTTTTCGTCACTTTTCTTCATTTCCACTCTTTTTTTTCCAATTTTTGCGTTCCCCAGTGAGTTATTAATCTTTTTCAAAAGAGAATGCGCACATTGATTATTTATTGCTGAATCAGAGCCATAAAAACGCACAGCAAGTTTGGAATGGTTAAATTTGAATCGAGTTTTTGAATTTTCTCAAACAATCTTTCGACTTTTTCTATTTTTGAACAACTTGTCCATTTCCTTAATGAACTCGATTATGTCAAAAAGATCAGGCATTGTAGTCTAGAAATCGCATTATTCTAACAATATCAGCTTTTAAAGCTATAGAGCTTTAAAAGCTTTAAAGCTATAGAGCTATAGACTATAGAGCTCTAGCTATAGACTATAGAGCTATAGCTATAGACTATAGAGCTAGAGCTATAGACTATAGAGCTCTAGCTATAGACTATAGAGCTATAGCTATAGACTATAGAGCTAGAGCTATAGACTATAGCCATAGACTATAGAGTTATAGAGCTATAGACTATAGAGCTATAGCTATAGACTATAGCTATAGACTATAGAGTTATAGAGCTATAGACTATAGAGCTATAGCTATAGACTATAGCTATAGACTATAGAGCTAGAGCTATAGACTATAGCCATAGACTATAGAGTTATAGAGCTATAGACTATAGAGCTATAGCTATAGACTATAGCTATAGACTATAGAGTTATAGAGCCATAGACTATAGAGCTATAGCTATCGACTATAGCTATAGACTATAGATATAGACTATAGAGCTATAGACTTAAAGCTATAGAGCTTTAAAAGCTTTAGAGCTATAGAGCTATAGACTATAGAGCTATAGCTATAGACTATAGAGCTATAGACTTAAAGCTACAAAGTTTATCAAAAACTTCACCAAGAGCAGAACCGTTTCCCTTTAAAAACCCACGTTTCCTTTTTTTCAAATGAAAGCACTTCAATAAAATTTTTGAATTCTTTTTTTATGCTATGATTTGAAGAGGATCATCGAAAAGGTGTGGAATCAAAAGAGGGAATTTCTAAAAGAGAAAAAGAAAGAGAAAGAGGGGAAAATGTTGTCCGAATGAGTCATTCAAGGGAATTTGACGGAAAATCAAAAGAAAAGGGAAAAGAAATGAAATTGAAGAAGGGAAAAAATTCCACACATAACACCACAATGTTTCTAAATGCTTTTTGAAAAGAATCCTTTTTTTGAAATCTCCTTGCAAATGCTAATTTTTCTTATTGTCATGGGTTTTTGATTTTCATTTCATAAAACTTAAAACACTTTGACCGATTTAGATTGAGCTATATGTTGTGTCCGATTTAGATTTCCGTCCGATTTAGATTCAATCTAAATCGAACGTCTGATTTAGATTGAACTTATCGCGGACATCCGATTTAGATTACAGTCTATATCTGACGTCCGATTTAGGTTACAGCCTATATCAGACGTCCGATTTAGATTACAGTCTATATCTGACGTCCGATTTAGATTCAATCTAAATCTTATATAGATTGAACAATAATATAAACATGCTTAATATATGTTCTTAAGCATTTTCTGTAATTTTGACCTTTGATAAATGCAGATTGAATTTAGATTGAATCTAAATCGGACACAACATATAGACAAATATCTGTACATTGTACCTTGTGCTCTTGTGCTCTAAACGCACGCTTTATAGCACACTGAACTCAATCTGATATGCCAGAAAGTGCACGATTACAAAACAAATGCAAGATTTTTCTTTATATAGCTTGTTTTTGGTGGGCTTTGTGCTGGCAAATGTAAACATGCAATTTCTGGTGCACTTACGATTGAAAAGGTAACTTTGACTGTACTAGAAAGGGAGAAAGCCTTTTTTGAGCACAAAATGCACTTCAAAACTCAACTCCAAAGCATCTAGAGTCTTAAAATTGATGCCGATCTTCTTTTTCACCTAAAAGCCCAAAAGTTGCATTGGGTGTGTCAATGGGTTAATGTCAATGGGTTAATGTAAATGGGTCAATATCAATGCCGTATTTCCTCTAATAAACGCCCCCCCCCCTTGACCAACTTTGGACGCTTCGTTCTCAGCCCCATTTTGAGGTATTTTTATGTTTAATATATCAAAAGATAGCCCTTAATGTCTTCTATCTTTTGATATATTAAACATAAAAATATCTCCAAATGGGGCTGAGAACGAAGCGTCCAAAGTTGGTCAAGGGGGGGGGGGGCGTTTATTAGAGGAAATACGGTGGGTCAATATCAATGGGTCAATATCAATGGCTCAATATCAATGGCTCAATATCAATGGCTCAATGTCAATGGATTAATGTCAATGGGTCAATGTCAATGACACACCCAAAAATGGGTGTGTCACGTTAAAATTGGACTGCTTCAGCTCATCGAATTTCCCCGTTTCATTTCAAGAATGCAGTTTTTGCCAGATGAACGTTTGTCATTTATCTTTTTTTAAAACTTCTTCTCCTTTCTGAACTTCGTTCTTTTCCCTTTTTCCCCTCTTTACCTCCATTTTTTTCTCTATTTAACCCGAAGCTTATCGGCAACAAAATTCCTTCGAAAAGTCCCCTCCAAAAGAGTTTCTACATTTCCAGAAAGTTTTTCATTTAAAGCTTTTAATCAATAAATGTTTTTATTATATAAATTTAATCGAACTTTTATTTTCTGTTAAAGAAATTTTAGGAGCTTTCAATTTTAGAGTTCACATTCCTTTTTGACTCACTTCTAAAAACAATTCATCTTTTCTTAATCTCCTTGACTCATTATAAAGTTTTCTTTTACTTTTGAAAGCTATTTTATTTTAAATTAAAGTAATTCTTTGTTATTTTCTTTCAGTTCTATCTTTAAGCATCCAATTCGGGAAAAGAAAATGGAAAATCGTCACCAACTCGGCTCACCAGGGTGCACTACTATTGGAGATAATCGAACTTTTATTTTCTGTTAAAGAAATTGAAGAAGCTTTCAATTTTAGAGTTCATATTCCTTTTTGACTCACTTCTAAAAACAATCGATCTTTTCTTAATCTCCTTGACTCATTATAAAGTTTTCTTTTACTTTTCAAAGCCATTTTATTTTAAACTTAAGTAATTCTTTCCTATTTTCTTTCAGTTCTATCTTTAAGAATCCGATTCGGGAAAAGAAACGTGGCATTTCACTGTCAATGAGAAAAAATGCGAAAATCGCCTTTGATTACCCTGATAGTGAGCCTCAATTTGACTCCTAAAAGTCTATAAAACAACATTTTTCACCTCTTTTTTTCTTTCATTTTTAAAACTACATTCTTTTAACAAATTTTTGTCTGAATTACTGTAAACCTTTTAAACATTCAGATGCCGAACTGTCCCAGCTGCAATAAACCTGTGTACTTTGGTGGGTTTTTGTTTTAAGCAATCACAAAAATTAGTGATCTAAGATTCACTCACTATCACAACTTTCTCCTTAGCTTTTTGCTTAACATTAAGTTGAAATAAAACTTTGAAAATACCAGCTTTGGCATTTTAGGATTTGGCCGACTGGCTAAGAGCCTTGTATCTTAGTCAATCCAGTCAATGGTTCAATCCTAGCTAGATTACTAGTTCTTTTTTTATTATATAGGGGTTTTTCATACATTTAAGGCTTAGCGTTGTGCTTGTTTTTAGCAAATTATAGATGAATAGATGTATTTTTTAAATTTCATTAATTTCTAGCTGAACGAGTGAGCTCTCTCGGTAAAGATTGGCATCGACCATGTTTGAAATGTCATAACGAGAAATGCGGAAAGACCTTGGCTCCTGGATCACATTCGGAGGTTAATAAAGTCAACAAAAATCAATCAATTTTTCAGCTTGAATTTCTCTATCCAGAAAATTTAGAATGACGGGAAACCCTACTGCAATCGATGCTACGGAGCTTTGTTTGGGCCTAAAGGGTTCGGCTTGTAAATTTGTAGTTATAATTTGAAGTAGATCTAAAACTATCGAAAACTATCCAAAATTTTTCAGATACGGTCACGGAGGCACTGAATCACACACTTTCCTCGGTGGATCCACTGGAAAATAAACTCTCCATGGAAAATAAACTCTCCATTCATCAAATTCCATGTTTTTCTGAAAACCCATTGTGATTCCTCGTCTCTCACAGCTTCTTGTCGATACTGCCAAATAATAAAAACTAATATTGACAAAAAAAGATATATTGCATCAAAGCTCTAGACACGAATACGGTAACTTAAAGAGGAATATATTTCATCGTTTGTAAAGAATATCAATTGAACAATATGAAGAGGAATTCATTGCGGAGTCCACTGTCGCGAGTCCCTTTCTTTAAATAAGTCTCGGCTCGTGATGCAGAGGCCTACGCAATGATCAACTCTATCTTTTTTAAAATAAAATCAAAAAGAAAAGCTTTAAATAACACTTAAAAGTTAAAGAATATTAGAGAAAATGTCAAAATAATGAACGGGGAAATGAGTAGACGCTAATGAAACAGTTAAAATGAAACAATGAATGTTAAAATGAATCAATGAATGTTAAAAATGATTGGATGAATCTAATGAAACAGTTAAAATAATTGAATGAATCTATCAGAAGAATATTAGCAAATAAACCTTTTGAGTGAATATTTTTGAATCTCAAAATTGAGAGATTGAATGTTGAAATGAGATGAGAGCCGATATTTGACATGATCGGGTGAACGAATAAAATAATCTCTTAGTGACATATTAGAGTCCATTTCTATTTCCCATTGAATTCACAAAGATTTCCTTTCAACACTTTGCTCCCATTTATGTTTTATTTGTGTTGAATCGGGGTGTTTACCCTGGAGATCAGGCAACCAATCGACGAGGAATCGGGAGACTCAATTCAATGAGGTAAAGGAGTGCAAAGGAGTGAACACAACCAATCATCCACTCACACATTTCACACTTTCATTTGACGATGAAAATTTGTGTTTGGTGATAATGAAATTGAAGATTTCTGAATAATCTCTAGGGAAATTGTTGCAAATAGACTGAATAGACTGAACAAGAGACTGAATATTTTATTAAAACCGAGCCAATTCTAAATAGCATAAATTTCTTCTAGTGCAATTCAGGCTCCGGATTTGGTTCGGGCATCGCTCTGAGGGGCACCCATTGACGTTTCCTTCGAAAGTTCACAATAAGCACCCACTTCTCATCCCCCGTAATGGTACGGGAGAGAAAAGAACATTGCTCATATCGCGAAAGATGGGTAGCACTGATCGAGATCAGGTTCAATCTCTGGGCGTCGGTCAGGATATGGGGTATCTAACTCCCCAATTTCGATGTAAACCCAAGGGTGTGTAGATGCCTGACTATCGTGGATTGGTCAACCTTTAGGTCCTCTGCTAATTCGTATGAAGTAAGCCGGTTGTCGTTTTGAAGAAGTGCCAGAGGATCTTTTAACTTTATCTCGGGTCTGCCACGCTGCTCGTCTTCTAGAGAATAATCACGAGGTCGGAACTTTGAACCATCGTTGGCATTTGTGTTTGCTAATAGAAATATCTCCATATACAACCCGAATATTGGTATGACATAGGCTTGATTTGTGCTTCTGGTACATAAGTACTCGTACAAAAGTACATAGCACTCAGAACTCACAATCAAAGAGCGTCAACAGCCCAAAAATCTTATTTCATATGCCTAATATCAGCTTTTTATCGAATTACGAAAAACGAGTTTTTAAAGAAGAATGAACAATCTTCTAAACCGGCATCAAGCCACAAAAGAGATTGATGAAACTATAATTTACAAATCATTTATTTCAGATTGATTACTATTTGCTAGAGCTCGGTCTAGAAAGACAAGAAATCTCTACAGAAGTTGAAGAAGGATGAGAATGAGCCTTTTAGACAGGTCGGTCAAAGAGCTCCAAAAGATGGCACTCCAGAAAACGGAGTTTAAAGAAGAAGACCGGACAGTGCACTTGGAAGTCGCAAAGGTTTGGCGTTCATCTTTTCTTCTTTTTTGAAAAATCGGAACACAAAATTGCGATCTTCACATGGTAGGCCCGAGATCATTCAAGGTTGTCTCAACAAGATCATAGGTGTCGGGACAAGAAAGCTCGAGACAAGAAATCGCTACAGAAGTTGAAGAAGGATGAGAATGAGGACCCAATTAGAAAAAGAAAAAAGAAAGGAATCTTTTTTTTGAAAACGGACCTAGATTAGCCTAAAAAGATAGAAAATTATATAATAAACATTTTCTATTTTAAGCAAACCGTGGGTGAACTTTTTATTTATAAATAGATTTATAAAAAAAGTGTCTAAAGACTTGTCGGCTAACAAAAAAAAACTAACAACACATTGAATTAATTAGAATCTTTTTAACATTTAATTTAACTTTTCCAGCAATTGTTGCAGAGATGAGAGCCCCCACTCACTTGTCCCCTCAACAATCCTTTTGAGGTAAGATCGGGTGGGATGGGTGTCGCGTATCCGATCCTTCTTCAATCCAATCCTTTTCTTCAGTCTTGGCCCCAATCGGGGCGTTCACGTCAAGTTGGATCATCGAAAGGAAAAAAGAGAGTTGAAAGAAGACGAAAAAGGAGAGATTCTTTTCGTGGATTGGGATCGGGCGGATCTCTCACGCATCTCACAACAAATAACGATTGAAAGGGATATTGAAACTTTTGAAAGGTTTCGTTTATGATCTTTGTATTTGAATTTATTTGTTTCATCATATAATGTTTCAATCTTTTTTTTTAATTCCCTTTAGAAAAGCTTTCTTAACTCTTTAACCCAAGACGAATTTCGAAAGCGGAACCGGAACAATTCCTTTCTTTCAAGAGTCACAATCAGTTTGAAGATACTCAATGAAATGACAACAGTTATTCAGTACAATATTTGCAGTACTGTAAACGAAATGCTAAGAGCACTAGGAGATGACTCTTTCCTACCCTAGATCCTCACTTAACAATCAGACAACAATTAATTCCCTTTAGAAAAGCTTTCTTAACTCTTTAACCAAAGACGAATTTCGAAAGCGGAACCGGAACAAGTCCTTTCTTTCAAGGCTCACAATCAGCTTGAAGATACTCAATGAAATGAGTCACTTATACGAAATCTGAAATTGCATAATGTTGTCTGATTGTTAAGTGAGGATCTAGGATAGGAAAGAGTCATCAGCAAGCTTTTTAGTCATCTCCTAGTGCTCTTAACATTTCGTTTACAGTACTGCAAATATTATACTGAATAACTGTTGTAATTGAGAACGTCAGTTGGAAGAAAATATCTAAAGACCATTCTGCACACTCATAAACACTTTTGTTCACCCCCAAGCTCTGGCTTTTCTCACCTCTTGCCAATCCAGTTCTTTGAGTTAAACAATCCGTTCCCCCATTTTCTCTCCAATTTTTTTTTTTACTTAACTTTTCTTATCTCTCAACTCAAGAAGGGTAGCGTGTGCGCAAGCGGCAACAGTTCATCCGAAGAAAGAAGAATAGAAGAGAAGCAAACATGTACAACAAATGCCATCTCTTTTCTTTTCTTTTCTTCAGCCTTTCTTTACAAATAACCCCCAGACTCGTTTCTTTCTTTCATTCATTGTCAATCATTTGTCCCATCCAGACATCCTCTCTTAGTGCACAAATCTTTACTTAAATTCTCCTTCTTTTGAAACGATTTGTTTAAACTCGAGAATAAGTGATGAGTTTTTTAAACGAAGTGCTTGATTTCTGAAGAAAAGAAACAAGAATTAAGAAGTTGTTGAACTGGTTATGATCACTGAAAGAGCACTGCGGGAAAGTTATCAAGCCTTCAACTGGTTATCAAGCCGGGAAAGTTATCAAGCCTTCAACTGCGGGAAAGTTATCAAGCCTAAACCGAATAGTCAATTGTCAAGCTTAATTCACTTCCCCTAGAGCCTGTCTTGTTATTGGTACCAACCAGGTCCAAAAGCCCTCCTCGAATACGTGCTTGACCGTGGCCCCATTCACCCACCCCATCTATGGGAATGATCGGGTGGGAATAGACGTGTTTCCCCTCTTCCCCCCTTTCCCAATCCATGACGGTTCTCTCTTTGGTGAAATGGTTGCTTGTGCATGTCTCCTGTTTGATCCCCTTTCCCCTTCCCTTTCCCTTTTCTTCAACTCTCATCTCGAGAGCTCACACACCAATCCACCATTCCCTTCAGAGAATCAGAAGAGTCTATCCAACAAATATCTCTCAGGACTTTGCTTGCAAACGCATGAAAGCGTTTCGAGTGCTTGAAACAGTCGTGAAGTTTCAAGAAAGTGAGTGATTGATTGAGCTGAAATGATATTACGACATCGACTAACTTGGCTATTAATGATTGATCAGCAAGCGTAAATTGGTCTAATCAAAATGAAGGATCTGATCTGAGTCACTGAACGTCATATAGAGTTGATTGGCCATTCTCTTTAAACTTTACACATATTGGAGTCCATAACCAAAACGCAGGCTTTGATTGATTTGCCAGTTTCATCGAGCGATCCCTATCAATCCAAAACACATCCCAAAAGGCTTCTTATTCTCGTTTCATCCCTGCTTGAGTAACCAGAGTAAGAGACAATGCATTGAGTTATTTAAGTCCTATCCTTTCCTTTCAAAACCTCACTGAAACTAATCCCTCACGTTCCAATTTCCCAATTAGATTCTCAATGATTCTGAAATCAAGGCGTGTCCTTTTTCTCCTGTTTTTTTTTGCAAAAGCGTTTTAGGCGGAAAATCGGCTGCGGGACTCTAGGGGAGGATAAGCAGCTCGTGGAAAAAGAATAGAAAAGAGGGCAATGTGAGAGTCAAGAGGGGGTGATTGAAGGAAAGAAAAGAAGAGACTGTAGACGAAAGAACTGGACTGGGTCCTCTCCACTGTAAGCACTTTCCCCCTTTTCCCTTTCCGCTTAAGAACCCTAACCGGATCCGGCTTCTCTCTCAATTTTTTTCCCTTCACTGAAGGCATACGTTGCCCTCCTTCTTCTTCTTCAAACCCAACAAATCTTACTCCCCAATTTCTCCCAATGATTATCTAGAAGAGAACCGGTTCTATAAAGATTTCCCCTCATTTCTTTCTTCTACTCTTTTTCTAAAACCTTGAGCCCCTTGTGGGTGACACATTCGACAAGGGATTTTTGTTTCTTTCCCGTTTTTTTCTTTTCTAATTTTTCTCTTTTCTACTCAATCAGTTCATCAGATTTTTCAATGGTCTTGACAAAAGGGTTTTTCGGTTTTGATTTTTCTTGCTTGTAAAATTTTGGCCACTTTGATGGTGTCATTATTCTCAGCTTCAGTTTCGACCTTGTTTGGGTTTTCAAAACTGGGTTTTCCGAGCAACTTCTTGATGTCTCAATGCAAACTTATGCATACTAGAGTTCTAAAAGCTATTTTCTAGTTATCTATCGGCTTAAATCTTAAATTCTTCCTTCCTTCAATCCTTCAATGGTCTCCCTCTAGACTTGCCAGTTCTAGCTGTTTTTCTCAGACTCGTTTTCTTTCAAAAACTGAAACCATTGCTTGTTTCAAGTCATTTTCCCCCAAATGGTGTCCCATTTTTGTGTTTGTTTACATTGAGAGCCTCTCGAGTTCATCAAATCATCCATTTCCGGAGTTCCCAAATCAGTGTTCCCTCTCAAAAAATGTCTATTTTTATTTCATTCGATTCATATTAATTTGAATAGTCGACATTCGCATCTTTTTGATTTGAATTTCTCTCTCTTGAATAGAAAAGACCTTCAAATAAATTGCCTTGCTTTGCCTTGCGCTTTGCTTTTCCCACTTTATATTGAATAAAATTCTTTATAATCATATTTCTATTCCTTTCACAATCTGTTTTCCATGTCTTACTTTGAAAAGCTTGATCTTGGCTGACTGTTTAGGAATTTTTACTCCAATCGATCTAACCCTTAAAAACTTGAACTTCCTGATTCACCAAAACCGATAGCAAAAATGGTTCGCTATTGGTGTAGAGAGGATTGTAGAGAGAAACGACAATGGAACATCTGTACAAATAGGGGGAAATGAAAAGGAAGAGAAATGGATTTGAAAAGGGAATGGAAAGGGAATGGAAAGGGAATGGAAAGGGAATGGAAAGGGAATGGAAAGGGAATGGAAAGGGAATGGAAAGAGATGAAGAGAGCACCTCTTCAACCAAGCTCATCCAATGGAGAGAAATTCGATGTTCTCCGTTTTGTTTTATTTTATGTTCGAACAAGGGGATGGAGATCACTACAATTCTTCAGGAGATCACTACAATCCTCGGGTTACTCCTTTCTTTTTTCAGTATTTAATTCATATTACACTTTTCTTAAGACTACTAATCAAACCCTGAAGCCAATGCAGCAAATTTACTATTATGTTCTTGATCTCTTGTCATCTTATCTCAATTTCATTCTTCTCTTTACCCCTTCCTCATTTCCATATTCCTTTCAGAGAGAAACCTCGAGGTGCTATTCACTAAAGCCAAGCCGAGAAACGATGAGAGGTGCCCTGGTGGTGCTGTCTCTCTTTTTGGGCACTGCACTCGCCCAATGCCCACAGATTACTTCACAATATTGCAGGTGAGTGGAAATGAGCACTTATTATCGGGAAATTCTCATTCTCAAGCAATATTTCCTTCAGATGTTCCCCATCGATGACCGAACCGGTGGCGATCATTTGCGAGCAAGCGGGCAGCCTACAAAACATTATCCAAGCTATTCAACCAGCTAAAGGGGCACCGGTGAATTGCTTGTCATAGAAATTTACATTCTCAATTTCAATTCTTCAATTCTTCGATTCTTTCCAGATCGATTCACTGGTGATCATGGACACAGCCGTTCCCTCTTTACCCGCCAACGCTTTCCAAGGATTCACCATTTTGCGACTCGTTCTCAATAGGAACACTTTGAGTAAGTAATAAGCTAGTAATAAACTGACAATAAATGTTTTTTGCTTTGCATTATAAGGAAAATTAAGGTCAAATCGATGATCAAGCTTTTAATGGAGAGCTTTTGGAATCACTGGTCGAGCTCGATTTGGGAGACAACAATCTTGGACAAATCCCGCAAAGTGGATTGCCAAGATTGCTAAATTTAAGGTGAGTAAATGAATAAGAGTCATGAGATGAGAGTTTTGATGAGTCAAATTTCAGAAAGCTCTACTTGACGAGAAATAAGATCACTACTCTTCAAGCAAACTCTTTTGGAGCCTATGAATCAAAGGATCTTATTGTGAAGCTTTCTTTGGCTGGAAATCGTCTGACTGATCGTTCGTTGGGAGACTCGACTGTGTTCAGACCGCTGAAGTTGTTGCAGGTTGGTGTTGGGTTCGAGATTTGGGCTTTACTTTCAACAACAGGACAATAGGATGGCTTTACTTTCAACAACAAACAAAGACCAGCACTTTACGGGTTTTCAAGCATATTGTTAGAAGTTCTACACAGCTTTTACAGTTCTAGAACCTAACCCTACCAAATTGCAGTAAGATTGAGCCTTTTCAAGATTGAATTCAGGAATTGTCCCTTGAGACGAACGCTCTGACCGCAATCCCATCAGCTGCTCTTGTCAATCAGCGATTGACCCTCACAAATTTGAATCTCGGATTGAATAACATCACAAATGTATGTAAATTTTCTAAAAATATTTGAAATACTTGCAATTCTTAGAATTCTTAGAATAGAATTCTTTCTTATTACTCATTTCCAGGTGCCTGTGGGTGCTTTGGATCTCCCAGTGCTCACCTCGGTTTCTCTCGAGTTCAACGGAATCACCGTCATCACACCACAAGCTTTTCAGGTTTGAGATGAGAAATGGACAATGGACAACTTTCTCTTAATAATGGACAAATTTCTCTTATTAATGGACAACTTTCTCTTAATAATGGGCAAATTTCTCTTAATAATCTGAATTATCAAATTTAGTAAAGATCCAAAAGTTTAGATTCGCTTAAAATTTCAAATTTCTTTTAGGGAGTCCCCAACTTGCAGTATCTCTATTTGACTGGAAACAAATTCCCATCGTGGCAACCAGAAATGTACAGGTAATGCTTAGAATTTGAATCTTCAACAGCTACAAATATAAAACTTGAATCCAAAGTAATAGCCAACTATTCACTGCAATTCAGATATGTTCCCAATCTCCGAACTCTGGGAATCGGAGAGACGCCTATATCGGTCATTCCCTCAAACGCTTTCCAGGTTTGTCTACCTAAATTATTAATCTATAAAAAGTTAAACATGTTAATTTGTATTATTCTTTTCAGTATATTCCGAATCTATTGCGTTTGGAGATGTCTGAGGCAGCGGTGGATACGATCGAGAGGGGAGCTTTCCAGAGAACACCTAGAATTCAGGCGATCGTTCTCAACAAGAATCGACTTTCACAGTAAGTTAGAAATATTGAAAAAGCTTAAATATTAACCTAAAACAACACTAGATCTACAACCACTTTCCGCCATTTTAGATAGCTTTAGCCCCGTTATTTACTCCTTCATTAAGCTTTTCTCCTCTACTTTGATGTCAAATAACTTCATGAATCACAAAATTTTGATCATTTTTTGTCTCCAAAGAGTGTACTAATGCTTGGATCATTTGTTTGTGTTGTAGGTGTGCTGGCGCTGTCCTTTTCTCTTTTCTTCCCTTTTTTTTCATTCCACAATCCTGAATCATTCTTTCCATCAAAACTGGAATTCAAAGGACCACCTAAAGATCTGATCAGAATTAGAACAAAAACAATAAAGAGATTTTACTATAACTTTTTCTAGCATTCCTATTTTTAGGTGTGCTTTAGTCCATTCGAAAGCTCTTGAGATTCTCTATTTTTTCAGTTATATCAGGTTGGCAACTAAATAATGGCCCTTTTCAGTAAAAACAAAAAATTTATTAACAAGATGAACAAATATCAACATCAATCCAAAAAGTATTCTCCGTCATTCTTTATTACTTCTTTCCACTTTTGACGGAGCAACTGGATTCCTCTCTTGAAAAATTCTTCTGGTTGATCGTCAAAGAACTTCTGCACTGAAATTCGGACTTCGTCAAGGTCATTGAACTTTTTCTCGGCTAGAAAGTGTTGCATCGATCGAAAAAGATGGTAATCACTAGGCCCCATATCCGGGCTGTATGGCGCATGAGGAAGAACATTCCAGCCCAACTCCTCGATTTTCTCCATTGTAAGTTTTGCAGTGTGTGGTTTTGCGTTATCATGGAGAAAATGAATTGAAGAGGGTTCGAGTCCTTGAGAGCGAATTGCTTGATCTACACGATGTAGTTGAGACGAATAGAGTTCTGAATTAACCGTTTGCCGGCTTTTGAGAACCTCGAAATGCACCAACCCACGAGAACTCCACCACACACAGAGGAGAGTTTTCTTTGGTGAATATCCGGCTTCGGAGTTGGTTTTGGGTCTTCGTTCGTGCTAAGCCACTGTCGTTTTCGCGTTCGATTATCATAAAAGATCCATTTTTCATCAGAAGTGACAATGGAATCCAAGAAGCTTCTCTTTTTCGCAAGTTTTAGTAGTATTCCCGCTGTGATAACACGAGTAGCCTTATTTTCTTCGCTCAATTCATGCGGAATCCACTTTCCACTGCGGTTACTTTTCCCCAATGCATGAAGTCGCTTTTCGATTGCAGTATGCGAAAAGCCCAATCGATCCCCTAGCTCGGTGATGTTTGACTTGGATCCTCCTTTAAGGCTGCTTCCAAAATATCGTTCTGCAGAAGTTCGGGTCGTCCTTGGCGAGGCTCATCTTCAAGATTTTCATCCCCTTCCTTGAACCGTCGATACCATCTCTTACATTGTGTTTCGGAAAGAGCCTCATCACCAAAAACTCGCAATAAATCTCTGTGGGATTCGGCAGCTGTTTTGTCTTGTTTGTAGTCGTACCAGAGACAGACACGCATTCGATATTTGAGATCTTCCATTTCTAAACAAAATTATTTGAAAAGTATCAAATCAAGGAAAGTAAAAAACGTATAATAATGCACCAGAAATTCAGTAATATTCAATTAACAACAAGCGAGGGTAGATTAAACGCAAAGATTAAAAGATTTTATCAAAAAAGGGCGAGGGCCATTATTTAGTTGCCAACCTAATAGATCATTTGAATCTAGTAGATTTGAAGGAATCATTCTTTCCATCAAAACTGGGTCTGAAATTCAAAGGACCACCTAAAGATCTGATCAGAATTAGAACAAAAACAATAAAGAGATTTCATTTTGTTAACTTTTCAGAATCCGAGCCGACTTCTTCCAAGGTCTCAACGATCTCTACTCGATCGATGTGGGCGCGAATCGAATCTCGAACACGGAACCCCTTGCATTCGCCAATCTTCCAAATATTCAACATCTCGATATCAGGTTTGGATAAGCTTTGGCTCTTTAACAGCTCAAGCTTTGGCTCTTTAACATCTTTAACAACTCAAGATATTATCCATTCCTCTTTAGCTACAATCAACTCCAATCGATGCCAAACAATGTCTTCCAGAATTCATTCCTTCCACAACCCGATGAGAGAAGAGTCATCTATGCTTGCGGTTAGTTAACAATTGGTTAATGAATAGCTGTTCAGAAAGAAAGTAATCAAAGAAAGTACGAAGAAGAACGAAAAGATTTCCTAGGCAGTCTAATAGTCATCTATACACTCATTTAGGCAATCCCTGGTTGTGCGACAGTCAACTGGAATGGTTCCGTCAATTGTTGAGAGAGAACCTTGATATCGATATTGATAAGCCTGGATGTACCTCTGTTTGTCGAGCATCGCCCAACAATTGCCCACCCGATGGTTAATTTTAAATCTGATTTTGACTGAGAAAATCATTTACATGCATACTTTTAAACCTTTTCTAGGCACCCCACTCCGATCTGAGGACATCTGTCCATTGAACAGTGAGACACCGCAAGCTTTTGTGTCAAGTCCCCTTCAAATGGTCCCATGGATCATCCTTGGTAAAGAAATATTCATTTAATCAAAAATCCTTTATATTTAGCCATTATCATGACAATTTTAATGATCGCAATCTGCATGTTAGCCCTCGTGAGGTAAAAGTTTAACAATCTGATTTAAACTTTTGAAATCACTATAACTTTTTCTAGCATTCCTATTTATCGGTGTGCTTTAGTCCATTCGAAAGCTCTTGAGATTCTCTATTTTTTGAGTTATAGATCATTTCAATCTAGTAGATTTGAAAGAATTTAGAAGCGTTTATACGACGCATATCTACATTTAGTTTATGAACAGAAAATTCACTTTTAAAAGTTTTCGGTAAAATGTTAAAACGAAAATCATTTTCTTTCACCATTCAATGATAGAGTACTGGACAATGAAATATTTGAATTTAGTTCAGTAATTAACCAATTCTTTTATTTCAAAATATCTCCTTGTTTTCTCTTTACTGAATCAACAGAAACAAATCGATAATATACACTACTGGACAATGAAATATCATATTTGAAAAACGATCGTCACTTTCGCGCGTCTGTAACTGCCTTATCTTTGAGTTTAAATTATTAGTGTTATACATTTTCTGAAAGCTCTTTTCAAGGACTACACAATGGTAATATTCATATTTAGAAATACGGCAAAGACAAGAGAGTTACAGACGCGCGAAAGTGACGATCTTCTTTCAGATATGATATTTCATTGTCCAGTAGTGTAGCTTCTGAACAGCTTAATATAGCTTCTGAACAGCTTAATATAACTTCTGAACAGCTTAATATAACTTCTGAACAGCTTAATCCTTTGTTTTCTACATCTATTATCGATTTATCGACTCACATTCATTCTTTAGATATGGTATTTCCCATAAGAGAAAGAAGCAAAAAGATCAAGAAATTGAAGAAGATCGATACTTGTCGACTGCGGGTAACATTTAGAAATATTGCTTTTTTTTTAAACAACTTTTAGCCTCAATGTTTGCCGGTCCAGTCTCAACAATCGGTCCATTGGGTATCGAGAGTCGACCGTACACATCACACACGGGATTGGATTTGGACCTTCCTGCGGCTCACAATCTTGACGATCGACCTAATAATTATTTGTACTAGACAAAGGTTTGGATAGCTATTTCAGAGAATGAAATAAAGGAACTATTTTCAGGAAGAATCTCTCTTTTTTTCTTTATGCTGTCAGAATGTCTTTCAAGGCCGGTGATGTCCTCTCCATTCTCAGCCGTTCTCACTCTCATCTTCTTTCCCTAAACTCGATAATATCCAAACTTCACCCTAAATTTGATATTTTGAAATGTTTCTATTGTTTCTTTTCTTCCTTTTCTTTCTATTCTTGCTCACATTTATCTTTCTTAACATTCTGACTTTAGTTACCCGGAAATAACCTCAAATTGTCTTTTTCTCTTTTCTTTGGCTCGTCTGAAACGGGATTTTTAAGACTCTTAAATGTTTGTATAAAATTGAATATTTTGAAGATAGGGTTTAAAATTAAATGATAACTTTAACTTAACTACAATTTATTGACTACAGTTAGTTACCATTTAAGCTATCCTCAGCTCTTTTTCTTCAACTTCTGAAATATCTTGACTTTTTGCCCAATCCATGCCCTTGTTTGTACATTTTTGTCGCCTTTTTCTTAATCTATTTAGACATTTTTTCTTCAAGTACGGTAGCTTTTTGAAATATTTGTAAAAAAATGCTTTACGATTATTTTTGCTAACGCTCGGAATGATCAAAAATAAACAGTTTTTTTTTTGAAAATTTCATTGCTAATGAAGAGTACAATGTTTTAAAGATAAAATTTCAGAAAAAATCTCTGTAAAACCTGCAGTAAATGAGATACAGAATGAACAATCTTCTAAACCGGCATCTTCTAAACAAAAGAGATTGATGAAATTATAAGTTATAAGTCATTTATTTCAGATTGATTAGATTTGCTCGGAAAAGAACTCGGCCTAGAAAGACAAGAAATCGCTACAGAAGTTGAAGAAGGATGAGAATGAGGACCCAATTAGAAAAAGAAAAAAGAAAGGAATACTTTGGAAGCCAAAGAAAGAGCTTGCCTTTTAGACAGGCTGGCCAAAGAGCTCCAAAAGATGGCACTCCAAAAAACGGAGTTTAAAGAAGACCGGACAGTGCACTTGGAAGTCGCAAGGGTTTGGCGTTCATCTTTTCTTCTTTTTTGAAAAATCGGAACACAAAATTGCGATCTTCACATGGTAGACCCGAGATCATACAAGGTTGTCTCGAGAAGATCAAATCGTATAAGGTTGTCTCAGCAAGATCAAATTGTACAAGGTTGTCTCAGCAAGATCAAATTGTACAAGGTTGTCTCAACAAGATCATAGGTGTCGGTTAGTTCATTCTTGGCAAGAACTCCAAAAATATCTTCGAAAGCACAGAAGTTTTTAAGAAATTGACAATTTTCTGGCAAAACTTCTTCTTTGCTCGACTGAAAAAATGTCCGAGTTTAGGGTGAGCGAGAATTTTTTAATGACATTCGGGCAAGAAACTTGTGCATTGCATCGATACTTCGAGTGAACCGAAATTTGATCTGCAAATTCGTGGGTGAATGATGGAGCTCATTCTCTAACTCATCTAGATGTCTTCCGTCGACTTCTAGAAGCTATGACACTTTTCGAAGGTTTCTTCGATCAATTCTCATCAATTTTTTGTAGGGTTTTCTATTAATTGTTCATTAAAAGAAAGAAATCGTCTAAATCTTTTGACAAGTCGATTGAGAAGCTAACATCTTCATTATCGGTTTCACTAATCGAACATGTCGATTGTTGAACGTTGATTAACATTTCCATTGAAAAGAAGTGCTTCTGTTTGAAAAATTGAAATATTATTGACAATCAATCAACGAATATTTATGTTCACTTTCAATTGAGTGAATAGAAGCTCTGTTTTTTTTTTCTGAAGCTCAACAGAGTTCTGAAGCTCAACAGAGGTCTGAAGCTCAACAGAGTTCTGAAGCTCAACAGAGTTCTGAAGCTCAACAGAGTTCTGAAGCTCAACAGAGGTCTGAAGCTCAACAGAGGTCTGAAGCTCAACAGAGGTCTGAAGCTCAACAGAGTTCTGAAGCTCAACAGAGTTCTGAAGCTCAACAGGGTCTGAGCTCAACAGAGTTCTGAGCTCAACAGAGTTCTGAAGCTCAACAGAGTTCTGAAGCTCAACAGAGTTCTGAAGCTCAACAGAGTTCTGGCTCAACAGGTTCTGAAGCTCAACAGAGGTCTGAGCTCAACAGAGGTCTGAGCTCAACAGAGTTCTGAAGCTCAACAGAGTTCTGAAGCTCAACAGAGGTCTGAGCTCAACAGAGTTCTGAAGCTCAACAGTTCTGAAGCTCAACAGAGTTCTGAAGCTCAACAGAGTTCTGAAGCTCAACAGAGTTCTGAAGCTCAACAGAGGTCTGAAGCTCAACAGAGGTCTGAAGCTCAACAGAGTTCTGAAGCTCAACAGAGTTCTGAAGCTCAACAGAGTTCTGTAGCTCAACAGAGTTCTGAAGCTCAACAGATTCAAAACCATTTCCTTCATTTTTCTCGGGTAAGCGTTAAACATTTTAGCAAATCAGAGAATAAAATCGAGCTTTTGAGGGATAAGCAAATATAGAGTGAATTCGAAGATTTAGTTTTGCTTGCAATGGGGATTTTAGCTGTGAATATTATAGCTAAATGCTTTGATAATGATTTGATAATGCGTTTGAAAGCAACAATTCTAATGAAAGTATTCTGCTTAGCTAATCAACTTCTTTCAGACTTTTTTCAGCTTTTGAAGTAATATTATAGTTTCTCTGAGATAACTATACAGCTCTCAAACTTGATGCATTTCAGAATACAGTGACTTTAGCTTTCTCAAATCAAATTCAAGTTCAATTCGTAACACACGTTCGGCAACAACTCAATTCCACTGACAAACCGTTGTGTCTAAAAAGCGCAACAGAACGATATGGTAAAGAAACCAGCTTTTTTTGAATTGATTCACATCTTTCCATTCATCCATCGAACGGTAGAATGGGAATTAGTGTGAAGAGAAGCAATTCTCTCGAAAGGGATTCCACCATTCTGACTCTTTTCACCTCAAAAGAGTTCCTCTATTCAATAAAAGAGAGGTGCCAAAGTGTGTTGGCAAACAAATCTTTTCTTTTTCTTTTTTTCATCTACTCAATGTCAACATCACCCATTCCACCATTTTTCTTTCAACAAGTTGTTTCAAGTTTTTCTTTCCTCAATGGATCACTCTAGTGTGGCGGCGGGTAAATATTGCTTACCCGGAGTAGCAATACTCCGGTAACTCATTTTGTTGTCAAATTGCAAAGTGGGTATCAGTTTTTCTGACATTTTATTTGTAAAAATACTTGGTTTACCATATTATTAGTCTGAAATTGTGTTTGGAATGATTAAAATGTAAGACTGTCTGATTGTTTGTACCAAAAACGACCGGGTTACAGTAGCTATCTTTTGAACACAGTTCACCGAGACATAAACTCTTTCAAAGACTTCAATCTATCATGATATCAATGAAAACTTTTCAAAAATCAAAAATTATCAAACTCCTACCCTAAAACGTATTGTTCAACCTTTGATTTCATTGATTTCTTTCCGTTTCGAGTAAATATTGCAACCGTGCAGCTATTTTTTTTCCTTCTTCTTGTTTACCAGCATTCTTAGCAAAAAGATAACATGAATCATCTTTTTTTGTTCATTTCTCAATTTATTTTATCCAGAATCATTATTTGAAATCAGATCATCCCTTTTCTTTTGAAGTTTTTCTTGTGGTGTTCCGAGAAATGAGCGGAAATCTTTTGTTTTCAAGAAATTGGCTTGATTTGTCTCTTATCTTTTTTTGAAATTTTGCTAAACTTGATAGTTTTTGATAGGTATAGTTCATTATCCGTTTAGAAAAGCTAGAAAATTTGTAAGATTTTCACAGATTTATTAGGTAACTCTAGAACAGGCCCCGTTTACCATTAGCTTATAAAATTTCCTTTGAATTCTTTCATGAGTCAAAATGTTCAGCTTTCTCTAATTTGAAATCAACACCTACCGGGTCTTTTTCCCTTTTTTATCTTTTCTCCAAATATGAATCACTCATGGCTTTACATTTTGATAAGTAATAGCTGAGTTTGGTCAGAAAAAAATGATTGGACAAAGGAGAGAAAGGAAAGAGAGAATCGCTCTCATATGACCTATTTTATTCTGCAAAATATTTGCCTTATGCTTTTAATCTTTATGATCTATCAAGCAGTAAGCTAAATTTTAACCATTCTACTTTTTGCTAACCTTTTTGAAATCAATGAAACACATTTAGAAAATCTTTGAAGTCTATTAACTTTAACTACAATTTCTACAAGTCAAAGGGTGAAGATTTAGAACCAGAAAGTTTTCAGAACATTCCCTTTTGAACTATGTTGTCATGTGAATAGGTACTTCTATTTTATTGCTCCTCAAACCACAAAATTCATGTTTACCAACCTCTTGAAAACTTTTTCAGTAAAATTTTTCGTTTTTGGCAAATGAAACAAGTTGAATCTTGACATTCTCAAGTAGAAAACCCTAAAGCTTTCTGATTTCTCAACTATTTCTTGGCCATTCTCCAATAAATATTCCTTCTATCGTACATATTATTGTTGTTGTTGTTATTCGTGAAGTGTGAACAGTTTCTGTAAATAATCCATGTGTATTCTACAGTCAATCATTCAGAAAACAACCCCTCAAATTCCAAACTCATCGTTCACTCCTTGAAAAGGGCAAAGAAGTGTGTGGGAAATTGACACAAAAACACTCATCTCACAACAAACATTCAACTCTTTCACTTCGACACTTTCAAATATCGAAATGGTGAGTGTTTTAGAAAGATTAGAGATAGTACTTAGCTAAAACCCAATAGCTAAAACCCAATAGCTAAAATCTTAACATCGTTGTCTTTTTCCCAATTCAAACAGCTCGATTAAGTTCCACTCTAATCTTATGCTTATTTTGATTCAAATTCAAAACAAGATATACTATTTGTAATCGAATTTTGTTCAGGCTTAGGCCTGAGCCCCGTCAAAAGCAATCGCTTGAAATCGAATTTTGCTCAAACATACACTTCGAATGTGTTTCTTTTCCACAAAAAAAGAACCCGGAATTTCCTCGTCAAAAGCAATCGCTTGAAATGCAAATTTTACGGTCATTCAGAAAAAAAAGTCGTTTTTGTTAAGGGTTTTCTCCTGTAAGCAAAGAAACTGATTGTATTTTGAAAGTGAGAAGAAGAGGGGTAAAGAAAGAGAAAAGGAGACTCAGAGCTTTCTCCGTTTTTTGACTCACCCTCTTTTTCTTTTTCTCATCAAAATAGAGGAATTTTTGTAAAAATGGGCATTTCATCCAAATATTTGCGTTTTTTCGTAGATTTTTCGCAGTTTTCTTGCTCTTTTGTGTGTATAAAAAAGCATTTTTTTTTTAGACTATCGAGAAATCGCGATTCTACTTGAGTGAGAGCGGTGGACTGAACGATATGAGTCTGGAAGAGGAGAAGGTCAGTCAAAGAAATCGATATTTTATATCAGTTCTATAGCACACCATAACTTATTAAATTTTTTATATTTAGCACTGATATTTCTAGAGTCCAAAGCGTCACTTGAGACGTTTATCTGAGTTTTATATGAGTATTATTCGAAAGCTGAAAATCTCATCTACATTTTGATATAAAAAGTTTTTGTTTTTGTCGAACCTTTGGGCAAATTGGCTGCACAGAAGAAGAGGTGGCCAAAAAATGGAAGGGCGCCTTTGGATCAAGTTTTGGCTCCGCTCAAATTGAGTTAACCGTTTGATGTTTGGCCAATAGATATATCAATACAACTTTTTTAAAATATAACAATTTCAGAGCATCTTTACTTTTCTTTTCTTTTCTGGGCGGTTATTTTACACCATAAAATTTGAGGAATAGCTAAGCTGGAATGGGTTTTTTTCGAAAACGACCTCTCCCTTTGTGCAATCAATTTGCCCAAAAGCTGAATCAAATTCCATAGCTTTTTATATCAAAATGTAGATGAGATCTTCAGCTTTCGAATGATATATAACACTCATATACATCTGTTCGATATCTTGAGAAATTTACAAAATAGTAAAAACACGCATTCATAACTGGACAACCCAATATTATAGCAGTTCTATAAAATACAAGATCTATCATAGCACACCATCATTTATTAAATTTTTTTTATGTTCAGCACTGATATTTCTAGAGTCCAAAGCGTCATTTGAGACGTTTATCTGAGTTTTTCCACGCACACACGAAAAACGATTGCTCAACATGCTCAAAGGTAAGTCTTCAATAGCTCAATAGCTGAGTCAATAGCTCTAATAAAAATGATCAAATTTTTATTGAAAGTATTCATTATTTTTGTAATTCAGCACCAAGAAGTGAACGATCGCCTTGAACGAGAAGTGCAGTTGAAAAGAGCCGAATTGAGATTGATGGAGGTGGCGATGAATAAGGTCAACTTTACTTTATAATAAGGTATAATATGGTGAACTTTACCCAAGCAATACTTTAGTCAAAGTTCAAAAGAATCTTCTGTTTCCTTTTTCTAAAGCAATTTAGGTGAAAGAAGCCTACATGGACGCCTGTCTAGAGATCGCTCAACTGTAAGTTACCAAAAAATGATTTACGATTAGCTTTTCCATTTTAGTTGTTAGAATTTGGGCTTTCCTGCAGTCCTGGTGAAAAAGTGACTTTAGAATCTTTAAGATCTAAGAATAAACTAATAAGTTTAACAGTTTTCCTTAAACAAAGTGACTGTAACTTTTTCAGAAAGAAAGAAATGACTGAACTAAAAGAAGGCGATCTACATGATTTCCATAGAAACGACGATTCTCCCACTCCCTCATCCACAGTCACTCTCACTAATTCCGATACTGACAGTAGTACTTTGTGATCTAATACTTAATATCATTTTTGATGTACATTTTTGTGATTCTTTGTGATTTTAAAATTCTCAACATATTCCCATCAATTGACCTTGATTTGTACTCTTATGAGTCACCATTTCTCTTCTTTTCCCTGTGTAAATATGTTCAATGTATTTCCGGCAATTTTTCTCAGAACGGGTAGATTAGTTAGTTTGTCGTTTTGTGATTTCTTTTCACATTCCAGATTTTAATTTTTAAACTTTTGTACACTTGTAAAAAGGTATTAAAGTTTTGTCTGTTTCGATTGAAACTTATAAACGATTTGCTCATTCAAAATTGCATGGCTTAAAGTTTCGAAAAAGTTATCTAAACTTCCAACTTTATTTATTGATAGAAGAAAATGGATGGCCGTCTTTTCCCATGCAAATAATCCTTGTTAGACGCACTTTAATCTCATGGTTATATGCTCATTTCCGGTTCATTCAGAACTTTTCCCGGTCTCTTATCAAAAAGCTCTTTGTTATAAAAAGATTTTTGTGAATCGAAAGCGCTTTTCAGTTCAATATTTTCTACAATATGACTGCCGAAACATTGACTACAACAAAAACCCCAGATTATGATCCAAAACGGAACTCGAATTGCATAAACTTTTTACTTCGTGGAATCGATGGAAGATTTAAAAAAGAGAAATCGCTATGTTCTCTAGCTGAGAGTTCTTTATATTCTACTCAAATCACTCTTGGTGAATTCCCATTGTCCACTGATAGAGGGAGAAGAATTGCGGGCATTGTTACAATACTTCTTGGATTGATTGTTGTGGCTTTTGTGATATTGGCAATATGTGAGTTTTTTTTATTCGTAGATTCACAAAGATTACCTCACAAATGAACTTTATTTCAGTCACATCAATCCCTTTATGGGTGACGATTCCATTGGCTTTCGTTTCGTTTCTTTTCTCTGCTTTTGCTGGGCTCATCTACTTTCAAGCACGTGAGTCTTGATCAAAAGGAGTCTTGATCAATATTAATAAATATCAAAAATTGATCTTTTTAGCCGAAATGCAGCACCGCTACGTTCAAATTGATTTAAATTGTAAAAATTGTGAAGATGGACACAAAGTTCTTTACGATGCTATCACAAAACAAAAACGACGTCGATACGGAGTCTACACAAATCCCCTTTGTAAAACTCTTCAAACAACCACAGACAAACGATCCTATGAATTTATTGATAAGGTTTGAAGAATGAGAAATTTACATGGAAATGACCGTTTCAGGCATTCGAGGACATGCGAAGCGAATTGGATATGAACCCGTTGGGCTATAATTGCAAACACTGGGCTGATGAATTGTATATGAAAATTGCGTAGGAGATTCTCTTGACTTGTCGTTAAGCAAACCCGTGAATTAATTGTCTGATAATGAGAAATCATAGCAACTCTTAAAGTCATTATTTTCTTTTTTACCCAATCAATCAGCATCGCTTCTTTCTTTGCAACATATCTCTTGATGCTCTGGAACTTCTTGTGTACATTTCCAAATCATTTATCCTGTCAATGACATATTTCAAATTGTAATCCATATTTACAATGTACTTTTTGTAGGAAACATTTTCCTGAGATTCTTGTGGTCAACGTTGACTCATCAATGATTTCCTTGTAGCTGAGCTTTTGTGATTTTCACTCGTCCAAAATCTCCCCCATAGATATCACCTCGAGATTTCATGAATTGCTGAAAAGTTTCATTAGACAAAGCTCGAAGTTGAATAAAAGTTAAACAAGAACAAGAGACTTAAAACAACAAGAGACAAATGACTTACCGTAACCGATCGAACAGTGAAATTATTCCTCGCCTCATTGATTGCATCACGTTCTTCCTACAAATTTATCACTCTTAATAGTAAGTGTTAGGTTTTAACAAATGCTCGTATTCACTTCACTTACCGGATCGATCCCTTTTCCCGGCTTGGTTCCCTGTGAAAGTGATTGAGCTCTTCGTCTCCCTTGAGACGGCCTTGATAGGGTTCCTTGATTGCTATTATTTGGAGAATGCTAAAAATAATTTCAGACCTAACCTTGCAACCAAAACCGGAAATTAGAGAAATATTATGATTTTACTTTCAAGTAGAAAGGATAGCTGGGTTTAATGTTTAGAATCGATTTCAGAAATCTATCGAGAGTACTAACTAATTTAGATTGACTAATCTAATTAGTAGATTGACGTAGATTGACTAATTCAGAACTAGGGCTAGGTAAGTATAATCAAATGAAATGCACTATTAACTATGACTTTCGAAATTTGACTTTGAAATTTGCCTGGACTCGTGCTGACACCGGAATTGACGGTGATGGTTGTGATTGAGTGGAGGTGGAGGGCTGAATTGTGCAAATCTCATCTTTGGTCTTCTTTTCAGGTGGAGTAGGGTCTTTCTAAAAATGATAGAATATAAAGATGATCAAAGACAATTCTAGAGATCACAGAAATCTGATAGAATTTACAAATGACGAAAAATGCAAGTAACCCACCGTGCACCAGAATCGGAAACACGCAGAAACGAATTCCATTTGAGATTTGGATCAATTGATGAAATAAGTTGTACTTTAAGTATTTTCGTTTCTTGTAACCCAAAAATAGGCAGATACAAGATCGTTTATGCGATTTTTACGAGTTTGTTGTCTATCGTGATCGTCTGTGCTTGTTTGGTGAACAGAAATCGAGAAAGAGAGACTGACAATGAGAGAAAGAAACTTCAATTTCACAACTATCTCTATTTCATCTCCTTTTTTCATCACCTATCACAAAACAGTCAATAGAATTAATCCGATCAAAAGAAGATCATAAAATAACATGGCTGTGTGAAGGACGAACATTTTTCTTCTTTTTCGATTGGGTTGATCGAGATGTGTGATGGGTGAGCGATCATTTTTTGATCCTGCTATTTGCGTGAGTATTGATTGACTAATATAATCAATTAATACTCAATCAATAGTCAATTAATATTGCTGAAGCCGGTTTTCGGGGTACGGATGAAAATTGGGTTGGGTTGGGTCACAGATGGGCACACAAAAGTTGAGGCATTCAACAGCTAATCCAAAAAGAAGCACTGCATCTTGCTCTTTTCCCTTTTATGTTCAGATTCCACATTTGGCGAGTACGATTTGAAGAAACAAAACGCTTCTGTTAGAAAAGAAATCGATGATAGACTAGAATGTGTTCTTGCAGACAGTTTTTAAAAAAGGGAACGCCAAATATAAGCTATCGCAACCATATGCTTTGCATAAGCATAAGCAAACTTTTTAAAATGCAAATGTACATTAAAATTTTGCGCTTTTTTTTGCTACTACTCTTTCCTTAACTTTTTGTTTTTTCAAACAGGTTAAATTGGTAATTCCTATTATTTAGAGTAGAAAACCGTGTGATTGTGAGAGAAAAATGGATGCTTCTCTCAGTAATAGGGTAAATTCTAATCATAGTTGCCTTTACGCTTATAAATCATTTTTAGAGTTTCGCAACTCCTTCGCGTAGACCTAAAATGCCCTCACTAGCCTGGGATTTTATGTCAAAGTATGTAGATGTGAGCAGCAAGAGCAGCAAAAGTGAGCAGCAAAAAGCAGCAGCAGCAAAAAGAGCAGCAAAAAGACTCGAGCACTCGAGCACAGCACTATGCCCCAGAAAAGCAATTGCAAACGATTTTAAAATGCTGTGTAAAATTAAAGAAAACATTTAAAATAGAAAAAGTTAAGAAACGCTATTAAAAACTTGTATTATTTACGAATTTACTAGGCCTATTATCTACATTTGCACTAGGACGATTCAAAAACAAATCCCACTCCCTAAAAAACCTAAAAACCTTAAATAAAACTATCCATTACTACATTTAAAGAAAATTTTGCACATTTTTTCGTCCGGCTTTTTATAACTTTGCTAAAAAAGCGCACCTTTTAGAAAACGCGTTGTCGGAAGTTTGTCGGATCAATTGTCTGACAAAAAATTGTCAATGCAAATTTGTCTGACATTGTCTGACAATTTGTCTGTCAACAAGGAGATAGACTCCTTTCTATGATAGACTCCTTCGTAGAAAATCCATAAGCAAGTTGGGGCGTCAAGAATCCCCAGTAAAGGCTAGACAGAATGCTTGAAGCAAAAGGCGCTGAAAAACTCCTCGTTTCGGCCTATTCCGTAGTGCAGCACCAAAGCAGGGGTCTCTCAGTCGGAGCAATCGGGGTTCGAGTCCGCCAGCGGTCTCTGACTTTTGCGAAAACTGTGATCTTCAGTTAGCCAAGGTGAGCGAGTGATATTGCGTTTCGTTCGAAAAGGATTTCGTTCAAAAAACCATTTGTCACTGAAAAGGTTGAAATTTGCTATTTAAGACTCGTAAAAGAAGTCTGCTATTTAACTCGAAAACTCGTAAAAACTTACCTTTGCTTAACTCAACTTAACGCATAACTTTTCCTAATTCTTGTTAGCATTGCGTTGAGTTCAACAATAGTAAAGTTTCTTTTACGAGTTTTCGTGTTAAATAGCGAATTTCAATTAACAACTTCTTTTCAGTGAACAATAAGAAACCCAAATCTTCAAAATATCTCATTGCAAACTTTACGCAATATTTTGAGAGTTATCCTCTGTCTCGTTGTTGCAAGAGAACACACAAACTTCAAACTAAAGACATAAAAAAGAGGAAAGATCTGCTATCGGGAATTCCATTTTCTTTTTGCTAATGGCTGTCTCGTTTGCGGTTTTCTTCCGGAATTTTTCAGAAAATTGCCACTGTTCAAACGTTTCCAAAAATGTCCAAATTGTTATGACGTAGTGCTCAATGATCTCTTTTGATCTTTCTCTTTTCAGTCTATTCTTTTTCTTCTTTCAATAGACTTTTTGTGCTCTCATTTTCTTCAATATTTTGCTAATCGACTCGTGCTGTTTTCTTTGATTCTTTGATTTTTCATTTATGAAATCATAGACTTGATAAGGCTGAGATTTTTATTGTAACGATTATCAAATGTACAGAAATTAACAATTTCTTTACAGCAATCCTTGCTGTAAATCAAATTTTGTTTGATTTAATTTTAAATTGATCTGTTTTCCCATTCTTTCTACCATTTTTAGAAGATGACCCGATTAATCACAGCTCAAGAGGTGGCCGAGCACAACACAGAGGAATCCGTTTGGTTTATTATTAAGGTAATTTAAAAATTGATTATTCAAATCATTAGTGTTAAAGTAAATTCAGATTTAATGAAGCAATTTTTCAGGGTAAAGTCTACGATGCGACAAAATTCCTTGATGAGCATCCGGGAGGAGCGGAAGTCATGATAGAACAAGCTGGTTTGGTTTGTTCATTTGAAATTTTTATAAAATGATTAAATCTAGATTTACTAGAAAGCAATACTTGTACCAATCTTAGAAATCATGGAAAACAACAGCTTTGACAAACTTGCAATTAGAAAATTCTGTTTTTAAAACTTGTTTCAGGATGCCACGATAGCCTTCAATGATGTCGGACACTCGGCCGATGCTATGGAAATGCTCAATGATTACTATGTAAGTGAAAAGCTAAAAAGCTAACAGTTTTAGGTCTAACTATGCTGTTCTTTTTTCTTTTCAATAACATTAAACCCAATTCAGATTGGTGATCTTAAAAAAGAGGAGAGCTTTGTCGCACCAGCCAAGACAATCCAGCCAACCAAACCAGCAGCAACCTCTCAAAAGAAATTGTTTTTAGTAAGTTTAATCTATGTTTCGGAAACAGAAAACATTTTTGGTCTGAAATTTGAGCCCCATGAGGGGGTGGGTACAATTTTCTGGAATTAAGGGTCCCTTTCCCAAATGACTGAAGCTTATGAAGGGAGGGGTTTTCCAAGAAGAGCACCGCTTTTGAGTATCGACCCAAAAATATGAGCGGGGATCTTTTTGGGTGGTAAAAAGGAGAAGGTTGCGGTAGATTTATGCAGAAAAAAGAAATGGAAGACGAAGTGCAACGAGAATCTTTATGGGATTTAGTTGTACTGGTTAAAGTGATGTCTGAAGAAAGGAGTGTGCAGCGTACAGCAAAATGGGCTTTTACAAATTTGGTGTGTTGTACAATTAATGTAGTGTACTCTTACAATTAATGTAAAATACAATCTAGAATCTATAAACTCCGCGGTTGCCAGAATAACAGTAGAAGTTCATACAAGTTTCCAATGAAATTCTCAAAACTACTACTTTTGTGCATTAATTTCTCTTTTGTTAAACCAATATCTTAATTTCTAATGAAATCCGATTTTCAGGCAATTCCACCCCGTGTCTGGGACATCGTCATTCCAACTTCTATCGGTGTGTGTCTCTTCTTTGCTTATAAACGCCTCATACAATTCCAACAAATTAAATAAATTTTAAGCATTTACCGAATAAATACATTAATTAATAATAAAAGCTCAATTCTATGGGAAAGGTTTTACAATTAAAATGATACAAACAACGATATCACAATTTACGATTTTAAATTGAAACGAAAAAATAGTGAATTTCAGGAGAAATGGAATTTTTGTGCACCAGTAAAGAACAAAAAAGACTAACCATTTGAATTTTCTTGGTGAAATGAGGGCAATCAATGCCAGCAATGAACTTTGGAAGAAATTTGGCAGATACGGTAAAAATTATGTGTTAGTTAGAAATTCAGCAAGTTTGCAAGCATTACTTTTAGCTGAATATTCTATAACTAACACCTTTGCAGCTAAATACAGTTAAGTTGAGGATGTGTGATCTATTTGGTAAACCCGTTTCGTTCATCGCTGACTTTTTGAATGCTGGATGAGCCACTGTAAAGTAATGTCGATGTTCTCCTTTTCTTTGCACGAGATCGAATAGCAGCAGATTTCTCGGTTTTGAATTGCGGAGAGATTCCTAAAATTGAATTTATAGCACTAAACTTGTTTGGCGCAGACTTACATTCGTTCAATGAGTTGAAGCTCGTCGAGTGAGCCAGGCAGATCTTTCTTGTTTCCAAGCACCAAAACGGGGATTCCATCCAGTTGAGGTTTATCGAGAAGTTGCATCAACTCGTTGCGGGAAGCCTGAAAGAATTGTTTTTGTTTGGATTTGGCTAGGCCTTTACTGTTGTCAATGTTAGAATGACGTACTAGATAAGTTAGAAGCATAACTTCAAAGATTACTAGAAGCATCGTTTCAAAAAGTGACTCACTAAACTTAAGTCCTCTTGTGATCATACCTCAAGTTTGTCCTCATCAGCAGCGTCAACCATGAAAACGATAGCATTCACTCCTCGACAATATCGCTCCCACATTGAACGAAAACGTGGCTGACCACCGATATCCCAGAGCTAAAAAGTTACACAAATTTCCTTGGAGATCTCTAGAGTTTTTTTCTGGGTAAGACTTATCTCCAAGTCAGTCACCTAGTGCATTTGATTCTATGACGCAATTCAATGAGTTACCGAACACCAGTTACTAATGTTATACTAATATTATACTAATAGTTACTAATAGTACTAATGTTCACATTTTGATTTTACAGACTCATTTAGAAAAGCTTGGTAAACTTCACAAACCTTTATCGTCACATTTCCTTTTGTGATCTTGCGCATGTTGAAGCCGACCGTGGGAATCATATCTTCGGTGAATTGACCACTCTGAAACATTTGTTCAACATTGTTTTCATTCACTTTTAACTTACAGCGATCACGTTGACAAAAGTGGTTTTTCCAGAATTCTGAAGTCCAACGAGAGTGAGCTGAAAGAAAGTTTTTAGTTGTATCGTGTTCACAGAGCACAAAAACCTCCATTTCTTCCTTCCAGAAAAGGCTCCGAAACCAGTCGAGAACTCGATTTAACATGGCCAACATCTTGAATCAGTATGAACTGGAATTTGGGATTCTTTCTTCTAAAATGGATAAGGACAGCCAAAAACAAGGTTCAGGTAGGTCCATTCTGAGTCTCAATTGCACAAAGAATTCTATCAAAAAGTCAGTTGTTTGTATAAAATCCGTAAATGTTAGCTTAGCTTTAGATTTCCAAAGACAATAGGGTTACTAATTGTTGTTATGAAAACCCCCATGAATCATTTGTGTTTGCTCACGGATTTAAGTTCATGTATCAAAACTTTGATAGAACAAGATGCTCTTATCGATCGAAAGCCAAAGTCTAGAATTTCTCAAAAGAAATTAACAACGAATTAGGATTCAAAGTGTGCAATAGCGAAAAAACCAGATAAAGATTGAGCAAGGGAAAAAAGTGTGGACTGTTTACTCGTTAAAATGACTCAGTCGGCGGCTCCTTCTTTTTGACCAAACAGATCTTTTCGATTTCCTACGAGAGGCTACAAAATGCAAGAATTCCCCGGCGTTGCGTGTTTCCACCGCGTTTTCGATCAACCTTTTCGTTGCGGGGTTTCGAATTTTTACGTGAACGCCCCAATCCAAAGATCCCTCCCCGCCATTGGCAACTTTGAAAATTGATTTCTACCTCATTTCTAAACAATTGCTGATGAAATCCTTCTCTGATCCTTCATTTCTCTTAACGTAGAGATTTATAAACGTAAAATTGAAAAAGATCGTTTAAGATTTGGAAGAAAAATGAAGAAAATAAAAATTTGTAAAGCATTAATGTACGTTAACTAGCGTTTAAATTTATAAATTGACAAAATGAAGATATTCAGCTTAGTCAATACCTAAAAGGCCTAAAATACTCAATTATTTAACGACAGAAAACAAAATAGCTTTTTTTTCCCGCACGCATCACGTCTTTACTTTCAAATTAGATTCTAGTCAATTGCTGATTGGGCTGATGAGGGTTTTTGTCAGTACACGGAAAAAAAATCAATTGAAACTGGGCAAATGAGCAATATGTGTGAATCACCCCCATAGAGCCTGTCACTAGACCTTGTTGTTGTTGTTTTTAACACCTATCCAAAAACTTAGGGCCTTACTTCTATGTCGTACTTTACTTTCCTTTAACTTCTCATGTTATTTACTTTGAAAAATTTCTATAACTTTCTTTATTTAGAACTGCAGTCGAGCATCTCGTGCACAGTGGTTTATGAGCGGGCATATCTCGTGAGAAATCGAAATCGTCTCTTTTTGCATCAGGCCGTCCAAAAGGTAACCTTTTTATATTTGAGGCGTTTGGTAGGATTTGTTTTGGTAGCAAAGGTCAATTTGTAGGCTAAACTGGGTTGTTTGTGGTTAAGCAACATTTGTCTTTCGCTTAAATCGTTTTAAAGACTGCATGTTTGAAGCATCAAGCATTCGTACTTTTAAGTGTGAGGCGAAATTTTTAAGATATTTATCCGCACAGTGCTTTTAAGCCATGTAGAGTTGCGTTTAAAAAATATGGCAAGAATGAATAATGCTACTAAAAATTATTTGTCGAGTGACAAGTTTATGCGATCTAGTTAGTTATGGAACTATCTCTTAAAAACTCTTTACATTGTATATTTTAGGCTTCCGTGTGGAATCATGATCGCCGAAACAGTTCTCTCTGTCTCGGACTTGGACAACGCTCTTCGGCTCTCTCATCCGGCCCCACTGTCACCTGCTGACATCAAGAACAGTCTAAAAGAACGACTTCTACCCATGCTGCCCTCGGTGAACCAATACATTTCGACAAGTCCCCAATCGTCCACAAAGTCCACTGAGAGCGACAAGAAAAGGTTCTTGGCGGAGAAAATCAATCGCACTCGGGAGCATTCTTCTCTACAATTCTTTATTCCAAGTATTGAATCTCTGACGGGGAGTGGAATTGCGATGCACTTGCGACGATGGCACAAGAGAGGCTCAACAAAGCTGATATCAGAGCCTGTGCAGAGGGTGGTTTTTGGTGGAGATAAACCGACACCGGAGTGCAGCAAGGACGAAAAGCCTCTCGGCTTACTCAGTCAATCCGGAACTGTGGGATTCAACCAACAATCGATCTGTCAAGACATTTTGGACCCAGATGCCACTGACATTTCGGATTTTGAATGCGAAGAAGAGAGCAATGACATGTTTCGACATAATTCTGATTGGCTAATCCTGCAAGCTCAACTACAACGAGTTGACATGCTATTAGAGGAGGAGCAACAAGCCAAGGCCGATTGTCTTCGTCATTGCTTACAGGATGACACCACCGAAACTGTTCGAGCGTTTGATGAAATAAAAGCATCATTGTCGACACAAGAAATTGAAGGATGTTCACGGACGACGCCTTGGCCAATGTCGGACTACCGCCCCACAGTTGTTCGAGTGGGAAAATTGGAGAAGTCCTGCATGAGAAGCAAAGATCTACCTGAAGTGGTGACATCAAATTGGACTTCTCGCTTTGCAGCTGTTGATAATCGCGTTCATGAACGACTGACCTTCAATCTGGATGAAGTTCCAATGGATCGAGTGGCCGAGTCTTTTCTTCACGAGTTTTCCTGTGTTCCTTCAACTTTCAAACGCTTCCGAGCTGACAAAGGGTACTGGAAGAATCTGAATCTGATGAAAGAAGAAGCTCGGCGATGTTGTGCAAACCAGGAAAGCCTCGAGTTGAAGACCTTGAGCAAGAAAAGAGGACGTCCAATAAACGGTGCCAAACCACACAAGGAAGAGCCTTTCCTTCCAATCATAAGCGAGTCTTCATCGAATGAAAGTGATTGGGAGGAACATGGAAGTGACAGTGGCGACGACTTTGTGATCAGCGAGAGAAGACGACAAAAGAGAGGCAAATATCGAAAGTTAAAGAAGGATCAAGATCCCCAATCGATAAAGAACTCTCGTCACAACTCGATGTCACTTCAACGTCGATATGACATTGACGATGTGGTGATGGACTATGGTGCTGATTTTGGTATCTCTGGATTACCACAAAAGATTGAATACAAGGAGATAGCCATTCCCGGCTTTAGACCAAACGATCAGCAAGGAATTCTCAAAAAACTCGAAGAAAGTTTGTCAAAGAAATGTCTGGATGACGTCGAAATACAATATCGATCAATGCTTTCACAATTGCACTTGACCCAACTGGAGAAGGAGCGGTCAATGTGTGGCAAGAAGGCTAGACATCAAGCTTTGGCCGCTGGAGACGGAGCCGACGGAGCTGACATAAATCTAGACGGAAGTCGGAGTTTGATCAAGGCTCAATTATCTGAAACCCCCTCTATTGCACCACCATATCCACCGCGAAAATTTTCCTAGTTATTATCTAATTTGTAAATAGGTTTTAGAATTTGACCGGTTTGTTGTTGAAATTTTTGTTTTCTTTGATATTATTATTTTCGTTTGTTAGCAAATAAATTTATTCGTTTTGGGAATCTAATCTAGAAAAGCGATCAAATTCGTCGATATCTTTTCAAACTGTAGTGTCTGTTTTTGCTTATGACTACGTGTGGATACGGGAGCTTACGCTGATTTTCTTTTTTTAGTGTCCGCCAGCTCGTGGATGAGCGGCCAAAGTTTGGTGCAACAACAGCTTCGCGAAGACTGGGACAACCGAGAATACGAACAAGTGATTGCAGATCAGATCAAGAGCATCGCCAATTTTTTATCGAGTTTTGGTGAGCACCATTTTACAAGTAACTTTGATCTTTTTTCCAGATTTGTCTTGCAGAACAAAACTAGCAACACTTGCTGACAAGATCAACCTTTTGGAGAAGAAAGTCGAATTTCTAGAAGCTCGGGTGAGTTTAAGTATTCAGTTAAAAAACTAAAGTCTATCTACATTTAACCAAAATCTTCGCTCATCTTGTTAACTTTTGTAAGAGCGTTGTTACACTAAAGTCTTGACCTTTGCCATAAAAGTTAAGCCTTTAGTAAGGTGCTAATGGTTTAGTCATTAAAATAATGATGGTTCGTTAAAGATTTACATAAATTTTAGGTTTCGAAAGGCGACACTTTGAACTAACGACAAAATGGCTCAGGCAGGAAAACTTGTCAAAGCTACCGGAGAAATTGCCGCCCGTCAGGTATAGCTAGTTTTTAACAAACACCAAAATTTCTTTTTTAAGGTAACTGCCGTGAAATCGACTAACAAGGAGCAGGCTCGCACATCCGTCCTCCAAGTCTACAAGGAGATGTGGGAATTTGACTTTGAAATATTCTCAAAGTTGCTGAACTAACCGAGATTATAACAGCTAAAATTTTGGTGTTATTGTATTCTTGAAAGAGATCCGGCCCTTGGTTATATGCGTTATTAACTACAAAGCTTTGTTACATGGAAGACATTAGCTCGTAGTCTTCAGTATATTTGCAAGGAGCTACATTTATTATCGTTTAGGTAATATTGATTGTCACTGAAAGTCTAAAACAATGAATAAGCAAAATCTGACTTTAAGATGCTGTTTACCGCCCACTTTTAGGCAGCGACTCACTCCCCAATTTTGGTGGGATTTCGAAATGAACGACATGCCGTTGCCTGTCTTCCGTGCCGTGATTAAGCAGCAATTTACGAAAAGCGCCCATGTTCAAGACATTCGCATTATTGATCGTCTAGTGGCCGAGACGCATCAGGTACGCATGAAGTTTCCTTTTTCTTATTTTTCGTATTTAGCACATGTACGCGATTCGCTATGCCTTCTACAATCCGGATCACGTGCGCAACTACTTGTTCCATGAGAATGTCGAACCGAAACCAAAAGACTTCTTGAGCAAGTTCCTCTCTGGAAAGGATTAAGACTTTCAACGAAATTTTTTTATTTTTAGCTTCCAGTTCAGAGTCTTTATTAAGTCTAATTGCAAAAAAAATTTGCTCAATGAATTAGGTAAATGTATAAATGTTCATAGTTCTGTCAATAAAAAAAGATTGCTTTTAGTGAAAGTTATTTTTGGAGTTACACCATTTAGGAAAGCCTTTCCACGACTACGCAGTTTCAGAAAACATGTTTGGGTTAGAAAAGTCGTGAAGCTCAGCGGTTTCTTTGTTTTGGGCGAAGTGTGTAAATGTTTCTTTTATCGATTTTGTAGTCTACTAATTAAAAGGGGCTCGAGTGTGGTGGGCATAGCGCTCTGTCTCCTCAATTTGGACGTTCCTGTTCGCCCATGGAAAGAGCCCCCCCCCCCCCCTTATGGAGAGGCGCCTTTCTTTCTCTTCAACCTTCTCTTCGCGTGTGCGTGCATCGATCCATTCGCCTTTTTCCTCTTGCTGTCCTCGTTTGCGGGCTCTGGTCATCTCGTTCACCCCTAACCCATTTTTGGAAATACGTAGTCGATATTTAGAAGGGTCTAGTCGAATTGACGACTCTTTTCCCACGTAAATTGATCGAGGGATTGATTTTAATTTTCATTTGGTATTTTGTTTGGTCAGCTGCTTAGAAGTTGTAGTTTCGCAACGCGAGGCTTCGGATCTTTTGTTTTCGAGGTTTTTCAATCGATTGAATAAATATTTAGCTATTTTTCTTGTTTATGAATTTATGGTTTAAAGCCATTTTATCTTTACATTTTAACCTTGCAATTTCATGTTGTGAGATGTGTCGAATGATTGCATATACTGTTTTAGGGTGTGAAGCGTTACTTACTTCGATCATGGATGAGGAATATGATGCGATCGTGCTTGGAACCGGTCTTAAGGTATTAGGCTAACTTTGCTTTTAATATTTTAAAATAAAGAGAACCTCATAGGCAATAATTGAAGTTGAACTTCGGTGCTTTGACGGTAGCTTTAATTGTATTTTCTTGATATTATCTTATATATTTTTTTTTCTTGCAGGAATGTGTCATCTCTGGAATGCTCTCCGTAAGCGGGAAGAAGGTTCTCCACATTGATCGCAACAACTATTACGGTGGTGAGAGCGCTTCATTGACACCACTCGAACAACTCTACGAGAAGTTCCATGGTATTCTATTTGTTGAAAAGGAAAATTGTTTTTTGTTTCCTTAGGAGCAAACGCCAAGCCACCAACCGAGATGGGGCGTGGACGTGATTGGAATGTCGATTTGATTCCCAAGTTTTTGATGGCCAATGGATCTCTCGTGAAACTTCTGATTCACACCGGTGTCACCCGCTACTTGGAGTTCAAATCCATTGAGGGAAGCTATGTCTATCGTGGAGGAAAGGTGATTCATTTAACGAAAATTAAACTTTCTAAAACTGACTTTTTTGGGGCCGAAGTTTAGCTTTGAATTTAGATCTACAAAGTGCCTGCTGACGAAATGGAAGCCCTTGCGACTAGTTTGATGGGAATGTTTGAAAAACGCCGATTCAAGGTAATAACTCAAATCCTTTTTGTGTTTACTTTTGAGTCTAGAAATTCCTCGTCTGGGTTCAACAATTCGATCAAAACAAGCCGGATACTTGGCAAGGACTTGATCCCAATGTGCACACAATGCAACAAGTTTACGAAAAGTTTGGACTTGATGAAAATACGGCTGATTTTACCGGGCACGCTTTGGCTCTCTACCGTGATGATAAGTGAGTTTAATAAATTTCATTTATTCTTCATCAAAACATTCTTGTTTAGTTACAAGGCACAGACATTTGCTCCATCGGTTGAGAAGATTCGCCTTTATTCGGATTCGCTTGCCCGTTATGGAAAGTCGCCGTATTTGTATCCACTGTATGGACTTGGAGAGCTTCCTCAGGTATTGAAGGCCATTATTTGAAAGTCACTATTTTGCTTTGTAGGGTTTTGCTCGTCTCTCCGCTATTTATGGTGGCACTTACATGCTGGACAAGCAAGTGGACAACATCGTGTATGAGAATGGGAAAGCTATTGGAGTGAAATGCGGTGACGATATTGTGAAGGGAAAACAGGTGATTAGATTATCTCAAATCACATCAAGCGTTCATTTAGATTTACTGCGATCCATCGTATGCTCCCGATAAAGTGAAGAAGGTCGGCCAAGTGGTGCGAGCCATTTGCTTGCTCAATCATCCAATTCCAAATACAAATGATGCTCAAAGTTGCCAAATCATCATTCCACAGAAGCAAGTTGGGCGTCACTATGGTATACTTATCTTGAATTACGCTATTATGATGTTGATTCAGATATCTATATTTCTCTGGTCTCCAACACGAACATGGTAACCCCGAAGGGATGGTTCATCGCAATGGTCTCAACCACGGTTGAAACTGGAAACCCAGAAGCTGAAATTATTCCGGGACTTACTCTCCTTGGCGCCATTACCGAAAAGTAAGATTTTCTTTAATATGAATGCCTAACTCTGTCGCGCTTTAGGTTTATCAGCGTCTCTGATGTGTTTGAACCTGTCGATCATGGGGCTGAGTCACAGGTTAGTTTCACATGTTTTTGAAATGGTTACTTTTTGAAAATCGCCAAATACTATATTTATATTTTAGGTGTTTATTTCATGCTCGTACGATCCAACTTCTCACTTCGAGTCTACTTGTCGAGATGTGCTTGAAGTGTTCCAGCGCGGAACCACCACAGAATTTGGTAATGCTTTAACAAGTCAAGCTTTGATTGTTTCTTGAGAAATTGACTTACGTATCATTTTTAGACTTCACCAAGATCACTCATCTCTCCTTGGAGGACAATGAATAAGAAGAGAAACAACAAAAATGAATTGAGGTCGGCTTTGCATTCCATTGAGCCTATTTATTATTGAAAGTATTTGTGCATCTTCCGATTTAAGTGGTCATTAATTTATCCTATCCTTTGTCATCACCAAGTCCTTTTAGTGTGATAAACGATGCTTTTACTATTCATAATTCATCGCGCTCCGGTAGTTCAGATGGTTTTTTGAGCCCATTGAGCTTGTGTGATTTTCATCTTAAACTGTTCATTTTTTGGTTTTCCAAACAACTCCCAGTAATTTTATTCTTGTTCTATTTTTTCTCTTTATTGAGATTGGATAGTTGTGGTTATCCGATTGAATTTCCACTTCAATCCATCAGTTATCGCGATGAAATGTGTTCTTTTCATTTATACGTGACTATCTTTCTGTATCATCTTGTAATTCAAGCTTCGCAGTAAATCTTTTGTATTTGTGGTGAAGAGTGGAGAGACATCTGTAAACAAAATTTTATAGCCACGGACAGGCTTTATCTTTTCTCGACTAATCGATTTATTTTGAGGACGGGAAATTGAACAAAAAGGCGCTAAAATATTCAAAGACTTTCTGTCAAAAGCAAACCATTATAAAATATGTATTAGCTGAAATTCTAGTTCTCTCCTAAGCACAAATTTTCCGTTTGGGTATTGTTAGTTTAGAATGAAATGCGGGTTATTTCGGAGATTTTGCTAATATTCCTATGCTCTTCCCAGTTGTTGGCGATTCGAGAGGAGTACAAGGATCTATTTCCCGAATTCGCTGAATATTTTATCACAGGAAATAAACGGTTGCACACTGTCTGTCGGAAAGATCCAGAGTGTCCTGTAAAGGTAATTGTTTATTTCAAACGGATTTCATTTTACTTGCAGAATGACGAGCTCAAATCGGGAAAATGTTTGGGATTTGAGGTGGATTGTGCGAGAAAATTGAGCTATTCAGCCAATCGGACGGCATTCACGCCACCTAAACCCGGAGAAAATTGGTTTGTTATTGGGAAATGGATCAGTATTGGGATTTGTACTAGTTGCTAAAGAATTTTGTTGGTTCAAGGCCACATGAACAAGAACACAGAAGAAATGAACAATGTACTCATTTGACTTTCAAACATTTCAAATATCATGCAAATTTCAGGAATGGAGACGAGAAATGGCAACGGGACAATTTCTATCAACGAGGCGATTTTGGATATGTAAAAGAAAGGAGCATTTTGCATGAGATTTGCACGGCAGAAAATGAGGTATTATAAAAGAATTCAACTTGAAGCGACACTTCTTTCAGGAGCAAACCGTTTTACATTGCTCGGACAACCTACGACACTGCTGGGCAAAGAATATTTTCTTTGATTTCAAGAATTTGAAAGTTCAAACAAGTACGAGGTACAGCTATTTTTTTCAAATTTTGAACACTTCCTGTTTTAAGATATCGAGAAGACGTGATTCAAAAGGGACAATCGGGCGGGAATTGTGGTCGATTCTATCATGACATCATTAGAAACAATATGGAACATTTAGGATATTTGCAGAGCTGGTTTAGTATCAACAAGTAATACTGAAAACTCAAATACAGGGCTCACGAGCTTCAACATTTCACAAGTGATCCAGAGTTTCGGGTCGATCCTGCACACTGTGACATCATCTTTGAAAGACCTACCGGTTTAACGAAAAAAAAATAACTTTACTCTATAAATATTTAGTCATAATAAAATTGGATGCTTCCGTTAACATGTTCCATCATTTTTGCGACTTTGTCAATCTATTTGCATCACAAATGATCAATGGATCATTCACAAGGGAAATTGATGTGCTTTGGTGGGATACGGTAAGATATTTTAGGTTGCTTTAAAGTAGAACAATTATATGAAAATATTTAGAAAGAAGCTACCGTATTTCTTCTAATAAATGCCCCCCCCCCTCGACCAACTTTAGACGTCTCGTTCTCAACCCCATTTTGAGATATTTTTATGTTGAATATATCAAAATGGGGTTGAGAACGAGACGTCTAAACTTGGTCGAGGGGGGACGTTTATTAGAAGAAATACGGTAGGTTAATTTGTGAATTTTAGGATCGCTATGGGTTCATCGATAACCTTTTTGGTGCCACATGGAAGGCTTTCAGCAATCGGAAACCCGTCGAGTTGATCTCACTTGATCAAAAGAAGGTAAAAAAAGACAGAAGATTTAAAAATTATCTTTTCAGGTTTGCTTCAAAAATGCTCTTCTCCCTTTGCTGGCTCGACAGAGATTCGGTCTATTTTACAATACACCTGTGGTAAGTGGACTAGATTCAAAATATAGCTCTAGTTCTTATTTTAAACAAAATAATTGAACATACTGCTATGTGCAGATCCCCACTGCAATCCCAATCAATTCAGGTACGTGGTTGCTCTGGATCGGGCCTATTTCATGCTTTCTCGCATCATATTTTGAATCGACTCGAAATTCCACAAAATGGGCCAATGCTTTGGAAAAGTGTGATAATAATGTTAACTGTAACCATTTCCTTTTTTTAGATTCGTATCACGTTTCTGGTAAGAAGTACAAGTCATCGGCGTGTCCTCAATCAAGATGAGGTGAGTATTTGAAAATTTATTTGAACAAAAGAAAATGGCAAAGGAATTTGAAAGAAATGGAACCCGTAAAAGAAAAGTTTTTGGGAAATTAAAACGATTGGAAGTTAACATTGGAAGTTAAACAATGTGAGTTCGGGTGCCGCTCGTTTGAACGCCAATCGAGGCAGCATCGAGAGAGTCATCGTCTACATCACGCACGTGTCTCACCTCGATTGGAACAAGGATTTTCTAGATTTTTATTAGTTAGTTAGTTAGTTAGATAGTTAATTTAGTCCACTTTCATAAAATTTAGCTTAACTATGAAAATGTTTGGGAATTTAGCTCACCTGATGTCCCATTTGTGGTTCGGTCATGAAATAAGCTCTCGTCACTTTATTCTCATTGAGTTCTTTCAAGTTACGAATGAGTAAGATTGCACAAACCAGAGAGACAACTCCTGGAGAACAATATTTGTGATCAAACTGAGATCTGTTACCATGTATTGGTGCAAAGATCATGTGTAGACTGTACATGGCTATTCTTGTTGAGGCGACGATTCGATTTGGACGATGACCCAATCGATCGATATATTTGTCTTCCTAGAAAGATGAGATGTTAACGTTGAATCAAATCTGTTTGCACTATTCAATTTGAAATCTTTTACCCTTTTGATCACCTGGTTTATCAAGTAAGCACAATAGAAGAAAAGTGCCACACTTTCGATAAATGACAAAGCTGCGGCGATACAAGAAACGTACTAAAAATGTAGAGTTATTATGGATAAAAGTATTCTACCAGCATTCCTCTTGTTGGCCAATATTTTTGGAAAGAGAATATGATGAGTGTGTTGATGAAAAGAATACCGGCAACAATCGGGATGATATAAAATGGACAACCATCATAGAAGACACAAATCACTGAGAATATTAACTAGAAATTGGGAGATTGAGAAGAATGTATTAGCGATTGTTACCAGTTGAATAGCTGAGGCAAACATGATGAGTGTGAGAATGAGAAGTGAACGGGGGTGAGTGAACAGGACTTGATCAGTAATCACTTGCTCAATCTGGAATTCGAGTGATAATTGATCATTAGAGTGACCGAAGCTGGCTACGGTTATAACAAAAATTTACATGATATGACTGTGTCATATTCGTTGCTCGAGATCCATTACTTCCATACATTGGATTGATTGCGTGAATGTTGAGACCACGAACTGAAATCTCGAATGAAATTGATCAGAAATGTTCCCAATCGATCTTCACCGCTTTGTTTTCACCATTTTGATGAGTTCTTTTCTTTTCAAAAGTCATTGAAGGAACGATTATCGTTTCTTGAAAAGAGGCAACTGTTTGGGGCTAAAAAAACTAGACCACAGGGGAAATCGGCTATTGAATGACGAATTGAATCCACTTTGGATTGAGTGAGCAATTCGAACACATCGGGGACTTTGTTTTTAGAGCTTGGTGTGGAATGAATGGTTTTAATCGGCTAGCTGGAAAAATACTGGCTGATTGTGAGCTCATAAAGCAATATGGTAATGGAAATTCGTTTACCTGTGCTTTTCGTTGTTATACTGTCATCACTGCATGTGGTCATCGAATCTGAGCGTTTCATATCGGATGTATCGAGACCGAAAGTGTCCCGATAATAGACAATCGGTGGATAGGAGGGCATTGTCTAAATGAAAAATAGGCTTGCAAGAATTTGAATGCTTGTTGAAGAAGAAAAAAAAGGTTGAAGCATAAAAAAGACCAAGGAAATTTTGAGAGATTGAGCTTTATGGGATATGGTCAATTTTTGATAACTGAAGCTTTTCTGAAACTGCTTTCTACTAGCTTTCTACGTTTTCTACGCGAAACTGCTTTCTATTAGGTTTATGGAAAATGAGAAATGGACTACTTATCAGACAAAATTTGTCAATGTATAGCAGTAAAGAACAGATGAAGGAAGCTCTTGATCTGTTTCAGCTCTACTAGCTCTACTTGATCTGTTTCATTACCGTTATATTAGGTTGGTGAATAAGTCCTTTCATTTCTTTTCATATTTCCTTTAAAAAATAACAAATTTACCAATTAATCTATGGTTTCCTCTAAATAAAAAGTGTTTATTGATCAATTTCTCAATCTTTTAAAGTCAATTTGGGCTCACTTTCAAGCAAATTCGAGAGTGAAAACACGTGTTTTTTGATAAAAATCTATAAAAACCTCTAAGAAGAAATTGGCTAAATGAATTTCTCTGAAAATTTGGCAATATATCTAACTTTTTATGCTCTATCTTTTATCTATTGACATCAAGATAGATTTCCTTAGTGAAAGTGTCTAAACAGCATCATCACCCTTTTTGACTACCCGACTTCACACTCCCGCAAAAATCCAATCATAAGACATTTAAAACCCGTTTTAATGTTGTTTTGTAGAAAAATAATTAGCCTTTCTAATGAAAAAAACCGTAGTTTAATTGGTGCATTTGTTGGTTTTAAACGGAATTACGAAAAGGAACAAAAAGACTTATTCTCCAAACCCAATAACTTTACCGAACTTTTAACTGGCTACTTTACTTTTCGTTGCAACTTTACGTATTTTAAAATTGATCGTTATCCGTTCTTTTTGTCCCCCATTCTTTTACTTTGTTGTTCTTTTCTTCGAGTTCATCTTGTACTTCTGCTGATCAAAAGGGACTTCTCCACTTAAAGCCCCCTTCAAAACCAATTATCCCATCAGATATAAAAAATGTAGTTGAAAGTCGGAAAGAAAAATGAAATGAATTGCTAATCCATTTAATAAAGAAAATCTTGCAATTTCCCCATGTTATTTTTGCCTACGCTCACTGCGGATCACCGGATTTCGGCATTTAAGAGATGGAGGGATCTTTCTTTTTAAAAAAAAAATAAATTCACAATCACTTAGGATGGATGGAATGTGAGGATTAGGATTGGAAGAAAAACTTTCCCTAAAAAAGTTGCTGAAAACGAGAAATTACGTAAAATCAAAATCCATCAAAAGAAATGGCTAAAGATTAGCAGAAAAGTCGTCAAAATGATTAGAATTATCGGGTTTCTTGATTCGAAAGTTCGCAAAACAAAGAAAAATGTAGAAATAGCGTGATTCTCAAACGCAAATTTGTTTTGGATAGATTGTCTGGTGTCGTTACAATCTGAAACTTATTGTTAGACTCAAAAAGAATCTAATTTTAAATAGTTTCTTATAGCTAAAATCCGTCAATAAGCTCATTGTGAGTAGAAAAAGCTATTGTTCAGCATTACAGCTTGAGGAGGATTTCAGAAAAAAGAAAAGATATCCAAGTAACACGCATGGGAGATCCAGTTTCTTCACACTTCTCAAAAATAAAGACAAAAGAAATGCGAAAGGGTTTTTGACTTTTTATTCAAAAGGTTTGATTTAGGTAATGCAGAAAGCCCAAATGGTGAATCAAGCTTTAGAATGACTCTTTGTGGCAATAAGAACAAAGTTTCATGATAAGGTTAGCTGAAAGGTTAAGATGCTGCAGTCAAAAAGGCTTTCACTCAAAGGCGCTAGCAAAGGAAACAAAAAAATACGAAAACACAAAGCCCGGAAGTGAGTGCTTGTACATAGTGAGTGTGGAAAGATGCGGAAAGCATGAGAGATTGAGCAAAAGAAAAAAAGAAGCTTTTCATTGCGATTTCTCCACTCATTCATACCTTGTCAACGTTTGTTCGATAGGGCACAGGAGCCGCCATTGGAAAGAAAGGCTTTGAAGAAAGCTTTGAAGGAGGAAAGGAGAATGAGAATGAGCAAGAGGGTGTAATGGATGGAAAGAATGGGAAAGGAGACCCATCCATGAGCTGTCTTTTCGAGTTTTTTGGGGGAAATCTTTTGAGACACTTCGTCTCACCTAATCATTGAAACCAGATGGGACGAAAAGGAACAGTTAAACAAAGGATTTGACAAAACCGATAGTGAATAGAAGCATGATAATGGAGTGGACAGCTTGAGGCTTTAAGACAGTTAAACACGTCAATGAATTCAGTTATCATAGACTAATTGACTTGCCTATTGTCTGAAACTTATTGTTTAGATTTTTAGCAATCCGTACATCTTGTTTTATTAGTTATCTAGATAGTTTGTTCGCCTGGGGGGGGGGGGGGGGGGGGGGGAGAGGGGAGGGGGGGGGCAAAAAAAAAAAAAAAAATTATTTTTTTATTATTTTTTTTTTTTTTTTTTCTTTTTTTTTTTTTTTTTTTTTTTTTTTTTTAAATTTTAAAAAAAAAAAAAAAAATTTTTAAAAATTTCCTTTTTTTTAATTTTAAAAAAAATTTTTTTTTTTTTTTTTCTTTTTTTTTTTTTTTTTTTTTTTTTTTCATCCCCCTAGGGGGGGGGCCCCCCCCTTGGGGGGGGGGGTGGGGGGGGGGGAAAAAAAAAAAGGGGGGGCCAAAAAAAAAAAAAAAAAATAACTGTTCCTTTATTGTGCTTTTATAAAAGTAGCTTTGGTATTAAAATATTTAGAGAGGTAGTTGTCTGTTATCCTTCCTAGCATTCTCTCTATTGTATCTAGCAATTCTAAATTCTATAGAATTCATTGTCTAACCTGGATCTATAATAGATTGTGTGTATCTACTCTACTTGGAGTGTGTAATGGGTGAGAGCAAATCCCAAGCCATGAGATCTTTTGCTGATTTTTTTGGATCTCTCCCTTTCTCTTTCCAATCTCTTCTCTCAAGAAGGGCATCTGTCTTTTGAAGGGAAAACGACTGCACCTCAGACTCATTTTATGTGAATCTCTTTTCTTTCCATAAGATTTAAACACCATTAAGCCATCTCCAAATCTAATTTGTCCTCGATATCTCAATACGTCGATAACAAATCCTCGGTAAGATTTTTGAAATCGAACCGTTGAACAAGCGAAGAAGATTTCAAATCGTAGAAAACCAAAAAAACAAAAATTCTATTCTTAATTTTTGACCCCCACTTGTCCTCTACGATCGAGTCACGTTTATTCAGCAGAATTTTCAATCTCGTGAATGAAAACATGCCAAATCCTTCAAACTTGTAGCCGTTGTTGCTAAAATTTGAAAATTCTCGGATGGTTAATCCGATTTGAGTCATACAAATGTGGTTACGGTCCAGTTGAATCAAATTAGATTTGGAGATTTGAAATGAGCAAAGCAGAGAGATCGAAGAAAAATTTGAATGTAGTTTTGGAGAAATTAGGCTTCAGGCAAGGGATCAAGGAGTGCTTGTCACGTGCTGTGATTGAATGAGTAAGCCAATTGATACAATTAGATTAACGAAAGAATGATCAGCTTGTTCGATTGAAAATTCTCTTAGTGGTGATCTCGGGTTGGTTGGCTTTTTGATGAATCGACGACACGCAAGAAAAGTGTTTGTTACACACACTCCAGCCGAGCAACAAGTGTTTCCATGATATTTGGGAAAGGGTGTTAAGGAGGAAAAAGGTCTACACAGAATGTGAATGTGAATTTATTGTAGAGAAATCGATGACAAAGAAATAAATCTCGGAAACAAGTACAAAATTGACATTAGATTCGCTAAATCTTGCTTAAAAAGCCTTTTAGCTTCTGGAAGCGATGAAAGAGCTGCCGAATGTTGAAGTGCAAATGGTGGACTATACTTGGTGATTGTTTTAAGGACAAATGTCAAATGAAAATTTGATTTGATTCAATTTGAAAATTTCAGGAAGCTTCCATTCTTGCAACAATTGCAGCTCACTCACAACTCGGATATTTTCATGTCAATTCACGGCTCTGGACTCACCCATTTGCTCTTTTTGCCCGATTGGGCTGCCGTTTTTGAAATGTGGGTTCTCAATGCTGAATTCTTATTGTTTTCTGTTAGAAAATACTTATCCAACACTAGTTTTTTTTTAGTTATAACTGCGATGATTCCAATTGTTATTGGGATTTGGCGCGGCTTCGCGGTGTCAAGTATTTCACTTGGCAAAAAGTGGGTTCAATAAAGCTGAATAGCTTATCAAACTGTTATTAGGATTATATTATTATATTATAATCTTATTCTTGAATTTCAGCAAGAATTGTTATGGTCTGATAGTGTTGGAAGACATCCGACTCGGCCAGAAGAAGAACACAAGAAATTCACGAATTATGGATTTGACAAGACGGAATTTATTCGCATTGTTAAACAGGTTAGATAAAGATTAAATTTAGGAAAGATTTAAGGTTTAAAAAGTTTTTTTAGTCAGTTTAAAAGATAGTTTAACGTCACTCCAACTTGACCAAAAATCAAGAAGATCGTTCAAAAATCTCTTTCTCAAATATACGTTCGTTTCTCAAAAATGTAAACGAAAGTTGAGTTGTTAAACAGGGTCCTATTTGATTCCTATTTGATTCCTATTTGGTTCCATGTGGTTCCTATTTGGTTCCTTATAAAGGAACCAAATATGTCCTTTTATAGTTCCTCTATAGTTCCTTTTTACTTCCTATTCGGTTCCTTTAAAGTTCCTCTATAGTTCCTATTTAGTTCCTATTTAATTCCTATTCAGTTCCTATTTGGTCCCTATTTGGTCCCTATTTGGTTCTTTATGGACCTTATTTAATTCCTGAATAGAAATCCACGACCATTTCCCTTTGTTCCCAATGGGATTAGAGTGTCAAAAATTTGCAGAATTGATTGCAGATTATTACCCTTTTCCAGAAATAGAAATATTCAATTGCCGAAAAATCTCAAAATCAAAGACGGGTTTTTGTTTTCTAGTTGACCGCTTAATTTCCCTCTATCGGATTAATGGATCGGATCCACTAATCCACATTTTTTTTTATAAGAAAAATTTCCTGTACAACATAATGGAGGGATTTCTCTGAGACTTTACGATTCTCTGACGTCTCAATGCTAATTTTTCTCGTCATTCAAAAGGCTGTAATTAAACTTGAGATAAACAGGGTTTTTTGAGGGAATTCGATTAGAAATGTTTTAAGTCATTTGTTTATGGAGCAGAGATTAAAAAGTTCTGGAGGAGATATTTTGGGTAATGGGAATAATGAATGGAGATTGATCATGAAATCGGATGAGAATAGAACAGCTATTCTAATAAGCTACTCTGATAATAACTGTTGTTGTTAATAAGCGATGAATAGAATTGACTGAAATCTTCTGGGAATATTTGGTACAGTAATACAGCCAAAATAGCTTAAAACTATTGTATTGTAGGAGTTTTTTAAAGTTAAACCCATATAACCAATCCCTTTTCTGCTTTCATACGTTTAAAACCAGATCTCATTTCCTCTTTTCATCAGAATATTCATTACAATTTCATATTTTCTGAAACTTTGCATTTAATAACAACATTTAACTTGCTTGCTTAACATTTAACTCTATTGAATTCAGCAATGTAATTGTGTAACTTAGTACTAATGTAGTGATTATTGTTGGTTTAGATATAATCTTTATTACAGCAATAATAGTTGGTTCAGTGGTTTGGGATTGGGAGAGTAGAGACGACTCCACGGCTCACCTCGGCAGCTCGTTCACATTGCTTTTATACAGAACTTTGACGTTGGTCTCGATCTCGATCGTCATGATCTCGATCTCGTGATCTCGATCATGAGATCGTCACGGCAACTAACTTCCTTTACAGGAAAAAAATGGAATTGTTTTTTGAAAAGAGGATTTCTGACATTGTGTTTGTCTATTTTCAGTTAAATTTAGTTAAAAACTTGAAGATATCATCAGAATTTAGTTCTTATATAGATCAATTTTTAAATAAAAATAGCAATTTTACGAAATTTGGCTGGCTCTTTCGTAAGAATAGATCCTAAAACATATACAGTTTATGTGAGCTACCGATCACCGATAATCCATCGAAGAATTATTTTCAAAACCTTTTTCAAAAGTCCCTTTGATCCAAACAAGGTTCAATAAATTGGATGAAGATAACAGGTCGATGAGCTATGTCCGATTCAATCTTTGAGATTCAAAATACAGCAAACCGAATTCAATATTTTGTTTTCTTGCTCATCTTTTTCAAAAACTTTTGTTTTCCAGAAATTCCCCAGCTTTGAAAGGACATTTTGGATGATCCGATTAATTGACTAAATTGAAAAAATTGAAGTAAACAACCCTTTCACGTAATCCCCAATAACGTTTTTTGAGAGTAAAAGTAACTTATTACGATTCATTCGAAAAGACACGAGGTTTATGAAAAGAGAAGAGAATTTTATCGGATTATCCGCTCTTTTTTTGAATTACATATTGTAGTGAAAGATTGTAGCAAGAGTTTTTGCTTTGTTTTTAGTGTTTTGATTCGTTTCTCGATTTAGTCTTTTTTGGAGATGAGTCGCTCTTTCAAATGTCAAATGTGGTCACCGTATCTCTCAGCGGAGGTGCTTTGCTGAACAGAGTACATTAGGAAACGAATTACAGTAACTTAACTGTGTATATTACCCCGCTTCTACTCACGTCAGAAGAAAAAGTTGTACTAGAAATTGAATTTTTAACTTATGACCATGAATTTAGTGTCAAAAGAAAGAGGATTTTCAGAATTTTACACTCAAGTCCCTGTTTTGATTCCAGATCGAATTCTGATCGAACTCTGATCTAATTCCAGATTACGGCCATCCATTGTTCCACAGTTTAGGCTTAGGCTCAAGTGTCTCTTTCTTTTGACACTCATATTGAACATTTAAATGTTTTTTAAAAGAAGATTTAGAAAAAGAAAAGCACTTTTAAGCAACAAAGAAAAACAATTTTGATAATCGTTTTTGAAAGGGAATTTCTTGAAAACAAAATTTTGAAAAAGAAGAAATACAGAATTTGGTTTGATGTATTTTCCTCAAAAATTGAATCAGATATCAGTTAGAAAAGTATACTGTACAGTACAGAAAAGTCTAGTGTACAGTACAGTCTACTGTACTGTGGTACATTGTTTAACTCAGCTTACTTTCCAAGTCATGGTCTTGTTATCTTGATCTTCAGATATTCAAAATACCAATCTTTGTGCTTTATCTTTTGGAAATTTCATAAAGATTTGGATTTGGTAAAAAGTAAAACTTAAACTAAACAAAGTTATCCTGAATATCTGAATGAAGATCTTGCGCTTTCAGATGATCGATTATGTTCGACGGAACCCGAAATTCGTGGCCAAGCAGCGAAAACTTCGGAGACTTCAAAAAGACAAAGAAAACCTTAAAACTGAACTGTGAAAGAAGGCTTTAGGTAACCTTGACTCGAAAGTTTTATTCTCTTAAATATTTTTGTGATTTCTCCTTGCTCATCCCCAGTCTTGCCATCGATCTCTATTGTGATTTCAAATAAAATTGCCTTTAAATGAATACTATGCTTTTATAATTTCCCGTATTTGAATACGTTTATTTTACAATTGAATTTTTCAAAAAAACCCGATAAAATTTGACAACGTTTGGTGAATACCCGACAATGGAACAAAGCCCGGAAAAGTTGGAAAAGATGGTAAAGTTCGTGAATACCCGACAATGGAAAAGTTTGAGAGGCCAAGGGAAAGGGAATTGTTAAAGAACAATGGAGTTTTCAGATTCAAAGAACAAAAAACAAATTAGCATAAGAGATCAGAAATTATGGTATGTCATGTCAAACAATGCTCAGTCAGCAAAGACTCTAAAACTCGGAGATCCGGGGAATAGACTCCACGAGACGGCTGTAGATCTTCTTGTGTGATACACAAAATAGATTAAGGTTAAAGCCGAGCATTGGAACACTGGGATAGAGATTTGGTATTGAACAGATTGAAAAGATTGAAAATCAAATTCTCTTTTACAACCAATGCTTTGGGGTTTGCGGGGATTCACAGGTTGAGTCGAGATTGATACATGATGAATTCCTAGTCAAGAGTGGGATTGGAGTGGCGACACGATAGGACATTGTGTGGGATCTCTCTCGTGGAGTGATTGCTGGACATTCCTCCAAACGACGAGCAGAGATTGAGAGCTGAAAAGGATTAGATAACTTTGACTTTAGCTTTAAGAATAAGAATAACTTTGGCAAGCTTCTTTTTTAAAGTATTCGATTAATTATTGACTAGTTTTAAATGCGAGAATTTATTTTCGTCTCAATCTCCGGACTTTGCTGACTTTCATTTGTACGTGTTTTGCTGAGAAAAAGATTGAAACATAAGATTTCATCTTTGCTGATATTATTCCGAATTTCATAATGATTTCAAAATGATTTCAAAATAAACCTGTCTGGATGAATTCGTTTTTGAGAGAACATTTCGATCGAACACGTAAGACGTCAAATAAAACGCGTTGAAGGAAAACTGAAATTTGAAATTGAGATCATCTATTTCGAAATGAAATGATCTTTGTGATTATTATAGTATAAACGATTGTTCTGGCATGTCCTTTAGAACTGATAATGAGCTGAGAGAACTGATAATATGGTTTTTGAGAGCTGATCATGAGCAGGTTATGGTTGTTTTTAGAGTTAAATCGGAATTTTTCAATTTCCTAATAGTTTTGCATAACATTTCTCTGCATAACAAATTCCCTGAAAGGCTTCAAGGTTCTTTGAAACCTTTGAGGCCTGGATGGAGAAAGATTTCATTTATTTTTCTGATCCACTGATTCCAGAAAACAAGTTTTTGGGTCAAAATGGAGAAAAATGTTCCGTTGGACTGATATTTGAATAGAATAATCGTTTGCTTATGAATAATAATCAATGGGAATGGGATTTCTTAGTCTCAAATGTCTATATTGGTCAATGAAGAGCTAAAAATGGATTCTACATCATCAAAAAGGATGTAGAATCATTAAAATAACTAAAATTTATAGATTTTGGACTTAAAAGTTTTCAAATCTTATTTGCTTTCCTCTAATCTTATCAATAAATCTAATCTTAAGTTTCACAGAATCTCACGTAACATAGCTCATTAGTTTTGTTGGAATGAAATAAAAGGAATTCTATACAATACGATAATTACAGAGATTAGGTATTTGCATTTTTCTTAGATTCAAAATCAATCATTTTTTCTTTATTTTTATAAAAGAAATCCTCAAATCCAGAAATTTGTAGTCAGAAATCTGTGAAACAATCGGATTTAGGGAAATTGAAAATGAAAAGAAAGAAATCGGAAAATCGGAATTATCTGGGATTATCGGAGGAAGTGATCGAAGATTTTTCAGCAAATTATCGCTTCCAAGTGACTTTTTCTGAGGGAAAAGGTCGGATTTACGTAGTTGACTTATCTCAACATGTAAACAGACTTATCTCAACATGTAAAGGCCACTTTTAGCAATAATATGTTGTTGACTTTGTATTTAATAAAGCTTGCTTAACATTTAAATTTCTAAGTTTTAACTATCTCTATTCAAATCGTTCAGTAAAACCAAAGGAATTTTGACGTCTTTCCTGTCGTTTGACTCAAATCTTTACTCAGAATTTTCTTTTCTTTCTTTCTTTCTTTCTTTCAAAAAAGTCATGTCTTGTGGCTTTTGAATGCCGGAAATTGAATGATTTTTGAGATAAATGAACGGATTAGATTTTGCCAGACTTTAAACTAGAGGATTTATGATAAATGGCTTTTAAATGAGAAATAAAAGATTTGATCTCAAAGTTCTTATTGAATTTTTTGATTTGAATCACATTGAAATGTTTCAGAAAATGACGGGAGATTAAAATGAATTAAAATTGAAGTGGAAATGAGTGGGAGAAGGTACAAAATAAGGTACAAAACAAAGGGGAGCCTTGGGAATGCCTTTCAGTTAAAGATTGGTACAAACCTTGACAAAGTAGAGAGTTTTTGAGGCACAGAAGACGGCGATTGGGATCTTCGCGTTAGGGTGAAGAGAGAGAAGAGCTCGCAGGGATAATTCGGGAAGGGAAAGGAGAAGACAAACCAGAGTCACCACCATGAAACGACGCATTGTTGCGGCACGTCTCTAGAAAAAGATCAATAGTTAGAGGTTATTTAGAAACCAATAGTAATACAAAAAGGATAATCAGTCAGTCAATTGTCAGTACTGACTTTTGTCTTCTCTTCTCTTCTCTTCTCTACCTTTTCCGTTTCCTCATCGGGTTTGTGAAAAACGATTTGTAGAAGTGGATCGGAATGTCTTCTTTGATCGCGACAACAGAGAACTCTCACATCCATCAATAAGATGAGAATTGATGGAATTAGACAAGAAACAACCACATCAGCTAATGAATATAATCGAGATAAACCCTGAAATTCTTGATTTTAAGCGATTTTGAGTTTCACATACATCATCCGACAGAGTGCATCCTGTTTTTCGATTTCCATCGACTGAGATGAATATGTGAAGGTTTAGAAGAAATGAGATTGCACCAACAGCCATGAGAAGAGAAAATGGAGAACGCCAAACGGTCGAATATCTGGAAATGAAGGTTTGAGTGATGTAGAGAGAAATTGATTAATGTAAGATGAGATTTGGTAAAATGAAATCACTTCAATGGATCTCTCGCAGCATGATATCTCAATGCACTCATACAAAGCCAACAATACATCGACATTGTGTATGAAAAGTGAGAGAAGAGGACCACACTCTGAAAGGGGTTGTATAGTTGGTGTTGGGCATAGTCTTATATGTCCTGTATTGGTGTTGGACATAGTCTGATAAAACTAGTAGATAAAATGAGCCTCACCTTGCACATTCCACTCAACATCGTCTCTTCAAGTAGCGGTGAAATCACTTGAAGAACTAAAAGCGAAAAAAGAAGAACAAGTGAAAAACAATCGGAGACAGCCATCACGTGGAGATAAACGCCAGTGCCATTTAGCCACTAAAAGATTATGGATTAATGATTGATTGTGATTGATGGGTGATTCAGTTAGAGATTGATTTGGCTTTGTTTCTTTTGAAGATTGAAATATCGATAAGCGATAAGCGGATTTGAATTTAGAGTGGACTTAGAAGAGATTTGAAATCTGGTTTTAAAGGATAACGATAATGCCAAACGAGGAAAATGTTATTGAATACTTTAAACTTTAAAGTAATTGAATTTTAAGAAACTTTTGTTTCTCAATTTTTTCTCAAGAAGAAAACTCAATTGTTTTCTTTACCTGTTCTCGATCTTTTTTCGCTAATCGATTCAATCGATGGACGACATAAATATTTAAGAGAAGACCGACGAAAATGATGAAACCGAACATCCACAAAAGGGAAAGAATTGGTGACGATGGGAGGAAATGTTCTTCATTTGACAAGTCCATTGATAGAACTGATTCTGACATTCTGAAAGTGTACAGTCAATAAGTTTAATGTTTTAAAAATAAAAGAAAACCATCAAAAACCTTTCAAAAATCATTTTCTTATAGAAAATGAGCTCTTTTTTTCATTTGGCTTTTTCTCATAAGAAACTAACATCTTGTTTTCCTATTATTCAGAAACTAAAGCATAAAAGTCAAATCTGAATTTGAATTCTATTTTTATCGTTTTCAATCACGCTATTTTCACCGGTAAAATTCTCAAAAATAACAAAAATAAGAAAATTTTGCTAGAAAAGAAAAGAAGTGAGGTTTTGTGAAAGAAAAAACTCTGAAGTCACACAATTTTTTGTGAGTTTTTGAATATTTTTGATCAAGTGACACATGAAGATGAGAAATGAGAAAAAGCTTCGGAAATTTGGCTAATTTTTGAGGCACAGGGCTTCAAAGAGGGAATTGAAGGTGAATGGGTGAATGGGTGAATAAGGTAATGATAGGGGGAAGGGTTTATGGTCAGTAAGCAGATTCACAAATAGATTGGGTTTGAAGTAATCTTGGGAAGGCAATCTTTCATCCAAAAGAAAACCCAATCGAAAGTTCGGTTTAGATTTTAACACCAGGTTATACTTTAAATTTTAAAAAGTGAATCCTTCAGGTTGATAACAAACGTTAGATTCTAGAAGGCTAAAAAGTGGATCCTTCAGCTTCATAACAAATGTTCAAATACAAACATTTGTAAAGCTGAAGATTTGGCTGATCTCAGAGTCAGTGAAAATGGCTAAAATCTGCCGATCTCGGGTCCAAGACCAAATGAATAGAGGAAATAAGTCCAAATGAAGTGAATCCAATGGGATGGACTTGAAGAAGGATTAGTGAAGAGAAAAGAAAAGAAAGGAAAAGAAAAGAAAAGAAAAGAAAAGAAAAAGAAAGGATTCTCTAAAGATGGGGAGGGATCAACTCCTAGAAAATCCTATCTGATAAAAAATCTGTCTTTTTTGATAGACAGAGAAAATTGGGAAACCACAATGGATTCATTTATTTGATGAAAAGAAGACCATACTTTGAGGGATCAAATCAGTTAAAAAAGAAAAAAAAAAGATTTCCTCTCGAGAAATTTTGAACGGAAATCCGGGCGATGAATCGAGTTTCTGAATGAATGATCGAGTTTTTTTTGTTTAAAAAAATTAATCGGAGACTAGTAGGCGAGTTTTAATTGGTTGAGATCAAATTTGAATTAGATTCAAATTTTATATGAGACATTGAAGAGTCATTAGGCGATAGAGCTGATAATATGACTTTACCATAACCTGAAGACGTCTAGCACTTGAGAGTTTGCTTGAACTAACCGTACACTACTGGACAATGAAATATGATATTTGAAAAAAGATCGTCACTTTCACGCGTCTGTAACTCCCTTGTCTTTACCGTATTTCTAAATATTAATATTACCATTGTGTAGCCCTTGAAAAGAGCTTTCAGAAAATGTATAACACTAATAGTTTAAACCCAAAGACAAGGGAGTTACAGACGCGCGAAAGTGACGATCGTTTTTCAAATATCATATTTCATTGTCCAGTACTGTAGATCTTGATTCCGATAGATTAAGGCTTAGATTTAGCTAAATAGCTAGCAAATTTGATTTTTAGCTGCAGTATCTGAATAAAAAACTTGTTCCACGGAATTATGCATAAGTTTTGTATTCAAAAAAGGAAACCAGAGCATTTTGTATTTGGATTTGGATGTATTTGTATTTGGGTGAACGAGAATAGGTCAATGAATCATTTCAAGGGAGAACGGATTTATTTGAAGGTAAATGAGGTTACGAAAGAAGCTCAATAATGGAATAATATTTAGAAATGAAACATGAAGTAAACAGTAAAACATGAATTTAATAAAAAGAATATATAATGTAGATTCTATTCTAGGGAAGAGGAGGAAGAAGGGGAAGAATAGCTCGATGAATCTTTTCACAGTTGATAATCAAAGCTAAAATGGGATTTTGATTGAATTTTGAGTAATGAGTGGATTTGAAATAGATATAAGACATCGAATTTTATTAAAAACTTATAAAAAGTTGAATATTGATTAGATGTGTATGCAAATTTGCATATGAAGTTGAATGGTTGAATATCTTTGAAGAGAGATATCTTTGAATCTAAAATAACTCAAGTTCGAATGTTTTGAAATACAATTTCTTTCGAAGAGTCTATTCTGTACTTTCCCGATGTTTATATAACTTTTCAATAAAGTTTATTTGTAAGCAAGGATGAGAAATATCCTCTTCTCTTTTCCGAATCGGCAAGGATCAGACTGAGAGATCTACGTCTCTCAAATCGGGAAAATTCTTGAAAATCCACAGAAATTACTTGATTTCTGATAGAATTTTGTACGCAGAAAGGCTTGGATCATGACTTGATGACGGGGAGGAAAGAGAAAAGAGGAAAATGGGAGATCTCTGACTTCTTTGAGAGATGAAAAGCTTGGTGACTATGAAATTTCTCAGTCTTTTGAGTTTTGGTTCTTTCAGAAAGCTACAAATTAGTCAATTTATAATAAACCCAATAAACAAGATCATTGGTTTAGAAGTAAAATATGTTTACTTCTACGAAGACTAAATTGTGTTCTATGTTGAACGATTGCTTTCCCAAACACCTCCATCCCATTAACACAGAGATCCAGTGTTCCAAGATGAAATCCGATCTATAGATCATAATTTATTCCATTGTTTTCATCGATCATTTGCATTATCGCTTTGTTGATCAAGTGTAGAATGGTCTGTTGCTCGTAACCGGATTACATTATGCTCCGGCTTCCGTCAGCTGTCCGCTACTCGACAGTCGTCTAGACGCAGAAGTTTGGACAGCTCATTGGAGGAACCGTCAGGTTGTTAAGCCGGCAGGGGATCTGATCAAACTCTTACGCATCAACAAAGCATAACTTCGGAGCCTTCTCCTACTTACATTCCGCGCATTCATTTACTTCTACGAAGACTAAATTGTGTTCTACCTATGTTGAACGATTGCCTCCCAAACACCTCCATCCCATTAACACAGAGATCCGGTGTTCGAAGATGAAATCCGATCTTTAGATCATAATTTATTCCATTGTTTTCATCGATCATTTGCATTATCGCTTTGTTGATCAAGTGTTTCTTTGAATGAAAAGCATATTCAATTAACAAGAGCTAAAGTTTCAGGATCCTTTGCTCGTCAAAGTTGGGCTTTGCTCAAGGAAACATTATGGAAAAGCGATAACGACAGAAAAAAGGTACCAGATCTTCTCAAAGCCGGAAGTTGATCATTACAAATGCTGAAAAATAGGTTTTTCTTTTGTACTGGTTCACTTTAAAACACAAAAGCTTAATAAAATTTGAAATCATCAAAAAGTGAAGGGTGATTTTCCAAAGATCATCTCGATATTGGGCTGCCGCTCCACGGCCCTCTGCATCTTTCAAAGATTTGCCCCCAGAACGAAACTTGGCAAACCACACTTGACACCTTCTTTTGGAAGGTGAGTCCTCCCCATATGTCTTTTTAATATTAGCAGCTGCCAAGCCTGCACTGTGCTCTTGTAGGAACTCATGAAGCATGACATGACGCATATGTCTCGGTGGCAGATTGTCGACTGCAATAGAAGAAGCGAAGAAGGTACCAGATCTTCTCAAAGTCGAAAATTGATCATTACAAATGCTGAAAAATAGGTTTTTCTTTGTACTGGTTCACTTTAAAACACAAAAGCTCAATAAAATTTGAAATCATCAAAAAGTGAAGGGAGATTTTCTAATGATCATCTCGATATTCAAAAAGATGAGTAGAAGTGATGATTATTCTGTAATCTTTTTCTTCAAAACATTCTATTTTTAGCTTTTTAAAAGCTCTGTTTCTTTTTCATCATTCTGAAACTAAAAATAATTTCAAAAACATTTTAAAAGGCTATATGTAGATGTTCTTTCCCTTTATGGTTCACAATTGTTCTTTTGGCTTTCTCTAATAACTTATATCTTTACAGTAACTATGGAAATCTTTAGATTAATAGATTAGTTTGTTTTAAATGATAATTTAAGCTGATGAATGCTCATTGCAAGGACTCGAATTTTCTGGATTGTTTCACAGTGCCACCCGTGGAGGGAGGCAGAATAGTCTGTTGCTTGTAACCGGATTACATTATGCTCTCTTTGGGGTCCGGCTTCCGTCAGCTGTTTGCTACTTGACAGTCGTCTAGATGGTGGAAGCTTGGACACCCCATTGAAGGAACCGTGAGGTTCTTAAGCCGGCTGGGAATCTGATGAAACCCTTACGCATCAACAAAGCGTAACTTCGGAGCCTCCTCCTACCTAGAAAGCTCACCCTAGAAAGCTGAGCATTCTTTCAGCGGGAGTCGGTGCCATCGCCAAGGGCCAGACGTGGACCTCGGATCGTGGAGTACGAAGTTCAGCCACCTCCTCGTGGTGCACCCTGGGCCACTTCCTGGAAACAGGAAGTGGTGAAGAGCTGGACAAAAAAGGAAGAACTTTTGGAAAAGTTCAAGAACTTTAAAAGACTTTAAAGTCCTTGACAAAGCTTCAGTTTTTACAGTAAATTTTATACATTATACAGAATTACATAATTACAGACCTAAAAGTAAAAAAAACTCAAAATTTCCTACATTTTTCTCAACTTTTTTTGTCTTTAGGTCTGTAATTCTTCAAGGAGGACAAATGAAAGTTTTTGTAAATTGTAGAAATAGTTTTTGAAGTTTTTTTACACCTGGAAAACTTGGTTTAAGTGGAATATCTTTTGTTAAACTACTTTTACATTCCAGTCTTGATCGATTTCGAATGTAAAGTTCCTATAATTTTGTCCGGCACTGTATAGACAATATTTATTAGATTTTTATAAAACTTTTGACCCATATTCTCGATAATCAATTGAACAAAAACTAGAAAGGCACAGGAAAAGAAACAAAAGTTTACAAAAGAGATGATGAATCAAAGAAAAAAACCCGATTTGATCACATTTGTAAAGAAATATTAGGAAACTGATTGATTTTGATTAGAAAGATCTTAGATTTTGAAGGAATCTGGAGTGAAACAGCTATAGTACAGCAGAATGAAACAACTATAGTACAGCAGAATGAAACAACTATAGTACAGCAGAATGAAACAACTATAGTACAGCAGAATAACAAAACTATGTGCTTACACAGATCAAACGATACAAACAGATCCAGTACTATCAAAGCTGTCTTTTCGAGAGACGAGTTGAGCTCGAGCCATGATCAGACCGGACATTCCACGACTGAAAAATAAAGAGTTTAACTGGGTAGAGTCTGTTTTTAAACCAGAACCAAAGTTTATCTATTCAAGTGTCAGAAAACAAAAAACTATTTAAGCAAAATGCTCTTTCCTACCTACTGAAAAGACTCGAGTCTTATTTTAACGCGAAATTTAATCATGATAGATCTAGATTACTGTGACAAATGTCAACAAGTCAATTTATAGCAATCCTAAACAAAACTCAAACTAATGGACAAAAATTTCAATAAGTAAAAGTTATTGGTGCTCGATCGTTGTAGTTGTAATGGTTAAGTTATTAGTTGTAATGGTGCTCGATCGAATTCCCTTCTCCTACTGACCCCCTTGTCGCATCTCTCATCGATATTTTCTTCGGCATATAATATGTTGTGTCAATTTCTCCTCCTCTTGTTGCCCATTTCCCTCTTTTACACATCGGTGAACAACATGGAAGAATCCCAAAAATTCGACGACAAATCACGTGCACCGTTGTGACAACCTGAAAATTTGATCCTATATTAAAACCCATAACATTGTAAATGGATTCCCTTTTTGTTTCTTTTTGATTCACTCACCTCCATCCGAATTTCTCGATCGTTCACCGTGTAAATTGGCAATCTTAGAGCACATGCGAGAATCGGTAAAAATGATGAAATATCCGAGGTGACTGTGTAGAATTCTTTATGAGCTGTCAGAGTCACTGGAATTATTCCATTTATTTGAGTCATAGTAAAGATTGTTTTGTTCTTTGTCATATGAAGAATATGAAATTGAAATCCCAATAAATAAGTCCCTTTCCCTGTCCTTTACCCGGTTCACATTGAAAATTCGTTTTTTTTTCAGCAATTTTTGTTTTTGTCAACTCATAGAAAAGTCAGCAGAAATTCAGCAATCTTTGTTTAATTTGCTGAATGATTAATCTAATTTTAGTCTAATTAATTTCGGTGATAGCTGAAAAGTTTTCAATTTTGAAACCTGGATCAATGTTCTCCCAAAAAGCGATAATGACATCAAGAATATTCGAGAAAAGATACGTGCAAACGACCATTACAAGCATTCGAGTGACTGTTCGGAGACGAGAACGCAGCCGGGTCACTTCACCTCTGAAATCTTGTTGTTTATGATTATCCAGATAACTTCTGAAATGATTTAAATTCAAATTGGCGCTTACTTGCTTCCCACAGTCACATAAAGAATAAGCGTTTTCACAGTCTGATCCCGATCCGTTTTCCTCACATTCATCACGATTGCCGCGTTGAAATAGGCGAGAACTAAAAGCTTTGATTTTTCAGGATTATTCAGTTTTTTAAAAGATTTCCCAAGAATTCCTAACTCACCAACGAATGGAAGAAAAACGGAGAAAATCTTGCGGACCCAGAATTTCCATAACATATCAAAGAGAGGATCTTCGGTGAGCTGTGAGACAGTCACATAATAGGTTTCAAAACCGGTGCAATCCGGTTGATAAACTATCTAAAGCTTGGAATTGAGTTTCTTTGTCAACCATTCCCCTCACTTACCACTATCTCAAAGATAACAGTGCCACGGAAAACGGCGCCCAAAACAAAACACATGATCACAACCAGCGATCGATGATTTGACAAAAAGTAGAAAACAGCTGTTGATCTAAAATCTTTCATAATTTCTATATCAAATCTCCAGATTTCTAACTAAAAATGTAATAAAAACGGGGGTGGGACAAATGCGACCTTTTTTTGCGCACCTGGACATTTGCGCACCTTTTTTTGCTGGAAAAGGCCTTAGGAAAGGTCGTAGAGCTTCAAAAATGTTTTCATAGAAGGGAATCGTATGCGTAGATTCCGAATTTCGACAAGTCAGACCTCGCTGACACGTCAAATTTGGGCTAAAAGGCAAAAACTACGCAACTTAACGCTTTTCCGCAGTTTTTGCCTTTTAGCCCAAATTTGACGTGTCAGCGAGGTCTGACTTGTCGAAATTCGGAATCTACGCATACGATTCCCCTATATGGAAATATTTTCGAAGCTCTACGGCCTTGCCTAAGGCCTTTTCCAGCAAAAAAAAGGTGCGCAAATGTCCAGGTGCGCAAAAGAAAGGTCGCGAATTTGTCCCACCCCCATAAAAACCTCAAAAAACAATTTGAAGTTTGAAAAGTTAAAAGAAAAACTAAAAGAAAAAGAAAAAAAGCTTGCAAAGATCATGCTTTAAAATGGAAATCGGAAAGAAGTTGTTTGAAAGGAAAAAAGAAGTGAATAAAATGGATGCAAATGAATGGAGAGACTCACACAGGGTTATCTAGTTCTTCGGGATTCTCTTCGTCTCTGAAAAATGGAAACACAAATTGTTTGTGTTTGAAGAATGTTTATCTATTTTATTGTGGCTCTTGTTTTTCCCTTACCGTAAATACTGTAATAGTAGCCCACCGCCCTCGTACAATCGCGTAGTCACAAAAGTTTTTTAGTATTTCATTTTTTTCAAAGCTCACGTACTTTCAAAAAATGCGTCTTTGTTATCAAAAAATAGCTGAAATTCAGGGCTATTTTTTGATATCTAAACGAGCATTGTAGCATAAACCAGTGTCGAGAAAAATGCGTATAAAGTTAGACTACGCGATGCTCCGTCTTTTGATATCAAAAAATAGCCCTGAATTTCAGCTATTTTTTGATATCTAAACGAGCATTGTAGCATAAACCAGTGTCGAGAAAAACTCGTTCAAAGCTAGACTACGCGATGCTCCGGCCGTCATTATGGGGGTGGGGTACTATTACAGTATTTAGTTAATCCTGTAGTATCTTTTTATTCCTTTATAAGTTTTGGATAAGGGTAACAGATTGGGAAATTGGTTTCACACCATGCGTGTTGATAGATTCCCTTTGAAAAAGCTTTAGAGAATTGTATTAAATTTATAAATTATATAAAAGAAAAGACTTACTTTGAATTGCCTGTACTTTGAAGATATCTCTCGATCGTTGCAGCCATCAGAAGGAATGATGAAGAGGAGAACGTGATGTTCGAGACTGTGAAAGCTATCACTAAATAGTGATGCCAAAGAATGAAGAGACCCAATGATTTGAAGTAGTCGGCGTAGACCTGAAAAGGTGGAGATTTTCTTCGTTTTTTGAGAAGATAAAGCTTTATGATCGAGTTTTAAATCCAAAAATCTAACAATTAACAACAAAAGATAAAACTGAAAAATACAGATACCGTATTTCTCTAATAGTAGTGCACCCCGGCGAGCCGAGTTGATGCCTATTTTACTGTTTCGAAGTTTTCGGAGAAGCTCAACACTCTAATCCCCCACTAGATCTCATCGTCAGCTACATTTTCCGACCCCACATCGATAGGTTCTGATAAGCGGTTCTCGAGATTTCGAGCAATTTAGGCGACGCTCAGGGTGCACTACTATTAGAGAAAATACGGATACTTTAAAATGTAGTGAAACTAATGTTTCGTGACTTTCAAACTTTCAAAAACCACTTTTTCTGGCTCAATTCTATGCGTAGATCACGAATTTCATAGTTAGAAGTTAAGATAATGCGTTGTAAATCAAGTTTTAATGTCTTAAAGTGGCAGTCTTTACAATCTCCAAAAGAATATTCCTTGCTCATCACTCACCTGGACACACATGATCGCAATGTATGATAAACTGACGAAGATGTCGCACAGACTGATCCATTTCAAATATGTGAGATTACGTCTTCGCAACAACTGTAAATAATCGAATAGAGATTGCGGTGAGACTTCAGAATCGAGAGCGGAAAAGGCAAATTCGGTGCGACGCATGCGTTTCCGATGAAGCATCTGGAAAAGGAGAAACAGGCAAAACGAAGGAAAAATCATGCACAATTGATGGAAACTCTCTCGAATTGATCATTCCAATGAAGCCTGCTTTCCGGGATTTTTGGAGTATTAGTAAGTTAGTAAGGAAAGTCTCTTCTCATGCAACAAGAATTGAGGCTGAGTTTTATGGATATTGATTAGGTAAACTTTCTAGTTCTAGTTCAGTCCTACTAGGTTGTTCGGATATAAACGAGCGTTTGCACTGCTTAACTCGTGAGGAAGTCATCTCCCGCATCTGATCGTCTTTCCAATGGAGATGCTCATCAATAGTAGAATTTGAACATAGAAACTGTTGAGCAAGTTCATGCGTCGTTTGACATGGATCTGATTCGATTCAGCCCTCAAAGTATCGTTGTCTACCGCTTGAGGCCGACGAGAGTGTTCATCATCCTCGAGACTTTCATCACCATTCCGAAGCGTTGGAACCAGGCTTGATATCGGCTTTCGGCTTGGACTTAGTGCGAAGGCTAGTGGCTAGCGCCTCGCACTAAGTCTATTTGTGTTTGTTAGGCTTAGGCTTAGGCTTAGATCAGTTTGTCGTTTGTTGAATTGTTCAATACATCATTCCCAAATGCTTTGACCAAATCTCGATGCAATTCCGCTACAGTTTTGCCCAGTTTTAAGTCGTAAAATAGGCAGACGCAAACTTGATATTTAAAATCGATCATCTAAAGCAAGAAAAAAGATCTTAAAAATAAGAAATTATCCGTTTAAAGAGATTCTAAATATGCAAAAGATAACGTACTTTTAAATATAGAAAGACATGTTTTAAAAGAAGCTTTAAAAGCTTCTCTCACAACAATAAGTTTAGCAACGCTTGTTTATATCCGAACAACCTAATAGATATCAAAAAGTTTACATCATCAAAATCTCCATACTCAACTCCACTCTTGTCAATCAAAATCAGCCATACTTGAGTAAATGAACCGAAAAAATGAGAGTTAGTTAGTACTAACAAGACAATGACTTGGAAATTAAGTTGAGTTAAATAATGTACCACAGTACGGTAGACTGTACTGTACAGTAGACTTTTCTGCACTGTACAGTAGACTTTTCTATGAGTCGAAAAATTTTGATTTCTTCTATCGTACTGTAGTAACTTTAAAACAAAAGAATGTCTTACTTTTGATGAGTTGAAAGTGTAGAATAAAATGCAGTTGTGCATGATTGAGACCAGAGCTGTTGTACAGCCCAACATCCCAACGAACCACATCTTCCATTCCTAAAATCGATTCATAAAGGTTCAGAAAAGTTACAGAAATTAAATAATTAAACCGACTAAATTACTTTCAAGTTTTATTAAGAATTTAGTACCCTTGAACTACTAGAATACGAAAAGGAACGAAAAGATTTACTTGCAATTATCAGTAACAAGTCTATCAGAGCTGAAAGCTCTGATAGACTTAACTCTGATAGCTGAAACCTCTGATAGCTGAAACCAAGTCCACTAACAAATCGAGTCCTAATCTGTTTCATTCAACTCACCAATAGCAACTGTGGCTCATAAGAGCAAGCTGTTTCCTCAGAAAGCTCTTCAATTGCAGCTATCAGGCTGCCGTTTGTCGAATTGTTCATCATAAGAGTAGATTAAAGTACATGAATAAAAAGATGATACCTAAAAATTCTTTATTAAAGTTGTTCAGCTAAAAATAAAAATATAAAACTGTCTGTAATAGGGAAAATGTGGGGGCTTCGTAAGCCGGATGTGCGAAAAAAAAGTGAAATCTCAAAGAGCAATTGATAGATTTTAAAAAAAAACTTGATATTGTATAAAAGTTTAATATCAGGCTGCCGTCTGTCTTCCAAAATTTGCTAAAATCTGCCAACTGCCAATCTTTTTTCCAAATTTGCATTTATTTTAAATTAATCCCAAGAAATTCGTGTCGAATTTCAGGTACAGTTATTCAAAGAATAAAAGACAAAAAATAATATTTGCAAATGAAAATAGAATAAGGAAATGAGACAGAAATAATTGGATGAATAGCTTTTTGTTTTCTGATGAATAGAGTGATTCCAACAGATTATTTACATATTTTTGAATCCATGAACCCACGGGTTTTCTCTCTGAAAGTTCGATTCCTATCATCCATCTTAAAAAAAGAGTTGAAAGTGATTCCAACGGATTATTTATATATTTTTGAGTCCATAAACCCACGGGTTTTCTCTTCGAAAGTTCGATTCTTATCGTCGATCTTAAAAAAAGAGTTGAAAGTGATTCCAACGGATTATTTATATATTTTTGAGTTCATGAACTCACGGGTTTTCTCTCTGAAAGTTCGATTCCTAATTCAAATTCAATGCTTGGGAATCGGTAAATCCAGAACTTTAGTCAGAAGCTATCACTTTAATCCAGCAAAATAAGAAAAGAACACACAAAAAGGTGAAGAAATCCGTTGAGAATGGAGTTGAAAGTTGAAGTAGAGAATTGAAAGTGATTCTAACGGATTATTTACATATTTTTGAGTCCATGAACTCACAGGTTTTCTCTCTGAAAGTTCGATTCTTATCGTCCATCTTAAAAAAAGAATTGAAAGTGATTCTAACGGATTATTTACATATTTTTGAGTCCATAAACCCACGGGTTTTCTTTCTGAAAGTTCAATTCCTATCGTCGATCTTAAAAAAAGAAAATAACATGGTTCTCTTTACAAGAAAATTTTCGAAAATTGAATAAGAAAGGATATTTTTCGGAGACGGACAAATGAAGTTTTCACATTTCCCCAAGACTCACATTGGGTTTATTGGGTTTATTTCAAAGCTTCTTTTCTTTAGAACGAAATGAACACCAAGGAAACGAGAAAAACAATGAATGGATAAGGAAAATGAATGCAAAAAAGATCATACTTATTTCTTTCAACATTTCTTACTAAGACTCTATTTCCTAACATCAGTTTTTGTTGGAGAATTCTAGTTGATCTTTGCTAAAAATTGGGTCAGATTTACCCGTTAAATACTAGACTCTTTCGACAGAGTACGCTAACTTTTTCATAAGAGTTTTTTAGAAAAAATAGGCTAATAAGCGCATTGGATCTGTAAACTTAAAGAGATCCCCTGGATTTCAAGCTGAAGATATTTGAAAGCCAAAGTACCAAGGACTTTACTTTGAAAGCCAAAGTAAAGTCCTCAAAATCGGAATTCCAATTCGGATGGCTCTTGAAAAGTGAAAAGATAAAGAAGCTTTTCTTAATCGAGAAACGTTCAAAAAGAGACTCAAATTTCACTGGCCTTCCCTTCTCAATTCCCATGCAAATTCACCTCCCCAATTTTCGGCTATTTGGTCGATGAACGCTTGCCCTATTTGTAAACATCGGAATAATTGGATGTGAGAAAAATCTGGAAAAGAGAAAAAGAAATTCTAAACTTTTTGTTTATCTCTAAGCTGAATGATGAGCTTGAGTTTAAAGAGTTCATTTGAATACTTTAGCAACTTTAGTAGAGATCCTCGCTTATCTGAACATCTTGTATTAGAGATCCTGGCTTGTCTGATCATCTTGCATTAGAGATCCTGGATCCTGGTATTCAACTACTAAAAGTTTATGCAAATTCAATGCTTGGGAATCGGTAAATCCAGAACTTTGGTCAGAAGCTATCACTTTAATTCAGCAAAATAAGAAAAGAACACACAAAAAGGTGAAGAAATTCGTTGAGAATGGCGATCAATTACTAGATAAGAGAAAAGAAATGAAAAAGAGAAGAACTTGCGAATTTGCACCTAAATAAAAAAAGAGAAGGACCCAAGAAATGGAACAAATTGCCTTGATTCCCCTTGTCGATTTGGGGAGAAGAAATCTTTGAGAAAAAGAAAAGAAACACCTTCCACAGGAATGGAAAAGTGTTGAGAAGATTTGATGAAAAGAAAAGATACTTTGCAAAAATGAGAATTATTTTAGTCGTGCTTCAGTTGGATGAGGAAGTGCACGCAAAAAGGGGAAGGATTTGACAGGACTACAAGAAAAGTGAGCAAGAAAGTAGAAGGGAAGGAGCAAGGAACTTCAGAAATACCACCAGGTTTTCATAAGTTGTACAGATTCAAGAGTCTACTGGACAACAAGGTTATAGGATTTATCGAAGAATGAAGTCAGTAACTAAACCGTATTTACCAAATCTAATAATAACAAACAAATTTTCCACGATGATTCTAAAAAAGTGGAAACTTATTGAGAAGTTTGAGAAGACTCGTCACTCTCTTCCCGAATTCTGTCTTCTCGAATTCTCTCCTCCTGAATTCTCTGTTCTGCTCGGTGTCACTTTGCATGAGCATTTGCAATTTGAGACGAGAAAAATAAGAATATCTAAAAATGATTCAAAAAGTGAACATGAAAAGTTCTTGAAAAGCTTTAGGTGATCTGGATTTTGAATGGCTCAAAGAATGAGTTCTTTATTGGATGCAATGAACTATATGAATAGGGGAACAATGGACTATATGAATAGGGCTGCAAAATAGAGTTACTACTTGTCACTTGCAAAATAAAGTTACTAAGTGAAGTTACTAATTTATAATGTACACTAAGTCGATTTCTAGAATTGGCTCATAAGAGCCGGTTTCTCTGAACCCATGTACCCAGTATTGCGAACTTTAAGGCCAGTGCCCAGGCTGGGATTCAATGTAAAATTCCCCAAAAAAAGGGTGAATGATGTGTGGAGTGGAAGTGAAGGGGATGTTCATTCATATCTAGTTACCCTGCTCCCCTTACCCATTTCATATTGAAGACCCATCCTTCCGCCTCTGCTCCTTTGCTCCTTTGCTCCTTTCCTCCTTTCCCGTTCATCACCCATTTATTCGAAACATTTCCATTCCCATCTTTCTACAGATCAAAAATTAGAAAAAATGCAATAAACAAATAAAAATAAAGAGTCGGTTATGTTACTTTAAAAGAAATACAGATATAGTCAGTTATGGCCTAGAAATCATGTAAATTAGAAGCTAATCTTAAACGATTCTAAAAGAATCTTATTTTTGAATCTTATCTCCATATTGTGATTGTTGGAAAAGCTAAAATTACCTTTCTAACGGCTTTCTGATCAAGTACTCAAAATTCGTTTGATTGAAAATGATGAAATACTTCTAAAGTTAAAGAATTTTCGAAATGTTTGCTGAAAACGGTGAAGGGTGGAATTATAGAAAGAAAATTTGTGAAAAAAACATCGAAAATAGGTATGGGTAATTGGCAATGGGCAAACCGGTACTTAATATCAGATTTGGAGGAAATGAATCACTCTAAATAGTCAAGAAACAAAGAGCACTAATATGCTTAACATGTGGAGATAAGGTAAGCCTTGTAGTGCAGCTGAACGAAGCTTTCAACCCATCCAGCTTAATTCCACGTTTGCCTACTTCTAAGCATATATAGTTTTTTAATCTCAATAAAGTACTTTGACGCGGAAAGTGTTTCGAATATATCATAATCTCCTTCAGGTACAAAGTCGTTCCATAATTTTCTTTCGAGTACGTCAAGAAAACATTCAAATGTTATATGAAAAGCTCTTTCAAAATCCTTTGAAGTCTCAAAATCAGAACACAACTCAAATTTCGGCAGTAGATGCCCTTATCTCTATCTAAGATACCGAAAATAAATGTTTTTTTCCATCTAACTGCGCAAATTCCGTTTCCAAAACTGTCGATTTGTTTCTTTGAAACTCCATCCACCGAATTCCCTTCAATATCACCTGTAAATTATAGACCAAAATCTAGAATGAAACAAAAATAACTCCAACAAAATTTCTCCATTTATTGCGCAAACACTTCCGGGTGGAAATTAGTGGACCAACATGCACAGAGCTTGATGTGATTTCAGGAGGAAATGAAGGAAAAAAACTGGCTGAGTAAATTGTTTTTTAGCGGAAGTTTTTGAGCGTTTCGGAAGATTTGTTTGTGAAGTTTGGGGGTTGGGATGCATGATTGGGTGCGGGGCACAGATGGGAACCCGTCAATTGAAGACACTGTTTATGGGGAGAACTACGTATCTCAGGAAGGATTTCAATGATTTCAATTTCAATTCAATTTCTAATGAACTCAACCAAATCACTAAAACAAACGGAATTAGTGAAATTAAGGTAAAAGTTTCAAGTGAAATGCAGTGGTGTTAAGTTTTGGTTCAAGATTTTGGTTAGAACAACGTTAAAGTGTTAGAAAAAGTTTTAAAGGCTTTGGTTGATCAAAGAAAGGTTTGGAAATCTTGATGACTAACTCACTAACAAATCAAAGACAACAAAGCAGTATAAATAAAGTTTTTTTGATGTGATCTTGACAGATGGGACAGCACGTGCAAGATAGGGAGAGACAGATGGACAGAGCTTTACTTCAATGAGGTTGGACAAGGGATTCTTTAAGGATAAAGCAAGATTTAAAAACTATACTAACTTTGGCTTCTTCTGGCAAACCAAACATTTTATTTTTTATGATCTGCAAAAGGGAACCTCGAGAAAACTACTAGTTAGCCAACTTTAAAAGAATTTTGAGAACTATTGAGAGAATATTGAACTATTGAACATCTATTGAACTTCGATGACATTTATTCGGATTGAGATCCAATATTGATACAAAAAAGTGGGAAAAAGGATTCAATTTAAGATTT